GAACATTTCTACAACAAGTATTGAGCAAGTCCAGAGCACAAGGACTAGCTGTCTGCTAAAGTGGCTAATGTCTGCTCTTAGACAGTTAGTCAATTACCAGCAATTCTATACTACAAAACATCATTACTGCTCAATGAATCCACAGCAAAGTAAATTAGTACTGAGTACCACCGGTAATACTGCCATCTTTTAAAGACTTTCACATAATTGAATAAGATTATTTCTCTGGTAATGGAGTTAACTGCCCTTTACTGGATGAACACATATAGACTTACCCAGAATAGACCTTCAGATTAAGAAGATAATAGTCCTCTTTCATTTACAATAAACTTCCTACTGGAGTCCTAAAGCAGTACACTGCTTTAGTCCACTCGCCCAGCATGCATTACGCTAGAGGTGGGCGATATGGCAAAAATAAAATATTGCGAAACTTTAAGAAAATTTTAAGATACACAGTATGTCATGATATTTATATTGCCCAGCGCTACACTACACAAATACGTCAAACAACCTTTGTAACCCCCTTTGTAACAAAAATACAACTTATGAGATTCTCAAAGTGTCAACTTTTCATGTAAAACTGTAAATGTTTAAAGTTGACAGTGAGAATAATTGACATCTTACACCTAATTTTACATCTTAATATTTCGCCTAGCAATCAGTATTTAAGCCAGTGTTTGTGTTTAGTAGTAGCCAATGAGAAGTCTACATATTATTTTACTTTGTTAACATTACCCCAGGCATGACTAAGAAGTCTGAAGGAGTGTGGCTAGGCTAACCATGATAGCTAAGGTTAGAAAAAACATTTCACTGTTCTCAATAACCTCGACAAGCCATCATGTTCCATCATCATCCACTCAGCAGAAAACAATTTTCCTCATGTACAAGACGAATGACTCTCATGTAACACTAAACTGGCTGGGTTGTGATTTAACCCGTAGTGGCTAAATAAAACATTTGCTTAATAAAAAAAATCATGTTTATAAATGGACTCCCCTGTTTGCATCTTCTGGACTACTGAATTTGTTGTGCAATCCTGTTGTACAGATGGCTGACAAAGTAAATTTACAGCAATTCTCAGACTAAAATGATTCTCAACAGTCACCATTCAGAATGTAAACAATACCTAAAGCAGTTCATCAAGTGGTCTTTTTTGTTCAGCTAGCTAAATTCTTTCTATAGGACAGCGTCTTTCTCTCCAGCCAAAGCATGTTTAGTCGTACAGCTACACAAGCGAACATCAACTTTTTATGTACGTTTTGTTGTCTGTACACTGCATGTATACAAACCTCTGTGGATGTGAGTTTAAGTTTAATGCATCAACTTTTAACAGACTCAACTATTTTCATTACACCCCAGAAAGAATGAAAATAATGTGACAGCTTCCTAGCAATGCTTTAACTATCTAGCTTCCTTCGCGAGCTAGCAGGAAAAAAAAAATATTCAAACAGCCTGCCCACATGTATCCTCCCTAAGGGCTTGTAGTTTTTTCAAAAGTTGCAACCACCTTCAACAAACATCAACTGGAGGGGGTTTTCCTACTTTTTAAACTGAAAACTTTCACTTTTGGCACCACTGTTGGGGGTAAGCAGATATTTTTGTAACAGATGTAGCGATGGTTAAAGCAGTGTCCCTTTAATTAACTAACTCATTCATTCATTCAATCATTCGCCTGATATATCGTCATATCACATCATCACTGTCTGGATAGCAGAAGAAATTACGGTATAAACTTGAGTTAGTCTCATCACCCTGGAGCTGGGTAATATTAGAATATCAATTGTTATCATGATAAATAATATAACAATACAATATGCTTTCCTGAACATATCATGGATACCATCAGTACCTGTAGAACACTGACCGACTGCATGTTTCATTATGAAAAGAGCAAAATTAGTCAGTTTAACTGGATTTAGTGCAACACAGTAAACCAAATATTGAATAAAAATCATTGTTTTCACAGTTTTTGATAGTATTTTTTAAAATGTAGCACTATTGGCTCTTTTTTCTCAGTTCCAACTGATCAGATGTCTAAGAAAATAAGTATTGTGTATCGTGAAAATTTCGTGGTAGTCTATTTTTGTCATATCACCCATCTCTAACTCACCCCTACCTTATTTTTTCATTGTTAGTGAAATAAAGAAAGATACTGAAGCTCGTCCTCCTGGTTGACATGTTGCACTCAGTCTACATACTAATGAGAGCATTCTGCTAGCTCAGCTTTAATTTCGTTTTGACAAAGCAAAATAGGACACAGAGACCCTCTTGTATAAAAACCTTATATATATATAAAATCAAATCTGGGTAGGCAGACAGCACACATGCACAGTCAGCCAGCCTGCTGAGGTACAGTATGCACTTCTTGTAATATAAGACTGCAATGCAACATAATGAGAGAGCACTGGACTCTGATAGGTGGCTAGGTGGGACAGCCAAACCAGCACCCACCCACATACAGAGACATACACTCACAAATAACACAAGGCACGACTGAAAGGACATGAACACCAGCAGAGAGGCTGCTCTAACATGGCCTGCAGTGTGCTGTAAGAGCAGAGATGAAATGATGTCAATGGACGTCAACATGGTCCTCTAACGCTGCACCAGGAGCCAGACAAAAGAGGCTGATTACTGTGAAGACAGAGGTCGATTACAATCCATGTAACACATTCATGATGTACTCGGCACTGCACAGACTCACCGGTGCTCATCGTTTCGTCCACAGATCCGTCAGAGAGCTGCTGCAGCTCAGATCCTCCCTCCTGCACACTCACTCGCTCAGGCGCGCTCTGCACGCCCCTCTGTCCAGCGCAGAGATGCTCCAATCCGCCCACAGCAGCAGTCCGGGTCAGATGATCCTGAGAGGGAGCCTACAGTGCTCTGCTGTGGTTAGAAAAAGGGTCAGTGTTGGATGTGTAGGTGCGCGTCTGTGCGCTCCGCTGGCGTGTTTGACAGCGCAGCTGACCACACCTCTCCTCTGCCTCAGCACCATCGAGCCAGGACGAGAGCAGCCTGACTTGCGCGCAAGGGCGCCTGGGACTTTGAGTTCTTTTGGAACAGGGTTTTGGTGTTGTTTTTTTAATTGCTGGGGGGATCCTTCATGAGGAGTTAAGATAATTAACCAAATCACTGTCCATGAAATTAATATGTGTATCTCACAAAATACGAAGGAGACAAGACTATTACATATTAATTTACTATAGTGATTTCTGCATTTGCTAACCCATGAGCTAAACCACAGCTAATGCGGGAAGGGAAAATGTATAATATTTAACAAAAACAAGAATCCCCCCAGCTTTTGCTTTTACTGGAAGTGTTGGTCTTTCTTAGTATTTATCGCCACCTAGTGTTGAAACTGTAGCACTGACACACTGTAGGCACAAAAGCAGAATTAGATTTGGTTTGCATGCAGGTGAATGCAGCTTGGGCCATTTAGTTAGCCTGTTTGCAACATTTAGCTTTGCCAGTTTGAAAAGAAAAATATCAACTGATGCATGTAATAAACAAGAGTTTCTGAAAGCGCCCTATCTGATCCACCTTAACTCTTGTATGTGTAGTTTGGAGACAACTTCTCATCTTCTGTTAATGTTCCAGTTTTGCTGCACAAATAGCCTCTACTGGAGGAAGGTTTGTCATCATTTCTGCTCTTGGAGATCTGCTTTTTTACAGATTCTAATCCAGACCGTAATTGACCTTATCTGATGGAACTGTTGCCTGAATGAGATGCATTAGCTTCAGTTTGGAGGTGAAATAGTCTTTCCTTATTACTCAGATTCTAAAGTAAAACACACCTATTCCAGACAAGGTACTGGAGTTCAGTGACTGCTGTCAAAAAAGCTACTTCCAAAGTTATGTAACACATTTCGTTTGTTGAAGGATCTGTTGGAAATGCTGACTGGGGTGTTATTCCAGACTGTCAGGTAAAGGGATTTGTGGTGGAGTTTGACACAAAAACCTTGTGTCTGTTATCTGTAAATCAGTTAAAGAAGGAAATGATAGCAGAATATTACTTTTCCTCTTTACTTATGCATCAGGAAGTGGACAAGTTATTTATGATTTATTTAATAATAATAATAATAATAATAATAATAATTATTATTATTATTATTATTATTACTGAATTTGTCAACCAGTGTACAGACACACAAGGCATACATTGCAAACATAGCATTGAAAAGTCACAATGTTAAGTGGCAATACAACACTTAAGAGGAAAAACCAAAAAAACAAACAAAATAATGTACAATAAAAGGCAGCTTAATGAGGGTCTTTGACTTTTCAGAGACAGATACAACGAATCCACATCCACAGCATTTTGCATAACATCATCAAAATTGCCACTAGAAATTCAATATTTCTCTACTCTAAAACTGGCCAACTGTCACAGACACTCCATTAACCAGATGTATCTCAATATTCTTAGACCTAAGCAAGTTTTGAAAGGATGTCCAGAATGTTTGTACCTTTTTACACTGAAAAAAACGTGTTCAACTGTTTCAATGTCATTACGACAGAAACAGCATGTATTTCTATCTAAATTATTTTTCCCACACAAATTCATTGGAATGTGATATTTTGGTAAAATTGGATAGACCAAATATTTACCTAATCAGTTTAGCAATCTCCTCCTTTTTTAAAACATGTTTTCTTTTCATCTGACATGAGTGGTAGCTCTTCAATCAATTTTTTTCATAAATGTATGTGTTTCCTTCTCTGACCTAATGTTACAACCTTCAGTACACACAGTAGGCCCCCACACGTCTGAGTCCAGTACAGCGCATCACGGGAAGCGGGCAGGCACGACTGACGTAGAATTTTATTACTGTTTATGTGCTAAGTTTTTACTTTAGAACAAGTCATTGTGAAACTTTGTTCCTTTGCTACTAAACATACAGAAGAAGAAAACGTTGTTATTTCAGTTTTGCTTCCACAAAACTCTCCCGGCCTGTATTTTAAAAGGCCACTGCGCGTGTTGACGCAGAGCGAACGTCATATTTGAGCGACAAACATGAAAGAGCATGGCGCAGCTCAGTCAGGCATGAGTGAGAACTTCAGTTCAAAACCAGCTTCATCAGCAGAACCCAGACTGATAACATGGCGGATATCGAGGACTTCGGAAATATAGAAGTCATTTTTCAGGATGAAGAGGATAAAACAGCTCCACGGTGTCCTCACGGTGTGTGTGTGTGTGTGTGTGTGTAGTCTAGTGTACTGTATTGCACTCAGGCTGAGTTCTGTTCGTGATCTCTGACATCTTCAGACTGCAACCTTATCCTGATTTCCATCAATAATGTCTTGATGTTATTGCGTTATAAACCAGCACTGGCTGTCATTTTTTAGGACCTACAGTCCTGTTCGAGATAAAGTGCAAAGGAGAGAAGAATGGAAGGAGATTTTATGCCTGTTCTGCATGTCGTGATAGAAAAGAGTGCAACTTCTTTCAGTGGGAGAACGAAAAGGTAAACAGCTTGGAGCAAACAGGTTTTTACTGCAATTTATCAGCTGTATTTTTTTATTAGTTTCTAGTTTTTGTTTGTTTGTTTGTTTTAGGTGTCAGAGGCAAGGTTGCTTGCAAGAGAGCAGCAGAACCTATCAAAGATGCCTCCTTTTTCTCATGCGCAGTACTGCGCAAGGTAAGTGCCTGGGCTCATGAAAAAAGAGTTAAATAGAATTCTAAACAGAATTCTTCACTTTAGAATAAGGTTTCTTAACCTGAGGGTCCTGGACACAGAGGGGCTCACAAGAGTGGTGATAGTAAGGCAAGACATATACCTTATAACAACGTTTTCAACCCTGGCCCTGGAGGACCACTACCCTGTACTTGTGTTTTCCCTGCTCCAAGCACATCTGATTAAACTAATCAGCTCATTAACAGTCTATTAGTGAGTAAAAGTGGCAGCACAAGCACTAAAATGTGCAGGACAGTGAGCATCCAAGGTCTGAACGTGGGGACAGGGTAGGGAGAAGGAGGTTTGCAAAGTAACATTAAAAAAGGGCCGCACTCTGAAAAAGGGTAAGTGTTGCTTCAGGTGTCCCACAGCCCTGCACAGTTTATATCAGTTTACTAATTGTAGTTTAATAAATTTAATATTAATATAATATAATTTATAATTTTACATAATATATTAATATAAATGTGATAATTTTTTTTTCATTTTTTTTAGCTTATCATACAAACTTTCACAAGCTGGGTAAGGGGTGTTTGAGTAGAGTATAAAAGCAGAGCAGTGGGTTCTCAGGATCAGGATTAAAAGAATGGTTTGCTAAAAAAAATCAAATTTGCCCAATTTACACCTTACCCCAAAGAATCAGTTTAGATCGTTTAGTTTTGCACTGGGACTACAAATCTAATGTAACTAACAAGTAATCTTTTTGGCTGACACAGACTTTATTATATTACACTTGATTCATAGCTTTAGGGTAAAACTAAAGGCACAAACTTTAGGCACCGAACATGTCTTAGCTCATCTGCTACATTTGAGGTAGATTGAAAATTAGAGAATCAGATTTTTTTTGCCAAGCATTTCTTTAGGAAGCTGTTTCAGACCAAGTAATACATAAGATATCTAGCCTGATGTCTAAAGGCTGTCATTCATTTTTCTCTCAGATTCAGAGAGTATGCGTCTCTTCCACTGGATCAAAGGAGGTTTTGTGTGGATTGTCAGATCCTGCTACTTCCTGGAGAATGGAGCGGTCACTCCTCACACCACATGCTTTCTGACATCACAGTGTCACAGCTGAGGAGGCCCAGTCTACTGCTGTGTCCTTTGGAGAATAAGAAGAGCAATGCACAATACCTGTTTGCTGACCGCAGCTGCCATTTTCTCCTTAATGTGCTTTCTGGATTAGGATTCAGGAAGGTTCTCTGTGTGGGGACACCACGGTGAGTTTGGATTCATGTTTATCAAGTTGGGTATCAGGTAGTACTGAGGCCGTGATTAAACAAAGCAGGCTTTGTGCCAAGATGTACACATCAGATGCATGCCCATATTTTAAGACAGTGATTTGACGATTACAGAATCTGTTGAAGTCTTGGTCTTCAAATTGTTTCTGCTCTAACAAGTACATGCGTTTCATCTGAGAAAGCTTTCAGAGAATATGTTTGTGCTGTCAGAAATTAACTCAGTGAATGAATTATGTGGTTTAGTGACCAGTCCAGATAACCCAAATGATATTCATTCCTCAGACCAAAGATGAGCAGATCAACACTGCCATTGGGAAAAGGTGACCATGTGGTGTGTTGTGGGTTAATGGGCTAAATGTAGTGTTTTTAATATTAGTGGATTTTACCATGTCAGTTAACTTTTAAACTATTCTAAATTCAGAGATTGGTTTCCAAAATTGCCTGACATTTGTGGTGTTTCAAGCTAAAGCAGAGATTATCGTATAATGAAAATCTACCCCATGAAGTATTATTATGAAGTCTGAAACATTTTGTTTACATAAACTTTTATTCATTAATTACAGATTCCATGAACTAATTAAGATGCAAAGCATAGACAACAAGAGTGACCCCATCAAGAGTTTACTACTGGATATTGATTTCAGGTAAGTGTAAATTTAGTTGATGTGACACTCTGGCACCTTTTGAAATGCAGTGTTAAAAGCTGTACAAGTAGAGGATTTCTTCTGTTTTATTTAGGTATTAAAAAAATATTTAAAAAGCAAAGTTATACTGTTACATTGTTGTACATATCTAAAACTAGAACGGTATCCACATCGGTAACTTAACTTTTAATGTAAGATAATGTAAAGAGATTTTATTCTAAACAAATCTGGACAATTTCTGTTGGTCCATTCATATGAAATTTGTAACAGCCAGTATCTTCAAATGATGAAAAGAAAAACAATAAAAAAAAAATATATATAGACAAGGTTTTTTTTTCCCCACAGCAACGGATTATACCTATCAGTACGATATTAGTGTAGGATAATCGATCACATGCTGAGGTCACAGATTTCCATATGATCTGGGACACTGTGTCCATCTCTGGCTTTAAAGAAGCGAAAGGCAGGGAAGAGCGGCTCTGTAAACTGGTGATAGGCTCTCTCAAACACAGCGGTGGAAGCTGATGAAAACTCCTGCAGCACTTTCACAGTTTCAGCATCATAGAAGGCCACACGACCCTTCCGGTAGTTTACAAAGATGCCCACTTTATCCGGTGCCCCTCGCCCTGTCCTGCCAGACAACGCCACATGCCGGTCATTATGCCAGGCTGAGAGTTGTCCATCCTGAAACTCCAGACTCCAGGAGAGCCTGTTTCTGCCCAGTTTTGTACTTTTGTCTTGCCCTTTCCTGCTCAGGCTTCCATAGGCCACGCCCACCGCCCAAGCAGAGCAGCAGTGAACGTCTACTTCCCAGTAATGCTGACCTCCTGTTATTGAAACTGAGCCCAGGGCACAGTAGACCTGATCAAACTGCTGGGGTTGATTAGGAGCTGAACAGTCTTCTGCAGAAATGTGCATAGATCTGCCTTTTGACATCACTTTGATCTGTCTGTGGCTAGTCATCCTGTCAATCACCACCTCAGTGTAGTCTAGCAATAAAGATACAGTGTATTTAGAGAAAATGGTTTACAGATTATCCACAGAACAACATAAGTATTTCAATAAACTCATGTTAGAAATATGATTACAGACCAACAGTTGTTACTGTATATCGTTGTATCCTGTTTGTCACTTTTGCCTATTTTTGTCTAAATGACTATTTGTAATTTGCATATCACAGAAATGATTGAAAAATCACCTCCATTGCTATTTATCACAATTTAGCACATAGCTTACCCAGTAACAGGCTCTTTCTCTGTAGCTGGGCCTGCAGCTCTTTTGAAATCTTCCCTAAAGCTTTCATAAGCTTCTGGAATTTCTCCTCATTGAGCCTGATGGCCTCCTCAGCTATATCCAGCTTCTTACTGCAACTACAGAAAAATGAATTCACATTACAAAAGTTATTAACATGCAGATGCTTTGGATTTCGGCATAATTTACCACTTTGAAAGCTGAATATGTTACTCGTGAATCATGTGGATGTTAAGAGTTTTTAATTTTATGGAGGGTATACTGTTAGCAGAGCCTCCCCAGAGTCTTTACAAAAAATTCTGTCCACTTGGTGGCCATCTTGGCAGTACCACCGGGCAGCTATTTCCAGTCGCATGAGACCAGACTCCTATCTCTTTGAATGAGGAGAGACCTAAAAACTTGAAACTGAAGGCCAAATTGCCGTTTAAAAAACATTTTTCAAATCACTGCTAAAATTTAATAAATATCTCATAAATAATTTTTTATGTTTGCCTCAAATAACACCCAAAAATATCTTTATAATGTCTCTGGCTTTCCCAAGCACAGCACAGCAGGAGTCATTATTTAGGTAACCAACAGAAATAGAATTAGATTTTTATAGGCCAGTGAGAACTAAGATAATGTTACTGAAATGCAAAGAGAGCTACACTATAGGCCATGTTTCACAAACTGTGAAATTGGTTTCATTTTTGCTTCTGATTTGGATTTCTGTATTTAATAGCGTTCAAACAGTGGGCAAAAAAGTTAATGTAAATTATCACGGGTTGCAACCAAGACAGCTTCTGTTTAGTCAGAAATATTTATGTAGAACATGTTTATCTCTGTGGACTTCTGTAATCACTGTAAAAGTAAAAAGACTACAAATCTCTACAAATTGTCTACAAATTACAAATTGCAAGTGGCGATTATTGGGGTCCAAGTACAACATGCCATTTTGGAGTGCGTATACCACAAATAAGGGTTTAAATTTTTTTGTACAGCCTCAAATTATATGCACTAGAATTTCACATTAAAATCTTTGAAATTTTCTCACATGAATGACGCTGTCGGACCCTGCTACAGGTGACTGGTTTCTGAACTTGTCATCTTTTTGCTCTTGAGCTTTCAATAGTGGCCTTATGTAATGTGCCACAAGTTAATAAACAAAACCCCAAGCTAACGTGCTAACCACAGTACAATGATACAATGGCATACGCTCTATTATAACCTTAATACGCTGTCATACATGTATAAACTCAAATTGACTTCATCACAGGAGTGGGGTGTTTAAGTGGATTTACCTGAAGTCCTCAGCACAGACCTGAAAACAGATTGTGAAATGAATTTAGTAGGGTTGTATTTCACAATGCTAATACTTTTCAACTCCACACAGTACAGTTCAATTAAATGAAACCATAGCCAAATTAGTACAAAGGTATTCATGGTATGTAAATGTATATCAGTCTTTCTGAACCTACTTTGTATAGGCTGCATCTTCTCAAACTGTGTGCAGATCATAGAGTACATTATGATATTCAAGGCAAGCTCTAAAACCCCAAGTGTAACATTGTTGGTCCAGTGTTACCGGCTGTTGGCTCTCAGCGCTGCTCTCCTGCAGTTTCTTGATGGTGCTGATGTGTTTCCGCACCAGTCTCAGGTGCTGGGTCCAGTCCTGCAGATGCCTCGTCAGTTTACTGCTGTTCTCCCTGTGGTCCTGTTCTAGCATGCTCAGAGCGGCCAGCTCGTCCTTTTCTAAGGCCAGGCGCATATTCTCGAAGCGCTCACGTACCTGCTGCTCTATCACCTCTGCACTCGCCTTTACCCCAAGCAGACAGAGGGAAAAGCGTTTGGTGTTGGGTGTGCCATAATAGTTAAGGTTAAAAAGCTTTAACCCCAGGACTTTTTAGCACATTAACACGCGTGAACATGGCAGTTCCTTTAGAAATATGCAAAAGACAGAGCTTTAATATGACAAATGTAAGAAAAGGCAGTGGCTGTATTAAAATCATCTGCTTATCACTTACAGTGAGGTTGCCTTGGCGTTTTTTCAGAGATGCCATGCGAGCCTCTGTCCTTTTGCTCTCATTCTCCAGCTCCTCCAGCAAACATGACAACTGCTCCTAGTGTTTACACACATTGCTTTAATCCAGTGTACTGGAGTGTTCTGGAGTTTCCTTCATTGCATGTTAATCCTTTCATTGTCATTGTCTGTTCGAGAGGTGGGAATCTTTAGGCGATTGGCAACATGCAACTATAAAACAATGCTCAATGTATCTTAATATTTCATTTTTATTTCATTTTTTTCTATTTGATTTGATTGTCATTATTGTGACCAGTTTGTCATAGTTTGATTGCAGTTTGAGATGCGTTTATTATTAAGATCCTGCATTTTGTTTCCACCTCCAAGCCAGGCTGTGCCAAAGTTTGCTACTTTCTGATGTCTCTGGATGCACCTGGAGTTTATTTTAAAGTAGGAGAAACTTAAAAGTCTAAATGAAAAACTGAGTATTTCAGAGTCTTTCAAGAGAGAATGCATCTAAGAACTGAATACTCTTTCCACCTCTAGATTGTCCTCTGCTGGTGAAAAGTGTGGTATTTCACAAAGCAAAATTTTCTCAGTTAGCTAGATAATTGAGTTCTGACCAATAGAAGAGCTGGGATATTGCTGCTGACAAATGTCATTTTGAGTTTTAAATGATCCAGTTCATTGAGGTATCCTACTTTGTGAAATACACTCAGAAGTCATAGTCACTGTAGTATGCAGAAGGTAACCAAACCTGTGTGTATTTGACGGAGGCGGTGCCTGTTTTGCGGAGTGTTTTCGGGGAGCGAGGGTAGGGCTGGGTGACTGGGCCCAAACACAGCGGATCAGCTCCTGGTATCCGAGCTGTGCCGTCGTCTTCTGCCATTTCTGCTAATCTTGTAAACGTGAACATAAATAGTATACAAAATGCATACAAAAGACAATTCTAATGGCTCTGCCATATGCATGGCTCATGAGTACTCCCCAGTGAACTTGCTAATTTTTGAAAGCAGTGATCATCCCTTGAACATTCTTCATTACTGCATTGCTTACAGTTATAGTATGTTATGCTTGCAAGGCAATGAAATGCAGTTGCTAAAGTTAGCTTGCTTCTTTTCTGTAGAGTGCTTAACCAGTTCCTCTCATCCTGAGGAAGCCAAGGTGTCACAACACGCCTGTAAGAATCTGCCTGCTGCACCCAGCATTTAGTAACACTACAATGACTACATGCCGCAAACCCTAACTATTCAGATAACTGCATTCAAATCCACACTGAGCTAGCCTGTGTGGACTATGCTTTTATTTACAAAGATATATATATATATATATATGTATGTGTATATATATGTATATATATGTATATATATGTATGTATATATATACACACACACACACACACACAAGTTTTTTTTTTGCATTGCAGACCATCCAGACTAGTCATTGCAGTCACTATTCATGAACAAATGGACATTCCATTAGTGCATAAGGTCCCCATTACTGCATTGTTTGCAATTTGCCTACAGACTTTAGTAACCAGTTAAACTAATAATAAATAAATAGGTATATTAATACTTACTTTACAGAGTGTGGAGATTTGGGTTGTGCTCTCGCTGCGCTCTTCACCGGTATGTGTGTGAAAAGCTGTAAATGATCGTATAAGCCCACAACAAGCCAAAGCCTGTTTGTATCTGTGCGCATGTACGTGCGTGCATGTGTCTGCAGTATTTCTCGTGCCAGCTCATATTTTGGCACCTGATAGGATAATTGTTCATCCGAAGACATAGCCTGTGGGGTTTATAGATTCAGCAGGCAGACTTTCTTTAATGAGTTAGAATAAATGAGAAATTACAAAGTGCCTTTTGTTCATCTTTGTTTTTCTCTTTCAGATATTCTCAGTTTTATGGGCAGGACGAATTCTGTCATTATAACATGTTTAACCATCATTTCTTTAATGGAGAGGTAACATTTGACTTCTTCCTCTACCTCTGCCTGCTTTTGATTTAGATAACCTCTTCCACGTGTGAACTGAATGACCCCTCTTACTCTCTCTGTACAGGAAGCAGCCAAAGCTTTCCTAGACTTCCTGACTGAGGATGGATCTAAAGTTGTGATGGTGGCAGACCCACCCTTTGGAGGTCTGGTGAAGCTGCTTGGCCACACATTCTCGAAGATATCAGAGACATGGAGAAAGCTTCAAGGTGCAGGTACGTACCAAGACAGCCATTATTATATATGTAAAATTGAAAAACAAATATATGTTCAGTACACTGCAAAGGTTTTAAGCACCAGAGAAAATTAGATTTAAAATGCTGTTTATCTGGTAAGTATTTATTTGCACAGAAAAAAAATATTACAATACATGTTAACGTAAGTAGTGATTTTACATATGTCAGGGTTTTCATTTAATCATTTTCAATCGTCTTCTTGTGGCAATCCAGTCAATCAAAACCAAAATTTAGTTTTTTTAAACTAGTTCACAACCTCTTTTTTGAAAACAATAAATTATTGTTACTTTTTACTGAATTTAACATTTGCACTACTTATCTTAATATGTTTTTACTAGCACAACTACACATATTGCCAAGAAAAGTGGTTTTACATAATGTGCTTAAGTACCTAACACTTTTGTACAGTACTTTACTGCATAAACATTGGGTGATTTATACAAGTAATTTTGATCGTGTAATCTTTTATGTGTCCGTAGCGTTTTTGTTTCTTTTCAGCAATGATATGCAGGAGCAGAAACATGGAATCTAATAAACTAATGACCATTTTTATTACAATTCTGCAGAGAGCAGTGTGTCCGAGATGCCTATGGTGTGGATATTCCCATACTTCTTTGAACCACGGATTCTTAACTGCTTTCCTTCCTTTACTATGTTGGATTATCAGGTATAAAATCAAGCAAAAAGTAAAATTTATGGTATGATTTATTGATATAGCATTAATTATCAAAACCATCCATAAAAATGTCTTCCTTTTTTTTTTGCATACACAAGTTGCACAGATTTGTTGTCCAAAACGTTTTTTTTTTAACTCAAACACAGCACTCAGTTGCCTTGTGAGCCACAGCACGAGTGACTGTCACACAAAGAAAAATTTTAAGGATAACTATAGTTTAATATTTATTCGTCAAGACTAAGGCTTTGTCGCCCTCTGCTGGTAACTCAACTAACATGGAACTATAAAACACATGCTGTTTCACATAATAAAAATATCAATTGGTACCAGTTTTTAATACAACTTCCCTTATAAAGAGTTTATGAATGGTTTAAAATGAATTTAATGATGTTAATTAGATCAAAACCACCTTCAGAATTAATAAGCAGTTATAACACGAATAAAAAAGGCAACAGGGGCCTATTCTTTCTGATGAATATGAAAATTTGATGAGGCTGGTATAATATTGACTGATGGAGAAGACAAAGATTTAACAGATAAATGTGGGCTCAGTATTTGGCAAGCAGCAACTCATTTTTGTTACTTCTGTGTTATAACTGCTTATTAATACTTTTAAGGTGTTCATGACCTAATTAATAATCACTAACAAACTACTTTAACACATTCCTAAACCCTTTAGAAGGGCAGCCTTATTGTAAAGTGGGACTTATCAATAACTTTGTCCAAATTCATCAGTTTTTTCAAAATTATCACCCAAATCCAAGTATTTTCTCTGATATATTGTCTTTCTCCAAAACACGTGTATCTCCATTTTTCTACATCATTTGAGCACAGCAACTGTTCTTTACATTGTGTGAAAATGTCATGATGAATGGACCAATAGAAATGTTCCAAAATCTTCAAACTAGCTCATAACATCAAGAACTTACTTGAAAACAATACATTCTTGTTACTTTTTACTATATTTATGTTTACATTGTTTGAACTTGGGATAAAACCTGTTTATTAACTTATGTTCAAAGTTGACAGTTTCTGCCTTCAACCCGTAAAGTTACTATTTTATTAAATTTAGTTTTTTCTTTAGGTAGATTATGATAACCACCCTTTGTACAAGCATGGAAAGTCTGGCCGGAAGCAGTCTCCTGTCCGACTGTTCACCAACCTCTGTCCCAAAGACATCGTCCTGCCAAAGGAGGAAGGCTACAGGTAAAGCACACTTCACTTAAAGTTCTGGGACGAGTTCAGATTTGGGCTGTTTGTAATTCTTTTGAACTGCTTGTTGTTTCCCCTTTCATTTCTCATGTCAGATTTTGCAGCATTTGTGAGAGATACGTATCAGCAGAGAACAAGCACTGCTCCATATGTAACGCATGCACATCAAAGGTAGGCCTAGCCTTTTTGGGCTATGTGAGACTAAAAACAAATGGCAAATCTCAAAGATCTCTTTGTCTCTTCCTCAGAATGGAAAAGAATGGAAGCATTGTCCAGAATGTGGAAAGTGTGTGAAGCCCTGTAAGTATGCGAATTTCGCAAGCTTGTTACAGATAACAGTAAGATATGGGTTTGGAGTTCAGTACTTAAATTTCAATCAGCTCCACTGGATCTTGACACTGTATTGGTTCTACTTATGTTTTGTGCTGATTGACTTTGCTCCTGTCTCCGTCCCTCAGCCTGGCTCCACTGTTCCTTGTGTGGTCACTGTACACTCCCAAATCATCAGTGTGGGCAGACGGGCTGTTACAGCTGTGGAGACCAAGGGCACAAGCGCAGAGCCTGTCCCAGCAAAGGCAAGAAAAAGTGAGTGTATATCTGTACACACTGGTGAAATAACAGTTGACAGATGCACACGGGTTGCCACCAACAAGAAAACTGCATACACAGCTGTTTCTGTAACTACAGTAAACAGTGACAGATATTGAAAGCTCACACCTAGGCTTCCTTCCTCACAAGCTGTGAAGAGTTTGACACCAAATAAATCCTTTTAGCAAACAGTTAATGTATATCATATGTATATATGTGCAGTGATATACACTAACATTGTCATGTATGAATATGGAAACTATACTAAGCACACCCCATTGACACATCCTGGCTCTTGTGGTTTAACTTACAGCTTACAGCAGCAGAAGAGTGATAAAGGAGCTCAACGGACATTCAACCGTGGCACCAACAAAACCACAGGCAAAAAGAAGAGAGGCAAAAATGCACACGGGAAGAAGAAAATGGTCAGATGACTTCTCACTCACAGTGAATTGTTAAAGTCATGTGCTGTGCAAGTGTACACTGATGGTCACTGTAAGTCACTCAGCCTGCCTATCTTCTCTGTGTGAGTGGAACATTATAAGGGCTGACTTATGAACTTTTTGTAGTCCACTGAATCATCAAGGCATTCAGGGGTATCCTGGAATGCTTTAAACTGCATTTTAAGATATGAGAGTCAGAGTCAAACCCTTGTTTTACATTTTGGTTTGAAGACTTAAACTTTCACATTTGTGGAACTTTTTAACTGTGGAGAGTGGAGAAAAAACAATTGCGCAACAGGAACATGCCATATGTGGAGTATACTGAAGTAATAGAACATAAGAGGGAGTGTGTTATCATGAATAACAGCACAGCCGTGCTGTTAATCACAATAATGCACTACCTCAAGTGTTACAGTCATGGCAAAAAAAATGTGCTGTTATCAGATATAAGTTGAAATGTCTTATCCATGCTCTCAGATTGAATGTTATCTGATAACACTTGATTAAATTTCCCAGTTTTATAAATAAAATTGTTGGTTGAAGTATCTGCTTTAGCTGCATATACAATGAATAAGCAGTTATTTAATTGTTCAGTTTTATTTAATATATTAAAATAGGTCATCTGTGCTATGCGCACTTTTACACTTTGAATAATTTCTAGTCTTTCTAGTGTTAATCAAAGAACAAAATGTAAATTGAAACCTGAGTGTCTCAATTTATGTCCTAATGATTCTGCATTTTTAGACTTAGTTTAAAGCCAGAGTTTCCAGAACTGTTAGTGTTAAAACCACTTCCACTGTAATAGTGTTCTTAGTAATACTTGATATACTCCTTATCATAGTATGATCCGTATCGTAGAGCTTTTTTAGAAACCACACCCTGAAGAAGCTTGCAATGGCTCTCTAAATTCATAATTATAATGCCTTTTTTGGACAGTAATGACGAGTATGTTCTGATCTTCCTGTGGAATTACAATCTACAGTGTTTATAGTGTCAGTCCATTTGCAATTATTAAAATAAGCAAGTTAAATTACACAATAAATACAGTAAAGTGAACAGTTTACAACACCTGGACTTCAGTCCAAGTAAACAAGCAGTACTAAAACAAAATTCCAGCCAATGAAAAAAAAAAAATTAACAGTGAAAGCACAAATGCATTAATTGTACTTTTGTACAGGCTAGTGATCTTTAAATAGAGCTGTGCACTTTGTAAGCCTCCACTCTTATACCAGCATTAGCTTTTCATGGTCAATCAAAATTTAGTGATTTACAAGCAATAAATATTTGATTAGTTATGCCAGTTTTCCATGAGTCCACAGTGGCAATTACCTCCAAACCTGAAGATGTTACCGTAGTTTTGATATAAAAGGATTTGAATTAATGTAGAGCTTAGCGGTTCCACTAACCAGTTCCCAGAAGGCAGTATGGGTAATGGAGAGAGTTCAGTAGAGACCAGCAGTTCCTGCTATCCCTACGCACCAAGGCACTTAACCCCCAAGTTCCTCAAAGTTGCCCGCCTTAAATCAGAATGTGTTCTTAATGCATCTTCCCCAGTAAAGTAGAGGCAAAAAAGATCAGTGTTAATCTTCTGCACTGTCATCATTCCTCCATCCGTCCGTAACGCACAGAGAAAGCAATAAGTCTCTTGTACATGGCAGTCAGCAGTATGATGGCTGCTAGCACAATGCTACAAATTAGACTGAAGGCCCAGCGAGGTCCTAAGATAGTGTAGATCTGTGAGACGAACACTGGCCCCAACGTCCGAGCACCGCTGCCCGAAGCAGTCAGCCAGCCCATGTACACACCCTGAAAAAAACAAACATGCACACAGGCACACTGTAAGAACTGTATGAAACAGTATTTCAAAAAGGTAAAAACAATTCAAAAAAGGGGAACTTGACAAAAGATTGAGAAAATAAACTGGAACAGCAATATACAATATAGCTTTAATATATAATTACTCTTATTATTTTAAAATCAATAATTCTATATTCTAAATAATTAAATATTCTACATGGAATGAGATGCCCCCTGGTGAATCGCGTCTCAATTAGACATCCAAATTGTACAGAATGTATCATTTATATTTCACATAATTTCTCGTACAATGTCTGCCAATTAAACACTTGTTTTACATTCTGGTTTGAAGGCAAAGTTTTACATTTGTGTAACTTTTTAAGTGTGGAGGGTGGAGAAAAAAAAGCAATCGTGAAACAGAAACTTGTAATCTGTGGAGTAATGTATATTGAAGTAATAGAACATGAGCAGGAGTGCTTTATCATGAATAACAGCACAGGCATGATGTTAATCACGATAATGCACATCTCAAGTGTTACAGTTTTGGCAAAAGAATGTGCTGTTATCAGATATAAAAGGTTGAAAAGTGTCTTATCCACGTTAACTGATAACTACAACACTTGATTACATTTCCCAGTCTTATTAATAAAATTGTTGGTTAAAGTATGTGCCTCGGCTGCACACACAGTAACTTAATTGTTCAATTTTATTTAATATAATAAAATAGGTCATCAGTGCTATGTACACTTTTGGAGTTAGAATAATCCCTAGTCTTTCTAGTGTTAAACAACAGTAAAAATGTTTAGGACAAATTGACACTTTTAATGATTCTAATTCAATAAAAAAAACAAATGACAATAAAACAGAAATATTTGAAATGTCAATGTTGTTTAATATTTAAATAGTAATATGTATATTTATTATTATTAATAGTAGTAGTAGTTGTAGTGTTACATCAATAACAGCAATATCAGTTTAAACAAAGCAGTAGCAACTTACTACTGGAAGCTTCTTCTCCCAATATACCCTACTTTATCACATGACCCATGTCACACAACTACTACTAAAACATTAATGCATACATTAAACAAATATGAAAACCCATAATTAATGAAACAAGGTTTGCAAAGATCTTATACATTTGCATCATACATATCATACCTGTGGTTTGGGTCCCAGTATCTTGGAGTACAATGTGTAGGACATGACATTACAAGCAGGGTAGCCCACTCCTATGAGAATGTCAGACGTGATATACTGTGCCAGGTGGATGGCAGGGGTATACTGGCACCAGATCTGTTCAAATGGGCAACCAATGGGCTCCACAGTGCCATTTGGGAGCGGGCTAGCTGCCAGAGCTATAACTGGTATGGAGTTATTCTTAAGGTCTGTGTTTGGAACAGGAAGATAAATTAAGCAATGTAATGATGAGAAAACAAGCATAGGTAAGATGCCTTAATGGTATGTCTGAGAGCAAAAAAGAAGAACTGTTGAACTGATTTTTGAGCCTTTATGTATAAGTCATGTTTGAATCAGTGTAACAGCTGAACGATACGGTCAAAATACTATACTGCTAAATGTTGCAATTGTGGTATTAAACCTGTTTACATTGTGTCTCATTTTATTTTTCTTTATGACTGAAATGAGTTTAAATTCAATTTTGAATGGCTTAATGACTCACCTGCCCACTGAATCTTTGGGTAGTGGTTTCCCCAAGGTAACAAGATAAAGAAGCCAATAAATATTATGGCTAAGCCACCCCAGAGCACTGGACGATCGCCAATCCTGACAATGAGGAAAAAAGTCTTACTACAAACTACAGCTGCAGAACAATAGTCTACATCCCTTTATGCAAAAGGAACTGATGTTATTGTCTAATACAGTTAACAGTGCACTGATTAAGAATGACCTAAGGTTTAGTAGCATCTTTTATTATTGGTAGTATTACATCTTAAAGGCTTACAAGTAAATATTTGTGTCTGGATGATTAATCTTTCCTATTTGGCGATTGCACAATTATATTAGTATTATTTAGACATTAGGGTCTAAATTAACAAGAATCGCACCAGATTTTACTGAATGTCACTGAATTTCAGAGTGAGTGACCACAAAATATTTAGCAACACATTAAGACAGTAAATAAACTAAACAAACATGAGTATTCTGCATCTATCATCCACTTTTAAGAGTCACATAAAAATGAAGAGTAATACTTGAACATACCGCACAGAAATCACTTTTACTACAAGGAACACTATGATGGATTCAAAACCAATGGCAGCCAATATGATCCCGTTGTACAGAACAGCTTCTTTCCTTGTCCATGCAAACATGTCCATAGACAAAGGGGTGGATATACTGCAGAGAGAAAAGCTAAACTATGATGTGCATGAATGAAATGAAAAGTATACATTATTATTATTATTATTATTATTGCTATTATTATTTTTGGTAGTAGTATTACTATTATTATTATTACCACTGTTATTAAGTTCATATCTGACCAGCCATAGTCAAGATTTTTCATGTTTCCTGGTTCTATTTTTTGCCTGCTGTCAAAAACTAAACTTTGTCACAATTATCACATTTTTATCTTTCACTTGATTTTCTACCTTAAAAAACAGTCTGTTTGGGTGTTTGAGTATCAAATTAGGACTACATAACTAAAAATGTTTCTGAGATGAGCACTCACGTTTCAAACACAGCAAAAATGAAGAGGATGATGAAGAAAAGGATGTTGGATGTAAGCACAGCAATTTGGTCAATATTTCCCTCCACCTCTGGGCCCACAGCTACTTGCTCTGTGAGATTAAAAAACACAACATGTGGGTCTAACTGCCTACTCTTAAGTCAACACTAGTTCATGATGTTTGATGAAAGATGTCAAGATTTCCTATTTCAACATCTATTTCTCAAACTGACATCTAATACTAGTGAAGCATCCCACCCATTTTTCAAAAGCTCTCAGATTTTCTTTACAGTGGTGGTGATAGGTGGTCAGGTCACAATGTCCACATTGCAAACACAGCCATTTTATTTACTGTCTAAAATGATAAGTGGACCTAGATGTATATTCTGAGGTTTTGTAAGTAATGTTGATAATTGTAAAATAGTGGTAAATCTGAAAAAAGTAAGTTCTCTTGGGGCACTGTTTTGCATGTACTGTCTCACCATGAATGGATAAAAAAAAAAATAACAATAAAATATGTTTTATGCCAAAAGGTTATCTGAAAACTGTTGTAAAACAATGTCTTGGGCATCAGGCAGCGTATTCATACATTTTTTGTGTAATATCTTTCTGTGATGGAGCTTTTAAAGGCACTAAACATTTCAGACTGATTCCTTTCACCACCACTGTGAACAATTCTGACTCTGTAAGTTTCTCTATATGCATTTCACATCAAAGCACTTTGACTGACTGTTTTATCGATTGAATAATGAAGAAATATTGAAAGATCAGTGCAATTCCCCTTTAAGTCATTCATGAGAGGAAAACACTAAACTGTGCAGTGCTATAGCCCAGCATGACTATACTAAATGAGTATATTACCTTCTGACACATAGTTAATAGCTCTGATCTGCTTCCCATGATCATCCACACAATGTTCCCTGATGAACAAAGAATGTCACTGAAAAACAGAGCTTCTAAATGCACAAAACATGTCCAATTTTCACTCAAAAACATACTTCCAGTTTCAGTTAGAAAACCTTGATGAACTTATTTAGACAGAACCACTGCAATGGCACTACAATCAAAATGCTGACTGCTTATAGTTAAAGCATTACCTCAGGATTATAATAACCAGCAAGATGTTGATGACACCAAAGCAGGCTGCGAGAAGTGCTGGAGCAGTGTACATGTTAAAGTTCAGCTGAATGATCTTCACAGGAAAGCCTTTCTCACCAATGAATGACAGAGCTGCCTGAAGAGCTGAAGGGCAAAGCAGTCCATGGTTTAACAGGCATGCTCAATAGCATTTAATTACAATAAATGTCTAAACATTTTAAAATCATTAACAAATGAATCAAGAGTTCCATTATTATTAGTGGTATTATTATTTTGAAGTTATGTAACTTTTACTACACACTCCATCTGGTTTAATTTTAAAGAGGAAAGGCTTAAAGGAAAAAGTACAGAATCTGTATGTTTTACATGTTTTGTCTTTGTAAACCATAAAAAGGAGCCAAAAGCTACTACTTCTGGATAAAAGACTGCAGGATTCAAACCATTACCTAACTGCATTTCAACACCCTTTACAAAACTACAACTTCCTCTGAACACTGCCAAAACAAAACCACTGGTTTTGAGGACACAGGCACACTACCTCACTGGTGACATGAGAATGATCTCTGAAGGTATGTGTAGGACTATACAAATCACATTAGCTTTGTTTCTGTGTCATGTACATGTGCAGTGGTAATTTCCACTGTGTACAGTGGACAGTACCAGTCCTTGAGCACACTGGGTTCAAGTTAAACAATGACTATGAGGTTAAAGTGCAGAATGTCGACTTTAATTCAAGGGTATTTACATCTTTATTACGTCAACCATGCAGCAATGCTTACTAGTGTTCAGGTTGACTTGTCCAGGCAAGAACATTCCACGTTTTGGTCCTAAAACGCTTCATAGTTGCTTTTATTTAACATGTTTTTATATACATATACTTCATGCTAATACCAGTTCCAAACCTTTGTACTTACCATAGCATAATGCAAAAACCAAACAAGTCACTATTTAATTTCAAATATGGCTGCATAGTTACAGAATTTATGCACTTACTGGTATAATGGCATGTGTAACATGTAGCAGCATCTATTAATCTATTACTTAACTGAATCCCTGCACTTTCTATAGTCATACCACATCCAATCTATATTGTTATAAATACCCTGTGCATTTCTTTACATAAAATATATTGTCATGCCCTGTGTGGCAGCGCATTGCATTATTTGTATATACTTGCTGACTATTTGCATTTTGCACTGTCCGTTTATATAAGCACCAATTTCACCAAGACAAATTCCTTGTACACACAAGTGCATCTGGCCAGTAAAGTGATTCTGATTCTGTTTACATGTGTTCTGCTTGAGGATACAGACAAAGATAACAATTTTGGCTTCACTGCTCCAATGCTCACATATAGCAGAAATACATTTACTGACATAATCTGTAGAAACCCAGTGCAGATTACACTATCACTGCACAGGAAAAACACCTACCTGGGCCAAGTATGAATCCCAGAGCCTGGCAGGCACTCATGTTGGCCATTGCACTGGTTCTCTCCTTCAAGGAGGTGGCTCCTGCGACATAAGACCTCACTACAGCTACATTACCTGCAAAACAATCATGAAAAGACCCAACAGTAGTCGTCTATATATAAATCTCGCACATAATATCAGCTTGACCACTGTTTTTGTTATGCGCTAGAACTAGTGCTAGTCACAAAGATGAATTATTTCTTTGTTTCTGAAGTCTTTACCTGCTCCGAAGCCAACAAATGCTCGGGCCAGAAGCATGTGGTATTTGTTATGAGAGGAAGGGAGGTATAAATAGGAGTAGTAGATGTTGGCTGAAACATTGATGAATATAGAACAGACCAGTGGCTCCCGTCGAGGTCTGTGGTTGGACCAAAGTCCGAAAAGTGGCGAAGCCACCATCTGCCCCAAGCTGTAGGCGGCCACTACCCAACCCAAGAAGCTGGCATCTGCAGTGTTATCAATCTAAAATGACAAAATGAACATGTCTGAATGACTGACTGGCTTACCACAGACTTTTTTCCCTCAAACCATAATTTTAATAATCTATTTACAATCTACGTTTTAAATTTATCTGCAGTAATTTAACCATAGACATTTAATTCTTCTGAAGCATTTCTCACAGGGTACTGCAGTAACTGAATCCTCTGTGAGAGCAGGCTGTATGCCACTTTTTTGAGAGTGCAAAAAGGAACCAGTTTCATGGACATTCACCTGCCTATTTTATCTGCTTCCTTTTTTCATTTCTCTTTTTGTGAACAGTATATCTAGAAACTGCTAACATTTTCTTTGAAAACATAAATAGAATTTTCTTAACCAACATCACTGCTGCACTTCTCCAAAGACATTTGAACCTCACATGACACAAGCAACATCTTTACCTTTTGCAGATAAGGCCATATTGAAGTGATGACAATTGTAAAACCTGTGGAGAAGATGGTACACAGAGCTTTAAGTAATAGAGACAGTTTCCATAGCATACCAAGTCTTTATATGTAAATAAAAGGGCTGTAAATCAAGTATTGATCAACAATACACATGGACAGTGCCCTAAATTTTGATCAACAATCTGTAAACCACCACATTTTTTAAAATGTAGGTAGAATACCTCTCTGTATATAAATAACAAATAATTCTGTAGCTCTCTCACCCACACTGCTGAGGAACATGGTGAAGTACATGACCCTGATTGACTTCCACCGGCTCCTGTCAGCATCCTCAATGCTGCACGTAAAAAAATATCAAAAATTATTTAGGATTTTTATGATTTTTAGTCAGTGTTTCTCATAAATTTAACAAAGCCTAATTACAGTGTCATGAAAAAGTATTTGCCCCCTTATTTCCTCTATTTCTGTGTATGTCACATTAGGTGGTTTCAGATCCTTATACAGAAAACACGTTTTTTTAATGACCATTTTATTTATAGAAGAAAAAAATTTGCAACACCAGTATCACCCATGTGTAAAAGTAACTGCCCCCTTAACTTACTAACTTGTTGGGCCACCTGTAGCAGCAACAACTGCAACCAAACACTTCCTGTAGCTAGAAGCTGGTCTTTCACATCGCTGTGAACCACTCTTCTTTGCAGAATTGCTTTAAATCAGTTGACCACTTCTAGGCAGATTCACCCCTGTTTCAACCCCTGGCTTGCACTGCGGTTTAATGGAGTCCCATAGCCTCAGAAATGGCTTTGTAACTCTTTCGAGACTGACATATTTCATGAACATTCTTTCTCATCTCTTCCTGAATTTCATTTGAATGCAGAACAGCGTGCGGCTTGTTGAGACCTCGTCGAATTCACAAAGTTTCTATTTAAGTGATGTTTAGATTCAACAGAGCTGGCAGTAATCAAGCCTGGGTGTATCCAGTTTAACTGACCCCAATTATCAACTAAATATGGTGAACTCATGAATTGAGCAATTACTTTTTATCACAGTGCCAGTTCTTATTGGATGACTTTGTCCTTCAATAAGTAAAATATCTAAAACATTTAAGAATGTATTTTGTGTTTACACAAGTTGTCTTTTTCTTATATTACATTTACGTATAAAAATATTACTTATATTAAGTACTCATTACAACCATGATACACTTAGAAAGGAATATTGTGTTGTTCTGAAGTGAATCATAACTTACTTAAGCCAGAACTGTTCACAGCAGTTACGATAGGAACCGCATATCAGTTATACATTTCAGATGCCTCAGACACTAGAGTAGTTTTCAGATTTTGGACTAATTTAAGTAGTATTTAATTGCATTCATGAAGGTGGAGAGGTGTTGTACAGAAAACAATACCACCACCAACACAAAAACTCAGAAGACAGCAGTTATTTTGGGCAGCAAATAAAACTGCTGTATTTGCACTGCAGACATTACAAACCCATGGTTCCTTTCACCACCACTGTAAAGTAATCAGTTTCAGTACATTTCTCTACAAAACACCTTTTCACATCAATGTGAATGACCATATTTACACCCTATCCACTGAACGAATAATGCATAAATTTGAGAAAAATAGGTAAAATGTATTTTTAAGCTTTCAACTATAAAATACTTATACCACTATTAATTAGAGATGTGCAAGACTCAATTCATCATTCCAGGTGCCAGTCTCATACAACTGAAATCACTATTTTATTGTTTGTTATGTTCCATCATGGGGAGATGGACAATTTTATGTTTATTAGACTGTAAAGTACAAACCCCATTTCCGGAAAAGTTGGGACATTTTGTAAAATGCAATAAAAACAAGAACCTGTGATTTGTCATTTCTCTTAAACCTTTATTTAACTGACAAAAGTGCAAAGAAATGGCTCTTAATGTTTTAGCTGACCAACTTGATTGTGTTTTGTAAATCTAAGAAAAAAAACTGAATTTGATGCCTGCAACACACACACACAAAAAAAAAAAATTAAGACGGGCAAAATAAGAGTGAAACGTTTATAGAATATTCAAGTTACAGTTTTGAAACATTACACATTAAGCAGGTGAACACAGGTCACAGGTAAGGGTATCATGATTACATATAATAGGAGCATCCACCAAAAGCTCAGTCTTTGCAAGCAACGATGGCTTGTGGCTCACAACTTTGTGCAAAACGTCATAAGAGAAGTGTCAAACAGTTCAAAAAGAACACTCCTTAATGCAACATTGCAAAGAATTTAGGTCTTTCACTGTCTACCACATATAGTGAAAAGATTCAGGGAATCCGTCTAGGGCAAGACCGGAAACCACTGTTGAATGTCCGTGACCTCTGAGCCCTCAGACGGCATTGCATGAGAAACAGTCACACTACGGTGTTATATATAGTCACATGGGCTTGGGAGGACTCCAGAAAACCATTGTCACTTAACACAGTTCACCACTGCATCAAGAAATGCAACTTGAAACATAGATCAATTCCATGAAGAAACACTGCTGAGTTCTCTGGGCCCAAGCTCTTCTCAGATTGTCCAAAAAACGGTGGAAATGTGTGCAGTGGTCAGATGAGTCCATGTTTCAGCTTGTTTTGGGGAAAAAGGGACGTCGATTTCCCAGTGCCAAAGATGAAAGGGACCATCCAGAGATTTATCGGTGAAAGGTGCAAAAGTCAACCACGTGCATGACTTGCATACGTACCACTGACGTTTAGGGGTACACTGGGATTTCAGAGAGACATAAACTGTCATCAAGACGATGTAGTTTCCTGAGAAGTCCATGGTGATTTCAGCAAAACAATGCCAGGCCTTACTCAGCACACAACAGCAGGGCTTTGCAGACACAGAGTGCGTGTGCTTGACTGTCCTGCCTGCAGCCCAGAAAAACAACTGCGAATTGTTGAGCAGCTTAAGTCTGGTATCAAGCAAGAGTGGTCAAAAATCAACTTGCAAAACTTTAGCAATCAGTATCCTCAGCTTCCAAACGATTAAAATTAATAAATTAAAGGAAAGGTTAGGTAACACAGTGGTAAACATGCCTCCATCCCAACCTTTTTGTTGAGTGTAGTGTAGGCATCAAATTCTAAATTTGCTTCTATTTACAAAATACAATTAAGTGAAAATATTGGAAATCTTTGTCCTTTTGTCAGTTGAATAAATGTTCAAGAATGTTAACAAATCAGATGTTCTTATTTTTATTGCATTTTACAAATTGTCCCAACCCGGAAATGGAGCTTGGTGAACACCTCTGCTCGTATGCGTCAATAAGCGTGAATACTTCTACCAAACTATTTACCGTTAGCGAGGTGTGATTGACAAGTCTAAAGCTGTACTGCTAACTATGCAAACTGCTCTAGCTGGATATGTCGGTACAGAAATAGTGACAACGTTGTCAGTGTTACCTGGACGAACTATCAAGGTGGAACATCACTCGCTGAGGAGAAAAGTTCTCACGTAGAAGACGCTGAGAAGACGACTCCCCATGAACCCACAGTAGTACACAAAGACTCCCCTTAAATATTTTCAATAATAAAATATGTTTTCGAATTCACTCCTCTGTGTGCTGCACAGTTTGTGGTAAAAGTTTTTTTTTTAGCTTTCTAACACTGATGCTGTGCTCGCCCCAATAAGCTCGCCTATAGCCCCAGCTTACATTATCGGTTTCGGTTTCGGTTTTCATCCCTTCCCACAGTTTAGCCCAATGTTCATTCATTAACTCTTCAAAACACTCGAATGTCAAAATTACACGAGGCTGAAGTCAGCTTCCTATTCGCCAGCTTATTGGTCGATTTTCCCGCTCCACCTTAAATGGTGGAGCAGTTACATTCTGGTGCCCAAAGCTACTTATTCGGCGACTACTTGTACGAATTTTCCGTTCCACCTTAAAGGTGCAGCAATTCCATTCTGGTGGCTGTGTCGTCAGAACGTACCTGAGGCACCATTTAAGGTGGAACGGGAAAATTCGAAGAAGCTCGCGAATTAGAAGCTGACTTCTACCAGGACCCACATCACTCCTTTCAATTAGAGAGATCATACGGCTGGTGACCCAAAAGTCTGAGAAATGGACCTAAACTCGGGAATCCCAGGTTTGCTGGGTTTTTCTCTGGGTTTCTGGACTTGCTGTTGCATGTTTTGGTTTGGTATTTATTTATTTAGCATTTCAGGACTTTCGCATGTGGGAACATTAATTACAGGAATGTGAAAGTCTCCGACTCAGAAACTAATGCTACTGTCCTGCAACGCACACTGAGCTAACTTCTGAAATCATCACAAAATCTTATAACTTCTGTGGGACAACCAGCTGTACATCACAGACCATATATTTAACAGTTTAAGAAAACTAATTGTTAGTTATCTGACTAACAAACTAAAACTAGATTTGGCCCGATTGAACTGAAAAGTTACTGCTGGCCGAAGTAACCTACACAATTTAAGTTCAGTTCTACACAGAACCACTTCATGCTTAAACGGTTCTTTGCATGGTAAAATAGTCCTTCAGACTGATGAAGAATGTGTAACGTAGCTAAGATCACTGTACTCCGTACAGTATTTCGGCATTTTTCGCGTTTTAGTAGTTATTGTGGAAATACCCGAAGTCATACACGATTTAATTCAGCATTCCGTACACCAGCTTCCACAGAAGGAGCAGTTTTCCGTAGTGTTTTCCCTGCATTTTATTTGAAGTTTTATTGAATCTAATTGCATAAAAATAGACATTAACTGATTATACTGATTATAAAACTGAATTTTATAAACAATATGTGCAATGAATGAGGCTACCATGAAAAAAAAAAAAAGCTGACGGTGTAAACTTAGATTAACTCAGTACTAAACATACTGTGTTTCATGGTGATAATCCATTGTTTAATATTCGTTTTAGTGTTAAATATGATGTTTAAACGTGCTAAAATGCATTTTAACTGGCCATGAAAGTTTTCCCCACCCCATTCACATTCGCATCCCTGGGTTTCCCCACCCGCCATGTTCGTGTGGCGCTGGGTGGGGCGGTCACTATTTGCATAGATTTGATGTCCAAACCCAGCTTAGATGGTCTTGCCAACCGATTTGATGGAAAAAAGGATAACGCTATATGATAATGTCTCAGATGTATCTTTGACAAATGTCAAGAAAGTGGTTTTTATTACACAGACAGAAATATTTGCAAGTGTACGGAATACTGAAGTGTACGGAATACCGTGCTCTTACGTTACACGCTTTTATACAGCACTTCTTCGAAAATGGTTCCATATAGCAAGCTTGGAGCAGTAGAAGAACCCTTTTTGGTGCTATAGAAATACAACACATTCTCCATCAGGGTGAAGAACCACTTCACCATGCAGAGAACCATTTAAACATGAAACGACAGAACTCATGTTTCTAAACAGCACCATTGCCTCGAGGAGACCTTTAAGAATCACTTTTAAAACGTGACCATGGAAGCAATAATTGTTAACAAAAAAAAAAAAAAAGTTACACGATTTAAAATAATAAAAATGAGTTAGCGCTCTTAAAGATGACCACTAAAGCGACTGTTTTGGCCGTTTTGTCCACTCACCTGTCAGCGTCGCCTCTGAGCAGAGGAGTGTTTTCGTCTTCAGATTCAATCAGAGACATGGTGGTGTGGTTTAGGTTAACTGGTGTAACGTTAGTCAGTAAGAGTTTGGTTTGTAAGATGCCTCCTTAGGTCCCTTAAGCTACATGCTTTACTAATCAAATTAGTCAAGTTAGCGTCCCAGTTCACCGTTTTCGGAGTCTTGCTGGAGCAGCAACAGGACGAATCCCGAAAACGTCGTCAGCAAATTGCATAAAAACGCTTCCATTTTAACACGCAGTCTGCAGTCTGAAGTCCAGCAGTGTTATTGACGCACAGCAGCAACACTAGCAGTAATGAAACCCGCTCCTGGCAACTAGCTACTGTGACTGTAACGACGTCATGATTTACGCGGGTACTTCGAATAGTTTTCAAAATTAAAGTCTTTTTTCTTTGGCAAAATAGATATAACGTGCCGACCGCAGTGTATTATGTTATGTAACGATAAAACGAATGCGAATATCAGGCAACAAGAGCTCAAAATTAGTTATAAAATAGCTATAACAGACAACGTCTGATGTGAATGAACCTCTTTAAATAGTCTGTCTGTTACTCACGACTCACTACACTGATACAACTATTACAGTAAAACATTACAATAATGTAGAACAAAAATAAAGAAAAAAAATAGAACAAAATGCCCTCCGCCAAAAAATGTTTGCGTCTGATTGAACCCATATTGGAGTCACTTGATTTACCTTTTATCCTCTTTTTTAAGGACTAAATACCGTCTTCAAAATAATGGTTGCAACATGTATCTTTAATTTAAACCTTTTAGTAGTTTTCCTGGAAACGTCAAAAATATTAAGAATTATACATTAGTGATTATAGGCAACATACACAGGCTGTACAATGGTTATGATAACTATTGAAAGACAAAACGTCCAAACTAACCCAAAAAACATCTATAAATAATTTTTAAAAATGGGCACATGGAATCTGAACATAATAAGAGGGGTTATATCTGAATCCTTCGATTAAACAGTGCATTTGTCTTCCTGAAGCTTTAAAGCGCGTTTATCGGAGCACTTTCTCCAAAATACGCGAGAATGACGTCAGCAGCGCTGTCGGCCATCTTTGGCGGGAGTGAAGAGGAAGCAGCGGAGTTTAAAGTGGTGTTTTATGAAGATTATGAACACAGTTATTGACGTATTCAGCAACAGCTGGTTTTAGGTAGACCGGATGGGTGTCCCTTAAGCTGAGCTTTTGAATGTTGTGTGGATATTTGCGGCTGGTCGGTAGCTGAGCCAGAAACAGCGCTGACAGATGAGGCAGTCTGGTTTATTTGGATCTTGGGTAGGCTTGAGTAACTAACAACTGGTTACTTCTGTAAACTCTGTCTAGCGAGATAACTGCGCAGAATTTGGTCCTAATGTCTTATTACACTCATATGTTATAATACATATACGTATATATCTATAATTTGCACATTTATTTATGAGTTGATCTTGTGATGATGCATAGAGTAGTGACATAGTTGTGGCCCTGTGTTGGCTCCAGTTCATTAATTCACTAAGTAAGAAATAGGTTAAGTCAGAAAGATGTTATGACTGGGTAATTGCAGAATAAATTTCCAAGATAGCTTTTGTCTAATAGTGGTTAGAAGACACAGAATATCAAACAATGTCTAAAGTTAAAATAGTAGTGGTTAAACTTTTTTCTGTGTATATGAGATTATCAGCCATCAGTAGTCCTCCCTTTTGTGTGTTCTCTAGGTGCTTACAGGGCCCTATTGACTATTGACTGTGTAGGAAGAGACCACCATGCCTTCCAGTTGTGCTGTCATTAACTGCACCTCCCAGAAGTACTCCAGAAACTCTGATGAGACTCTGTCATTCCACAGGTAGCCTGCTGAAAACTAACTGGATCTTTAAGTTTAACTTCATTGTAGATAACGTTTCTTCTTAAAGGCAGGAGAAGTTGTGGGTCAGTAACACTGTTGGATTATGATCCTGTTAGCTTTCTTTAGTAGTTTTAAAATTCATAGTAAAGATGCTAAATTGTTTGTATACAGATTCCCTAAGGACCCTGAGCGGAGGCTGGAGTGGTGTAATGCTGTTCGCATGCACACTTCGGCCTTGGAGCCATTCACTCTGTCCGATAACAGTGTGCTCTGCAGCAAGCACTTCACAGAGGACATGTTTGATCGCACTGGTCAGACTGTGCGTCTACGAGACAAAGCCATACCCTCTGTCTTCAGTCTACAAGCTAGAAAGGTGCAGCAATGCAGTAAAATATTTCAGATTTTTTTTTTCATTTTTGCAATGTTTAGTCACTTTAAAATAATACATTTTACATATACCTTAATTTGAAAAAGCATCTTGTATGTATCAAAGTTTTGATAAATGCAACTTTTGATATATTGATATATGACCTACTCCTTGTTTCTACACTCATTGTCCACTTTATCAGCTCCACTTACTATATAGGTGCACTTTGTAGTTCTACAATTACAGACTGTAGTCCATCTGTTTCTCTGTATACTTTGTTAGCCCCCTTTTACCCTGTTCTTCAGTGGTCAGGACCCCCAAGGACCCTCACAGAGCAGGTACTATTTGGGTGGTGGATCTTTCTCAGCACTGCAGTAACACTGATGTGGTGGTGTGTTAGTGTGTGTTGTGCTGGTCTGAGTGGATCAGACACAGCAGTGCTGCTGGAGTTTTTAAAACTGCCAGACTGAGAATAGTCCACCAACCAAAAATATCCACCCAACAGCGTCCTGTGACCACTGATGAAGGACTAGAGGATGACCAACACAAACTGTGCAGCAGCAGATGAGCTATCGTCTCTGACTTTACATCTAAAAGGTGGACTGGCAAGGTAGGAGTGTCTGATAGTGGACAGTGAGTGGACACAGTGTTTAAAAACTCCAGCAGCACTGCTGTGTCTGATCCACTCAGACCAGCACAACACACACTAACACAAAGTGCACCTATATAGTAAGTGGAGCTGATAAAGTGGACAGTGAGCGTGGAAACAAGGAGGTGGATGTAATGTTATACCTGATCGGTGTATATATACATTTGGTGGGTTTATTAATTATCAGTGAAATGTTAATGCTTTTGTGCTTTTTCCAGAGAACAAAAGATGAGGATAAAAAAGAGGGGATTCCACATAAAAAGAGAAACAGTGCAAGACTGCTAAGGAAAAGAGAAAAGCATTGGGAAGAGAGCAATAAAGAGACCATACAAAGCACAGGTGAGTCTTGGTACTTCATGTTTATGGTGAGATTTTATTTAGAAAAAATAAAGTACATCAAAAATCCCATTAAAATATTAAACTATTGAAGCCATTGAAAAATCTGGCATTGATTCTGAAGTTGTTACTATGAGACATCAGTACAGCCAAATGCACAGACATGAACTTCAAGAAGACTCTATAGTTTTCTTGGCATATCTTGGAATTATGAAACCAACTACTGAAAGCATTGTTAGTTAAATATTGTGATATATGAAACTATGCACTGTAGTAAGGTATAGTAATTGGATCCTTTCCCTGATTTGAATTGGAGTGTTTCCATGTTTCTCTACCCAGCACCAGGTCTGGGAGAGTTGGCTCTGGCAGCAGAATTGATGGAAGAGTGTCAACAGGAGATTCAGAAGGGCTTCCAGAATGACCACAGTGGCCTTCCCCTCCCATCTGACCCAGCCCGACTGTGTGGTCTGGTGCGAAATTTGGCTAAAGAGAGACACTGGCAAGAGGAAACCCTGCTTACACTCCGCAGAGATCTCAAAGCCAAGGACACTCAGCTGCAGGAGAAGAAGGTGGGCTGCAGGGGTGCAAACCTCCCACAGTGATTTTAATGCCATTCTTTAGAAAATGATTGCTGAAACCTTAAATTTCATGATTGGATTATTTTGGTACTACATACATACATCATCTAAACCACTTATCCTTCTGGGTCGCGGTGGGGTGCTGGAGCCTATCCCAGCTGTCATTGGGCGGAAGGCAGGATACACCCTGGACAGGTCGCCAGTCCATCGCAGGGCAGACAGACAGACATACACAATCACACACTCACTCACACCTAGGGGCAATTTAGCAAGTCCAATCAGCCTGACTGCATGTTTTTGGACTGTGGGAGGAAACCGGAGTACCCGGAGGAAACCCACGCAGACACGGGGAGAACATGCAAACTCCACACAGAAACGACCCTGGTCGCCCGGCCGGGAATCGAACCCAGGCCATTCTTGCTGTGAGGCGACAGCACTACCCACTGCGCCACTGTGCCACCCACCTATTTTGGTACTATTTAGAACTATATGCATTTTTTTATTTTTATGAATATATTTATGTATACAGTCTCAAAAGTCAGAGACCACCCTTCATTTATTAAATTTCCAGTCAAAACAGCCAGAGTTAAAATTATTACGATCAAACTAATGTTAACATTATTAAAAGATATAGAGAAAATGGAACAACTGTGCAAGACCTGGGGGTTAAGCTATCTGAAAATATGCACAGGTGTTTCTGTCCATCCTTCCACTGTGAAAAGACAACTCAGCTTTGGTCTGAACAGATGTGTAGCTGTCAAGAAGTTGTTGCTGAGAAAAGAAAGTAGACAAACAAGAACATTTTTAGATTAAACAAAGAAGCTGCTGGTGTTCTCAGAACAAAGGACTGACCACCCCAGAATCCAGACCTTAACATCACTAATTATGTTTGGGATTACTTGGAAGTGATCCAAGTAAGAAACAGAAAATACAACCAACTTCTAAGACTAAACTTTGGAGGTGTGGAAAAATATCCCTGTAGATTTCTTTGAAAAACTGAAAGCAAGTGTCCCATAAAGCCTGGAGAGGCAAAGGGTGGACACAATGCCACAATGCATCAAAGCATTTTAACACAGCCAAATGTATTGCTTTGTTATTTGTATTATTATTGTTTGCATTTTATTACTTTTTTGTTTCCTGCCACCTCCTCTTCTCTCATCTTGTATTCCTTTCTCTCTCTTTCACTGTCAGCTGCGGTTGGAGTGGATGACACTAAATCAGAAAGAGGTTGATCAGTCTAAAGTGTATTCACTGGAGAAGATGTTGTCTGAACAGCGTCTGGAGCTGCTAAAGTTACAGGAGGAACTGGCGCGTACCAAGAAGCAACTAGAGGAAAGAACAGAGTCCTTCCAGTGGCTGGCTGCTATCCGACAAGTGAAACTTTATTTCTTCATCTTGTCCTAAACTCTTTTTTTCTGCTTGTTTTTCCCTCCCCACAGCTATTTATTTTGTGGATTTGACCAGTTATTCATTTTCCCTCACTTGCCTCTGTGTCTCAGGTCACTCCACCCTCACGTCCCAGCATGTTCAGCGTGAAGGCTCTTTGTCGTGGGTCTGCAAAATGGCTCCGTTTCTACACAGGCATTAACTCGTATGCACGTTTCCAGACACTGCTGGCTTTCCTGCAGGGCACAAGTGGATCTGTCCTGGACTGGAATGACCAGGAGGAGAATGAGGGGGGTGAGGAAGAGGAGGACGAAAGAATGAGTGAGAAAGAGGAGCATGTGCCGCCAACTGTACGTTCAGACCACCCTCAGACTAAAAACAACAGAAGCAAGTTTATGTGGAATTTTTCCATCATCAGCCTCTTGCAGTATTTTATCATATTCAGTTTAACATGCTTTGTCTTTTTTTGTATTTTGCATGTTGCAAGCTGACAGTTGTGTGACAATATTTTGTGTATGTCACATCTTAACCAGTAGATGTCGCACTAAACAGACTAATTCCGCCTATGCTCCAGCACTACTTTAGAACAACAGTTACTTGCAATTCACATTTGAAATTACATACAAATTACAGAAACATTTTTCATAGTCAATATAGTGAGGAACTGAAGTGTGGACCCAAATATGGGTCCTTAGGGTTTAAGGGGTTTCATTTATGTCTTCCTATGCCTTCTTATATTTAGGAGCCGAAGCTTAAGGCATCAGAGGATAATACATCAACAGCATTGCCTGTTACTGAACCAGACTGGACCCCAGAGGAGACAGCAGAGACGGTGCGTCTGCGGCTCTTGGGTACACGGCGGGCAGATGAGGGCAGACGACATGCTCTCAGCCCAGAGGACCAGCTCCTGCTGGTACTGACCCGCCTCCGCCTGGGCCTCCTCACTTCAGACCTATCCTTCCGCTTTCAAGTGGCAGAGGCTACTGTGTCCCGTGTGTGGGTCCACTGGGTGGAGCTCATGCAGAAGAGACTGCAACAGGTATAGGGGGATGATGAGAGAGAACTAAAGCTGTCTTGCTCTTTGTTATAAGAAAGCAAAATGTAGCAGAAGAGAGAGAAAATTAGTTTTGGTCAATAGGTATAATGATGACATTTAAACGGCCCATATCCTATATTTGTCTTGTATTTTACCTTATTCCTCTGAGGTCCACTTATAATATTTCTGCAATTTTATGTACAAAGAACAGTCATAATTAATTTAGTACATGGCCATTTTCCAACCTCTCTTTACCCCTTAGAATTAAACAGGCTGTTTTTGTTACTGTGCCTTTAAGACTAATATATGTAAATGAGCTCTGTTCTGATTTGCTGCCCTGTCTTGTGATTCATTCAAAAATGTGTGGCGCTAAACTGCTGTAGGCTGAATAAGCAGTTATACGTAAATAAGTTGGTTTCTTGTGATGTCACAGAAATAGTAAATTCAAAATGGGCTGTTTTGCAGCTTAGTTTCCATATGTGGACCATAAGTACTGGGGAGTGAATGCTAAACTTTAACAATGTTTGACATGCTACGTTTAGATTTTCCATGATATGGACTTGATTGAATTTTAAAATGTGAGTCTAAGAATGTTTATCATCACCTATTTTTTACTATTCAGACAATTAGGATCACAGTTTTTAGTTATATGAAACCAATTTTGTTGTAGGTACTTGTGTAACATGATTCCAATACAATGCTATTATTCCAGAACTTTACACATTTAAAGTAATTTACTGTCAAATAGAAGCTGTAAAATATTTTTTAGATGTGTCCAAAATGATGACCGAAACTGTGGTTGATAAAATTGTACTAATATTAACTTCCACAATGCCTTATATTTGTTATGTATTTATTATTGAGTGGTGATTAAGTATTGTACAATAGTGAATTAAGTATTGTATGTAACTTACTCTAAATAAAAAACATTCTAAATTAATAATTACAGGATAATATTAATCATTTCATTTCTGGTTTTGTCTAGATCCCAGTGCGTTGTAGCCCACACTACGTCTCAGTCTTCCAACCCAAACACACTCTGTCTCTTGGTTCTGGTCAACAGCTGACCATATTAGAATGTGCTGACCTCCTCTGTGACTCCTCAAACCGAGAGCGACTGCAAGTAGCCAGGAGGCCATGTCCCACCTCAGACCGACAACACTTATCAGCACTACCCTACCGCTTCCTCTGCCAGGTCCGTGCCTGCGCTGTGGCCTCACCAAATGGTTACCTAGGCTTCTGCAGTTCTACCCGCCTGGACGAGTGGCAGGAGCAGACAGTCAGTCAGGATGAGACCAAATCTGCCTCTCTGGCTTTACCTGCATTTTTAACGGGTGGAGAGGGGTCAGAGCCTATTGCTGGTATGCCAGTACGAGAAGTGCTGAGTATTAAGAGTCTGACAGATAAAGTGATGAAATATCATTATCTGAGGGTAGTCCATCCTTACAGATCAGAGACTCTACTGGACCAAACCTGGGAAGTGTGCTGCTACCTGGCCTGCCTTCTGCATCAGCCAATGGGGCTTCGCTAGACTCTCTATGCCCATCTTACTCCATACTGTAATATAGAGTTTGGCAAAATAAACACATTCTCCATATCTGGCATCGTAGCCTCTTTCTGCAGGCCCCCTAGTGGTAGCTCTGCTGCTGGAATGGGAATGGACTTGTATATTTTAAATTAATATGATGAAATAAAATGTTTTATCTCTGTGATTAGATTATCTAGGACATGGTTCTCTGTATATAAAATGTGATTCTGAATCCTCTAGGATATGCTGAAAAAAATAGTACTTTAATTGCCAAAAAAAAATGAAAATCTGTAAATTTGAAAACTGTTTTGGCCAGTTGTTCAACAGCTAGGCATTACAATTTCTTAGAAACCTTCTTGGATGAGTGCTACGTTTGCAGCCGAATGTGGTGATAATTACCATTCTTCAGACCTTACCCCAACGTCATTATGCAGTGACAACTCTGCACTAATTCATAGGTTAAAGGGGCATAGATCCACAGGCCATGGGTAATTTGATTGTTGAACACTGACAGCAAAACTTTCCATCATAGTCCAATAACAGTAGAGTGCTTTTGTATTGTCTAGAAAAAAATAGATTTTTTATTTGTACGGTTCCTGTCATAATACCAGTTTTAGCAAAAACTCAGTCTGCTGCTGTTTACAGCAAAGTGCTGACCTTGCAGGGACTTCCCCTGAAATGAACTTGCTAAAGAGTTGTGAAATTTCAGTTGAGCTTTGTTACAAAAAAGGCCTAACCAATAGGATTGGACTTTACATTTCTTCCAGTTTTAGAGTATAGCTTTATTTTTTGGTTTGTTTGTTTGTTTGTTTGTTTTTGTTATGTTTTCCATTGTCTGTTTGGCTCATGTCTCCCACAGTTGACAGTTATTCTGAAGAACACTGTGCGTGGGCTACCAGTTCATAAACTGCTCTGTAGCTAAATTTCATAGCTCCAGAACTGAAAGTGACTTTTGTCCTGTACCTCCTGTGCAGGTGGGTGAATTCACGCCTGGTGGTCTCCTGCAGAGCACGTGTTGCATGCTGCACTGCAGAGAAATAGAAAGGAAATGGTGGAGGTCGGCTGTGGCTTTTATGGTGTGTTTTATGAAACACAAGAGTAATATATTAAAATAGAAAAAGAAAAGAACAAATTATTGACAGTTATTGATTTCAGACACAGTTATTGAAGACTTCTACAATATTGAAACTTGAAAAGCAATCGTGTCTGCTTTCACAGCCTTTCTCCAGTTCCTTGTATTTTCACAGTGGAAGTAGAAAATATATTTTTTTTCACGCCTTCCTGAAGAAGGGGTGTTGCTGTTGAAACTGTAAGAGGAAGGAACATGCCGGGTAGAGACCTTATTGCTGTCCAAAACCTGAGAAAATGTAGTTGTTCAACGGATTCACTGAAGCAAGACAAGCTACAGAGTTATGGAGCCCCTAATCAGTTCAGTGAATCGCGCTGATAACACCAGGACAAAAGCAGGTATGGTCTTCTAATCACACTCTTCTGTTAATTGCTTGGTAGTTATAAACATATTTAAATACATGTATAAATTATTCACCTCTTGAATGCTAGGCTTATTATCCTTGTTGTTCTTATCTATTCATATTCCTTGTAATATTCTTATGTAAATTGTGTAGGAGTGAGAGGAGTTGAAGTGCAGGTCAATAAATGGGTCGTTAGGGTTTAAGGGGGAAAAAAACACTTTTTCAGTTGTACTTTTGAGATCGTTTTCGTGTTTACAGGAAGAGAACACAATGTGGATAAAAGGCCTGATCAAGTATGGATGCGGCTGGTGCTTCTCTTTACTGTCATCTTGCTAGTCAAGGCACTACTGATTACAAGTGCCACCTTTTGTAAGTCTGGTCTCAAAACTGTTCAAATCAGGGTCATTCCCCTTAATGTACAGAATGATTTTGTCTGCATCTTAAATTATCCATGCAGTCCAGAGCTTTTAAACCTCATTTCCTCTCCTCAGTGTTTTTTCTGCATGCCTTTACACAATATTTCTACTTTGTTATTAGAAAGCTTTTAATTGGGGGTATGGACCTGCATTTCTAGAAGGCTGCTTTGGGGCAATGTCTGTTGTGAAAAGTGCGACTTTGTGAAAAGTGTGAAAAGGGCTGTTTTCCCTCACCTTTACTTTCTAAAGAAACTGAGCGAGTGCTGTGACACAGAGAAAGTTTCAGTTCTACTGAAAGCGATGTGTTAGTCTGTGCTTTTTTTTACTTTTCAGTACTGAGAGTGGATGTGTCTGAAGACCTGCAGAATAACAGAACTTGTGAAAGGAACAACAGCACAGAGATAGAGATATTACAGCTTCGTGAACACCTCCAGAAGCTCACAGCGCTGCTTCATAATGTCACCAAAGGTATGCAGCAACTCTATAGCTGTTCTGGTGTCACTGAGTGTTAATCCTTTAACCCAGGGGTGTCCAATCTTAGCCGCAAAGGGCTGGCGTGGGAGCAGGTTTTCATTCCAAAGAAGAAGAGCACGCCTGATTTCACTCGTTTAATCAGTCAGTCTCAGTCTTTAAACAGCTGATCATGTGTGCTCCTGCTTTGTTACAACAAAAACCTGCAGCCACACTGGCCCTTTGCAGATAAGATTTGACACCCCTACTTTAACCTCTTAAACTCATGCACATGCACAGGTAGACCCCAAAAGGGGGCTTAAGCCCCTGCCCTTTTGCTCTCAGACATGGCCATTCTTCAATATCAGTTTCAGCAAGGTTCAGCTCAGCTTAGCCCCAGGAAAATAGCTTGTGGGTCTTGGGCAGTACTGACCACCTATGGAGCCCTAATAATAAATTACTGATAGCATCTCTGTATGAAAGAGTCATATTATGGTTATTTTGAACAAAAGCCAAATATAATATGGCAAGAAGAGACGCTAATACCTTCATCAACCATATTTTTATTACTGTTCAAAACAGGACTAATGCCAGGCTTTAGGGAACACTTAAATAGAGGTATAACTCACAGGTGACAATTACATCGCAGGTTACAGTGTGGTACACTGAGGAGTGGGGTTGAAATCCTTAACACTATGTTTGATTTCTTCTGAAACATGATCACTGTCTATCTTGATAAGTGTTTGCAATATACTGTAAATTAAATTAGGTTTACTTCACCTTCTGCCTTTATTCTTTTATTTTTTTTTCATTGAGCCACTGTCCCAACTATCTGTGCATGGGTCAGCTCTGAGACTTATTTTACATCTTAAGGATTAATATTTAGTAATTACATGGAAAACAATGCACACTAGCTGAATTCTTAAACTTCCTGTTATCTTTGGGGTTAATTTGTCCTTATTCAGTGTTTAATGTCCTTTTTCTTTTGCTAAGAAACAAAGTACCTGACACACAAACTTGGGAATTTTAATTATAATGATTTTCCTGAGGTTTAAATTGCTGGGGTCAAATCGACTCTAAGGATAAAAGATATTAGTAAATTTAAAGGTAACAGGAGGGTTAAGGTGTAGAAGTAAGGAATGCAAGTCTGAAACTTCCTGCTGTTCCAAGGAGTTCACAGACCTGGCAGAAGGTCCAGACGTCTGTTCCTCACTCCTGTAATTTAATAGCTCGTATATTTTACATTTTTCATGTAGTTATTAAATGGTACGCCTTAGGATGTAAACAGCTATGACATTTTAGAGGTTAATAAAAGATGTTAAAAAGTTATTTAAAATTTTCATATTCCATTTAATTGATAACTGTAGACTTTGGGCTAAGCCCTTGGTAACATTTCCCTAAACAACAACATTATTGTTCTTAACTCCTTGTTCAGTTTTTAAGGTATTAATTTTTAGTAATTAATGTATTTACTTGCTTTTTAATTTACTTATAGTAATTACTTTGTAATTATTAGTAACTATTTTTTAATGACTTTGTAATTATTTAGTACGTACTATGAAACTATTATGAAGGTATTGTGGATATGTGAATGTAGATAGAGTGAAAAATGTAACCTTGCATTTAATTGCTGTCCAAAGAAAAATGTATATCTCCAAAATAGTAAATTCACAATAGAAGGTTCTTAATTTTAATGTAAGTTAATGTAAAAGTTGTTTTATTCGAAGTAATTTCTGTTTGTCCATTCATCATGAAATTTTCATTGAAGGTAAAGGACAGCTGCCAGGTTCAAATGATGTAGAAAAATAAAAACAACAAAAATGGAGATGCACAATGATGTGAGCCTTTGTAGAGTTGTTTGATGTGAAGTGATCCATTCTAGAGAAACTTACAAAAGTCAGAATTGTTCACAGTGGTGGTGATAGGAACCAGACATCTAAAGGGTTTAATGCCTCTAACAGCTCCCTCACAGAAAAATATAGCACAAAATGGCTACGAATACACTATCCGATGCCTGAGACATTGTTTTACACTATTTTTGTGAAGATTTTTATGTTTTTGTTTTTGTTTTTTCAGTCCATTCATGATGGAGAGGTACATGCGGGATGGATTAAGGCAATATATTACCCCCCAAAAAAATCACATTTACCACTATGTTACCATTTTCAACATTACATACAAAAAAGATACATGTAGGTTCACTGGTTGTTTTGAAAAAAATAAGTAAAATGGTAATATTTGCAATGTAAACATTGCAACCCCTGGCTCCTATCACCACCACTGAAAAGAAATTTTAGTCAGTCAGTTTCTCCACAATAAGCTACTTCACATCAAATCACCCTGACTGACTTGTGGAGTATAATGTCGCTGAACGGTGGAGTTTAATGTCGTCCTCTTCTAGGCCTCTTGCACAGTCTCAATCACACAACTCCATGCCCTCTTTTCCTCTATGTCCGTCAGACTCCAGATGTCAGCTATGCCCAAAGCAATGGCACTGGCTCTGGGGCCACTGCTACTTCTTCTCTGTGGGCCTGGAGAAGGATCGCAAGTGGGCAGAGAGTGTGGACTACTGCAGAGAGCACAATGCCAGCCTGGCGGTCATTCAAGATGCCACTGAGATGGTACGAATGGACTGATAGATGGATGGGTTGATGAGCGTTCATGTCAGTGATGCGTTCAGAGACTAGCAGAAACAACAATGAGTGCGAACAAAACAGGTTAAATAAAGGAGTTCAGAAAAGTAAGAGTAAATAGTGAGGATTCTCTGTCATTAGACCAGAACCAGTTCTTTTTCTCTTACATGTTACTTAAGTGATGCAATACTAATTGGCTAACAGCAATTGCTTCAAGTTCAAAAGTAATTATTTGATTAAATTCTCAGTTTTAAATATGAAACTCTAGAGTGTGCATTCAGAAAATAAATAATTTATGAATACCTTTTACAGCAATTTGTCCTGGGATATATGATGACGTTTTCCGAGACGCCATTTCTCTGGCTGGGCCTCACTGACTCTCAGGAAGAGGGTGTGTGGATTTGGCAGGATGGGACATCTTTTCACAAGCACAGCTTGTAAGTATCTGTCAGTCACATATGTACCCAATCACTGATCCTTCTGTATTCTGATTATTTGATTAATTTCAGAACTCTGACTGTCATCGTAAGGCTAAAGCAGTTGGTCTCATTCTTGGTGCTCTGATCATTGTGAAGTTTCCATGCTTCATTACACCTGCTTCAGTTCATGAAGCAGAGCGTCATTATGCGAGTTGGATGGCGTGTAATAGACAGACAGACAGATAGACGGATAAATCATAAATCAGTAAAACTGCAGTATGTTAAAGAAAGGTGAAAATTGCATTAAAATGAGAGTCTGGCTGCTGATGGCTAACCAAAAATGATCATACAGTAAAAATGATCCTCTCCTGTGACAGCTGGGTCCTCTGGTGTGACTTAAGAAGGGCATCACAAGAGGGGACACAAGCATGAGTTAATGGAAAATAACCTATTTTAATAGTGATTGTTCATAACATTTCAAAAAAGTTTAACATGATTGTCCATATTTTTAAATAGTTTGCAAATTTGCATGGTTCTAAGGCAAAGTGCGACTATTCGGTCGGTGTACCTAATTAAATGGACAATGAATGTAGATACAAGTCCTCATAAACTGTATACTGGTCACAGATTATAATGCCTCATGGTGTTTTTGACATTATAACATTATTCAAAGAGTACCGTCAAAGCAGAGTACAGGAGGAGTGGAGCACATTATAGGTATATATGCATATACACTCTCAGAAATAAAGGTATGAAACTGTAATTGAGACAGCACCCCTCTTGTCACTGGGGTGGTACCCTCCAGGGTACATCTCAGTACATTTAGCCAGGGAACATAATTGTACTATAATCCACCGAATTTTTTTTTTTTTTTTCAACTTGTATTGACTCCAAACACCCCATTATTGTTCTGTTTTAAAACATTAGGTTATGAAAAGGTACAAATATGTACTTTTGACCTCGGCAAAAAACTTACAAAAAGGTACACAATTGGACTTTAAAACCACTGTTGTACCTTTGAGGAAACATTTATATTGTTTGTATTTTGATAAACGAAAAATGTACCTGCACAGTACCTTTATTTCTAATGGTGTGTTTGTATATGACCAAGTAGCATGGTCATTTAATACTTTGGAAGGAATGCAATAAATTACAATATTTACTATTAAGTAGAAAAATTTGTTTAAAAAATAGTTGTCTGAACATGCTAAACAGTCATAAGACATGTTTTGTTAATTTGCTAAGGAAAAATAAGTTAATGCATCTGTTACAACTTTAATAATAGGTGGAGGGAGGATGCCGGGGGCAGGTGTGAAGACGGAGAGCTATTTTTATTATTCATACACAACGCAAAAACCACTTGGCTTTTCAGCCCACAGACAAATTAAGACAAGACACTCGCTGGGACTTTCTTAGTCCTTTCTTTCTTTTGTTCAGTTCAGCTCAGCTTTAGCTCTGCTCTGCTCGGCTCGCCTCAACTCTCACGCCTTCACGGGTCTCATTCTCTCTCTGGGCTCTGCCACCTACTGAGAGAAGAGGTGACTATAAGTAGGCTGGCAGAAACAAGGCACAGGTGAACATCATCAGCTACTTAGCCCATTGGTTCAGCCCGTCCGGCTTCTCCATCCTGCATTCGACGCTCGGCCACGTCCCCTTCTCCAGAGAACACTTCTGCACATTTGACACACATTTTATATTTTATGTTTACTTTTTTCTAACATGTTAAATAAATAGAGATTGTGCTTTAAAATTCATGAAAAAAGGACATATTTAAATGTGTTCCCTGTTCAGGATGTGTTAATTTATTTTCATTTTAAAAATCAACATGCAAAATAACTTTTGCTTATGACTGTATCTTAACCCAAAAGCAACAAACAAGTAATATAAGACAATTTAAATAGTTCATGCTTGAAATCAATCAAATCAGGAGTGTCAAACTCAAGTCCTGGAGACTCAGAGCCCTGCAGCCTTTTCTCTATAATTAACTGAGGATGGTCTTTGTAGTTAGCTGATGAGTTGAAGAAGGTGCGATTTTAAGCTGATCTACATTTTGTGCTCTGACATTTTGTGCATGTGTGTTTTCAGCATAAAGCTGCAGTGGGACTCTGAGGAGAGAGACTGTGCAGACCTGAGGGGGAACGGAAGTGTGTTTGCCGCTGACTGTAAGGTGTACGGGCCCTGGCTGTGTAAGAAACCCATGGAGCCAGAGAATTACCCGACATCAACACCAGCATGACCACATAAGGAGCATAACATGCAGAGTTTCTTGTCACTTATAAGACACACCCTGCCCTGACAGTCATTAGTGCAGTCTTGCCGGTTAGTGAGCAGATTTTCACACTAGAAGTGAAAGTAAGCAGTGTTTCAAAAGCCCCTCTCCTGGGACGTAGCATGTGCAGTCACTGCAGCACCTAAATGGATTTACGTCATATCCAAATTAGGTGCACCTGCAAGGAGCCTGCTGGCCTGAAAGCAGTGAGTAATGTGTGAGTGAAGTTTCAATGACTTTTTAACCACCTTTAGTCAACATACGAAAAAAAGTCATATGTCAAACTTTATAGCCTCTATGTTTCACAAAAAAAGCTGCATATTAGAGGGGACTATGTGTTGAAGGAGGTGTATTAATTCAGTCAGAGTCACATGGATACATATTTACATACTTTATTCTGACATTTATATTAATCGATTGCAGTCACTGAAAACATATATTAGCATTTCATATATTAGTATATATTCATATAAAGGTCACTAAATCTTACTGAATTACCAATAAACATAGTGGTATAAGAGGTAGTGATGCTCCTTCTCTTACTGTAAGTACTCTTTGTCGTACTCTGCTCTTATCAAGTACAACAATGTCCATTAAAGTGAACAATAATATTTTTGACATAGACATTAAATATGTACACCCTAGTGTAATCATTTGAGTTCACACTTTGACACACATTAATTCTAAAATAAAGTGCAGCCAGGTAACAATCAGAGTAATAAAAGGACAACTACAGAGAAATAGAAAATACAGTACACACATTAGCTTTTTATGGTATTTGTCTAGGATTAATCTGTAGACAGATAAATAAATAATTTGATGATGTTTGTATAGTTAGATTTACATGTAAACAAATAAATATGTGAATATTGTATTTGAATGGAAGGGTACACGAAAGACTAAAGGAATGATGAAAAGTTGAACATAACTGAAGGAAAGCTCCATACATAGTAAACAAATCATAAAATGATAATAGTGAACTTTTATTTACACTCATTTAAGCTTCAGCTAATGATTTTTACTGAAAGGAAAGGGAGGAAGGAACTGGTCACTGTGGGTCCTGCCCACAGAGAGGGCAGGGGAAAGATGTGGTTGGGATATGGTGCCAGGCACTTTTGGGTAGGGGTAGTATGGTGCCTACAGTCAATCTGGCTACTGAAGTAACTAATGTTTTGAAAAAGATCCTAGTTAAAAGTCCACATATCTGCCCCTCTGGTAGTGAGGAGTTACAGCATACCTGAGCTGTATATCACTGCTTTTGTAACAAAAGCTTATAATATGAAATGATATTATTTTTCTTACTTGTATGTATGTTAATTTGTTGAGATATTATTGAAAGTAATGTTAGCCCATTCCTTGTGGTTCGTTATGAGATTACCAAGTTTTAATATGACAGTAACGATATTCTGATTCCAAAATATTTATGTGCCTCTTCAAAATTAGGCAAATACTTTTTTTTACATATATATTAAATATATTAAGTAATGCTGCTACTGCATTGAACAGCACAGCTTATACATATGATGTGCTCCACTCGTCCTGTTCTCTAGAGCAAATTTGTGAAACTGTGGTGAACTGAACTTGGACTTGGGCTGATTTACACCTTTACAAACTACTAGCATCTTTAGGAGATGATACGGTAATGACAGTCCTTCCATCCAGTGGGGCGAAAAGAGGGTACAGCTTTTGGCGGAAGTGGCCTGTGAAGGTGTAGATGTGAGATTTATTCTCCACGTTGTAGAAGGAGATCTGGCCCTCCTCGTAGTCAAGGTAAATCCCCAGCTTCTTGGGCACTAGCGTGAGCGGCAGGGGCGTCTCTGGTTCAGTGCAGGCGTAGAACTGCCGCGTGCTCCGCCACAGGGTCCAGTAGCCTTTGGAGGGCTTCATGGGAATGCGCCCTTGCCTCTTGGCAGAAGCAGTGGTGACCCCCACTCTCCAGTAGCCGTTGTTTGCTATATCCACCTCCCAGTAGTGGCGCCCACCCATGTAGCCCTCCCAGCCCAGGACACACGGCCAGCCATCAAAGCGCTGAGGGCTGAACGGCAGGTCAGCCTCCTGCAGGCTCTCCTGGACCTTCTTCTGGTCTTCAGAGAGCTGCAGCCATGGGTGGTTGGTCATGGGGTCAAGGGTAACGTCAACTGTGTTACAGAGAGGAGCGAGGTGTAGGTTAATGGTTGGTATTAGTAAGATAATATAAATACAGACTATGTAATATTGCTTATTGTTGCTGCCAGAACAAAACATTGTATCTCAAAAATGGTAATTTTTGAGGAGCAGGAAAAAATATTCTTAACTTATAAATGATTTTAAAGTGAAAAGATTTTATTCCAAGTCATTTTAGATCATATCAGTTCTATGGTATGTTGTCTATTCATTGACGTGTTCACTCAATGTAAGTAGCAGCCAGTGCTTTTAAATTTAATATATATAAAAAAATGGAGAGATAAGGTTTTGTTCCAACAGCAACTATTGTTGTTGTTGTTGTTGTTGTTTTTGTTGTTGTATTTTGATAATCATAAGAAATAAAAGCTCTTTTATATCAGAATTAATAAACTTACCTGCTGCACTGGTGATCCATTTCCATACTAGAAAGAAATGAAACATAAGAGATTAATGAAGGCTCAAATGTACTCACAACAGATGCAATTCTGTTTGAATCAAACTGCTCATGTCATGTAAATTATTATCAAGAACTGAAACATATTGTCACTGTCTGAACAAAACCTTACAGGAGAAGAAAAATCTTAAATTTTGATGTTTTAGTTAAAAGTTAATTTGGAAAGATGTAATTTAAAGCAATTTTGCACCATTTCCATCAGTTCATTCATTATGAAATTCTCACACAATGTGAAGGACTGCCTGTTTATTCATTTATATTAATTTATATTTATATTAATTATGTTAAAAAAATGAAAAACATCAGAAATGGAGATATAAGTTTTTGTTTTTTCGACAGTGTCAATACTGAACTTTCAGTTGATATGTAAAAATAATGATGTGCTATTTATGGAAACGTACCTGAGTTGGGGATGTATCGCTGTGTGCCTGTTTCAGAAACAAAGCATAGTGGGGAGACAACAGTAAGTGGCTGTGACAGCAAGGGTTGTAATTAAAACAAGAAATATTAGATAATTTCATACCTAAATGAAGTAGTTTAATATCTTCAATCACCTTAATGCATTTCCTTTATATCTACATGCACTTTAAACAATCATAACTGAGAAGATCTTTATATTTCTCACCTGCTTTCCAGGAGCGCTGCTTAGCAGAAAGCCATAGCTGAGAAACCATATCCTGCGTTAATGAAAGAAACAGAAAGTATATGTGAAACTGTTCATTTTCACCACATCGTTTTTTTTGGGCTTGTTGGTCTCTGCAGACGTTTGCCATTTTTCAAGGATTGACTAGAACATTCTTGTATTTTTTAGGGTTTTTGTATTAGAGAATCTACATGTTTGTTGTAGCAACAGAGTTGCCTCTTAATAGTGCTGTATAATCTAGGTTGCTACTTGCCACATATCTGTGTCCTATATCCCACATACATTGACGTCACCTACACTGTGATATACATCTCATTTATGTTGAGGTCAAAGTGGCTTTACATCACATACTTTCCTGCATAATTTGCCACGTTAACCATTCTGTTCCATACACCTTGCTTTATTGCATCTCGACCCTGTATCTTATCATATGCTCAAGGATTATATTATAAAAGCCAGGAGGGTCAATACAGACATACGTTTAGTATGCAAAACTATATGTTCATGAAAAAATTATGCAAAATATTTACTGATCTAAAAATAATGTTAGATATAGGTTTGATCAACTTGATACTACTCAATCCGAAACTGAACTACAGATGTTCTGCACTGGACTTTGAACAGCCTTTACAGTAATCAGGTTTATCAACCTAGCCTTAGCACCCATAACCTCAACTTGCGTGTCTCATAAAACACAAAGCTGTTTTATTGGGCTTGATAATTGCCTGAGTACGTGCTGAAATGCTACTTGAACCTTGCGTAAGCCTGATCAGCAACATAATGAGGTTAATGAGATGTTTGATTAAGTACATAGTACACACACAATTAAAGCTGCAGCATGATGGACTACATGAGGACATTTATCTCAGTAGCAGCTGAATATATATATATATATATATATATATATATATATATCCATCTGTAACAATTTTGGATAAAACATTTTTTTAAAATAACAGTTGATGTGTGGAAATCATATTTTCATTTCTCTAATAAAGATGATATTAATCATAATATAACATTGATATTTCTTATATATGTAAAACCCACTTTCAACAAGTGATCTATAATACATTCATCATTTACAGGTAAAGGCAAAAGCATTCTTAACTGTAATGTTACATAATGTAAAAAGATTTTATCTCAAGTAATTTTGAATTAATTTTCTTTGGTTAATTCATCATTGTCCAATGGCTATGTTTAAGCAATGTAATTACAGAAATGTAGAAAAGAATTACTAATCATTATTTATAGAAATAAAAATGGAGAATTTTTTTGGACAGTGACAAAATATTTATTGCTTAAATATCTGCTATGGTTTTATTTATTGATTTGGGGCAACTTTGTGTTCGAATGTAAACATCCCTGATCATTTTAGACAACTAACTCCAGAAGCCTTGACCTGAAGAGAAATCAATGTTTGTAATGAAGCAGAGTAGAGGTATCTGACCTTGCTGTCTTCCTTCAGTAAAGACCAGGTGATGAACTCCAGCAGGGGCATCAGAGTCACCAGCCTTTTCTTTCTCAGGCCGAGGAGACGAAGCGTCTGCGCCAGCTCGTCTCCCAGCACTCCACAGCTCTGAGAGAAACACAAAGGCATGCATAAGAAGTCTTGCTTCACAATGAAGGCCACTTGCCAGCTCAGAGAAATAGTAGACTGGCTCTGATCTTTCAGAGAGCTGCCCAAAGCAATGTAGAGGAGCGCATTTATCAGTCTGGACTGGGCATATATAAAAGAGGGGTTTTAAGGACATATACTTTACACACAAAAGTGATCAAATTTGCTTGATTGAAATGTGAATCATTTCAACATGAATAATATAATGTTGAGTTTGTATCTCAGTTTACTTGCTTTTGTCAGATGGTCAAATTTCCTGTGTTTGAACATGCTTCTGCACATTTTATTGTGTCTACTGTTCATTTTCTGAACTTAAAAAAACAAAAAATGCGGCCTGTGCAAAAGTTATATTTCACTCAGCAAATAAATAGAAAGTGTGCGCTAGATTTGCAGAAAAATGCCAATTTTTTTCCTTTTATATTTTCACCCAGAAAATGAATGTAGTTATGTTATAAGTGAGGTTTGGGGGGAGGAACATGCCTGAAACCCCTCCTTCTTCCAATCTAACAACTAATAAGTTTACATCCAAGCGTTCGGAATCCCCACGGCCACCCCATCTCCTCCCTGTTCCTCAGTCCTACATCAGTCCTACTTAAGCTATAAGGGGGTCTGGCCTTCTAGCTACAGACAGAGGCCGCCCAGAACTTCAAGTTCTCCCCCTCCCTCAATCAGTCTTCCCTCATACTACCACCTCATACTGTTGAAAGCATAGTCTGAACTCACAAAGCAAAATATGTCATGGGATCGAGGGTGTTCAACTTTTTGTGCACGAATGAATATTTCATCCATGTGGAAAAGATGTAGGGCTACTCATTTGAATCGTGTAAATTCCACATATCCCTGTTTCAGTATATGATTAACTAGAACCTTTCTAGTTCTAAAGCAGCATCCAGTGAATATTATAGTGAGATCTTTAAGATGAGGATAATCTGTGTGCAGGCCACTGACCGCTCACCTCTGACACACTCTGCAGCTCTCTGGCCCACTCCATAACCCTCTCCTGCAGCAGCTCACTCTGATCCTTCTTCTGCTGCTCATCAACCTCTCCATGCTCAAACCTCTCCTGCATCCATTTGCTCTTTTTAGACAACTGCAAGGACACATAGCATCTGGGTTAGATTAGTCAGACTGCTGTGTCCAGCTTTGGTTACTGTCGTATCTCTCAATTTGGCAAATGCATAGCATATATGTACTATAAACATTGGTCTAGCGTCTCACCATGTCGACGCTGTTGAGTTCGTCGGCCCACAGCAGAATGAGTTTGCGGCTCTCCTCCAGGCTGCGCTCAGTTCGGGGATCTTCAGGCTCCTCAGATGCTTCAGAGGGCCACTTGCTGCATCCTTCACCAGCATCGTCACCCTTCTGCAACCGCACAACACACACACAAAGCAGAGATTAGTACAGCAGTGAATGTGAACAACGTGAGCATCATCGGTGCTTCATTCATCAAAACTAATTTTAAAAGTATCAGAAAGAAGAGACACTGCAATATTTTTCATGTTAATAATGCTACTATAATGTTGCCAATACATATACTATGACAATCTGTTTCCTTTCCCTACTGCTCCTCTGACCATTTCTTTCTGGGATTTTATTTTTAATAACCTGTGACTCCTGGCCCCCCCGTTTACTGCCTCTACACAGCCTGCATAGAGCCACAGTTAGTCAGCAGCTGTGTTAAGGTTTAAAAAACAAGAGGCCATAAACAGAGATTAACTTCTTTTACAATCAGCCATCTCAGCCTCATAAACCCACCGAGAGATAAGCTGAGAAGATATATGTCTCCAGTGACAACGCTTATCATTATTCATGATGTTTGCACGCAAAGGGGAAAATGTCAGGACTTACTCTTATCTCATAAGTAACTAATATAAATGTATAAGAGTAGAATTTAAGGAACAGAAGCACTGGACTTTAAAATAACCTTTCTTTGCCCTTACAATGTTTTAGAGTGGAGTATTTTCAATTTGAATGGATGATTTTAGTGTTTTCTCCACTGTTATAGGCATAATATTAATCAGCAACAACAAAGCCATTACTTTCACAGTGTTCACATTGCACTTCAGATATGAGCTGACCCTAACAAACCTCCCTTACTGTATTATAGTGCAACTCCTCTGTAACATAATGCTGTTTTGCACAACTATACAAATGTTTTTTTTTATTTTGTTTTGTTTTTTTTTGTTTTAGAAATATTCATACAATTCTGTAATAATAAGCAAAGCGAGTGAGATGACTGACATTATTATATCTTTATTATATCTGCTTGCATTAGGATCTTCAAAAACGTTTCTTTCACTGAGACAATCAGAGTGTTCAGACTATAAACCTCAATCAAGCATCTCAGATTTACTACAGCTCTGAAGGAAAGGTATAGAGAATATATATGAGTCAGCCATCAAATGCTGCTCCATCAAAACCTTACTTTGGGTGTCATAAAAAAAGTTGTAACCTTAGAAATAAATAAATTAAATGTTTTCAAACTGCAATGAGATGATAAGATTATGTCTACATTAAGATTTACAGTCAGTTATAAAGCTTTAAAAGAAAGAACAGTCAGTAGCAGATTACTGCCAAAGCCATGTACTGGACTTAGTTGCCAAAATGTAATGGAGGAAATAAGCACTGGGAAAGTGAAGGGAAAATCCCTCATCAAGCAGACAGTTTGGAGTCTAAAAGAGAGTGACTCAACTACTGCTGGGCTAGTCTAATAGAATTACAAGCATTTTTAGCTGCATTTTCAGAACAGCTTCTTTTGCGCCTGATTGATAAGTTGACTACCATCCCAAAGGAAATGCTCCATTAGCATAAATCTACATGAACGTGCCTATCTACATTGCTTTACACCAGCCCACTCTCCAAGACGTCTGTTCACAAACCAAACAGCAGTTAAAAATGAAAAAATGAACTTATTTTTTTTTATTTTCTTTATGTGTCTCATGGCACTCTCTCTTTCTTACCTTGCACACTTGTGCCACCTGTAGTTTCCAGTGGTTGAGGAACTGGACACACTCCTGCAGACTGCGGAGGTCTTTCAAGGACTGCTGCCGCTGTCTTTGCTTTGGGGAACATACAATCCATTAAATAATATGGTATTATATGAATGATGCTCTGCACTGTAAAATCAAATTTACACAATGTTCCTCTTTTTCAGAATAGTCAGTCAGCCAGGTCATGTTTGGGGTATGAAATTTGCTTCTTAGTTTTGCATTTGAGCCACAATTAATGTGCAAACTGCATGCCTAAATCAACACGGTGTTGAGTGGTTAAGTAATCTCAGTCTTGTTTGTGTGGTTTCTGACACAGTGTGGAATGCAGTTATGTGTAAAAATCAACAAAAACACATCAATTAGTTAAGAACAGCAATACCAGACATCTTTAAGCCTGATGTCTTGGCTGATTGAATACATTTGCCGATTGAATACTGTAGTGTAAATTTGATTTTTCACTGAACTGTTTCTTTAACATTTATGCTATTACATTGTCAGATCAAAAGAAGTTCATTGCAAATCATTGTTTTCTTTTATTATGGAAATGTAATATTACCAATATTACCAAGCAAATATGCCAATTGCATTGGCATTAGGGGCCTTAAACCTGAGTGATAGACATTTTCTTTTTATTTATAACACTGTTATTAAGGGTTATTCTCAAGTAATGAAACTAATAAGGCAGAGCTTCATATATCAATTCTATGATTTTTCTACATGTGCTAAATTTGTTTAAGCATCAAAAGTACTGTCAGTTATTACAGTTATGTGAAACTGAGAGCTAAGGGGAGTTAGCTGTTCATGTCTGACCACACAGGTCTCCTTAATAAATTTTTGATAATTTTGTATTTTGACTCAAGCAGAACAAATGTCCATCATTTTAGTTTAAGGCCTGTTATATCAAAAAACATCTAAATGACATCTTGTGAATAGTGGCATCAGCAGTTAAAAAGTACTCAAAAAAGTATTGCTTTATAAACATGTTATTCAGTGAACTGTGTTATGAAGTCCTTTTAAAGATAGTATGAAATGTTACTGACAATCTCCTATTAGGTAATCGCACAGTTTTCTGCTCAGTATTTATTTAAATAGTTAACAAAATCAGACTTTGTTTTGACACATCCTGCATGTTGATCTTACCATAAAAATCACAGCAAATCAAATCTTTTCAGTTCTTTTGTTAACCAATTTGGTTAACAGAGTGGTAGGCTGTGAAATGAGATCAGCGAAGCAGAAAGCCAATCTGAGCACTTCAGAGTGTAGAAGCAGAGGGTGGGAGGCAGATGTTACCTGTGAGCGTGTGGAACGTGTAATGCTGTTTTTGAACTGGCCACTGGGAGCTGAGCTGTGAACCTGCACCGATTCCTCTGGAAGTGTCCACCGCACCGCTCCTATTGAGTGACTCTGCACTTCAACGTTGGTCAGAGGATTCATCTCTAGAGGAACCGAATGACATTAATGAGAGCACAGAGATTATTAGATTATCATTATTATTTGTAGTGGTGGTAATAGTAAAATTAGTGAAGTACTAAGAACATAGTGTAAAATGAGGGGTTGCTTTGGGGGCACATGAGTACCTTCAGGCTATATCCAATAACAACTGAATCAACTACTATACTACTACTACTAATAATAATAATAATAATAATAATAATAATAAGAAGAAGAAGAAGAAGAAGAAGAAGAAGAAGTAGTATTTGTTTAATTTTTATTACTGTTCTTATTACTATTAGTAGCAGTAGCAGTAGTAGGATTACATTTATTCAGTTGGTACTGGAGGCGGCCTAAAGGGGCTCATGTGCCCCCCCCCCAAAACAACTCCTGCTATTACACTGCACCTTTCCACATTTATATGTTCCATGCAAGTTGTATGATAAAATAATAAGTATTATAAACATAATCACTCTAAATTTCAAAATGCACTATAAAATATTAACATGAATATGAACAGTAGTAGACATACTCAGGGTTTTATCTTTAAGAATGCCCTTCATCTTTTGTGGTTTTGTCCGTTCAGCTGTAAAACAATGTTAAAGAGTGAAGTCCATGCTGAAAATATTAGCGGTAGCACATGCAAGTCACTTTATCAAGACATAATGTGACAGTAGATATTTAAAAATCATAACCTGTTTCATTTTCTAAATGTGACATAACAAATGCAGATGATCTATTAAATAATATATCACTCGTATGTAACATAATACATTTTGCTTGTAATCCCAGAATAAGTAGCGATGCTGCGATATGAAATGTAATCCCAGCAGGACTTACCCAGCGTAGCAGGTTTGTGATTGTGTGTAGAGGTGATCAGTGAAACTGGACAACTGAGCACTCTTGTCTCGCCTTTTGTGTGCAGCCAGTGCCATGCGATCTTTGGACCTGCTTTATTGCCCCAGTGGGCAGAACAAGAGGGGGGAAATCTTGTTCGCCTACTTACCGTAACTAGACCTGCCAAAGCTCAGTTTATAGTAAGTCAAGGGACTTAGAGCTTAACACACATTTTTATCAGCAATGACGGGGGTTAATGACCAGTGGAATCATTCCAAGCATCCTGGTGCAGGAATTATGTTATTATCTGTCTCAGCCCTGACCATGTCGGGCACTGAGAGAATTATGTGATCTAAGATGACTTCACAATTCAGAGGAAAACCCTGTGCTATAAATCCAAATGAGTCAACTGAAATGGTTATGTGACATACGTGAGTTCCCATAATTGCTACTAGTAACTAGTAAGCATTATTTACTAATTAGCAAAATAATGAAGAAAGCTCAAATGAGTCCAGACAAATAAACTACCTGTGTAAAGATCTTTCATTGTAACTTTAACTTCTTGAACTGTTTTTGGTCTGTTTTCCTGCCTTGAGTCCAGGACGAGGCCTTAATCTCTGTCTGAGAAACCAACCCATACAGTCATATGAAAAAGTTTGAACACCCCTGGTGAAATGATTTTTTGTGGGGTTTTTTTGTGTTTTTCTGAGTGAAAATAAGCAACACATCCCCTACAGAAAATATATTTATATATAATACATTTATATAATTGATTTAAAAAATGTAAATGTTTTTGTGTACAGTTTCTGTCTTTTCACTGTGTTTAACATATTGGAAAAAATAGAACACAAAATATACAGTGGCATAACTTTGGCAGAGATCACATTTTATGTTTTATTTTTCCCCAATATGTTAAATTCTGTACATAAACAGTAACTGTGCATTAAAATGTGCTGAACCGTGTTCTCTGCAGAGGATGTTTTAACTCCTTTTCATCATACAAAACAAAACATGCAATTTGGCACCCGAACTTTTGCATGTGCAAGCTCATGCGTCTATTGCTATGATTTACTGAATATGTAATTACCCAATACAATATGTTAACTATACTGACATTATGAAACAGTGCTATGCATTGGAAGACCTGATTGTCATGAACTAAACTTGGTGGATACAGAGCAACTTCATGAAGTCTGTTTGGCACAAACCCAAAGGCTGTTCTGCGAGCAATAAAGGTTTACCTTAAATGATAATGCTGGCATGGCCTTTGCTCCAAATTCTGTTGCGAAAGAACATATATTATATATATATAGTATTACATAAGACTGTTTTAGCAAATTTAAAAACAGTATTTCTAAATACAGCTTTGCAATATTTGTTTGCAGTCATGGTGGCCTTAACTGCTCGCTGCTGCGTCAAGTGTTTCATATGTAACATATTTCAGGATAAATGTACAAAGAAAGTTCTACCTTTTAGAATCCAGAGCAACAAAAGTGCCATTTAATATGTTTTGAAGATGTTAATTTGCTGAATATAACATGTTAGAAAATAAATAATAAAACCAAAAAATGTGGCCTATGCAAAAGTTTTGGCACTTCATTTACATATTAAAGTCATCAAAGAGATTTGATTTGTTTATACTTCTGTTTGTTTATGTATGTATACACACACACACACAGTGCTGTGAAAAAGTATTTGCCCCCCATGTTTCAGATCATCCAACTAATTTAAAACAAGACAAAGACAACACAAGTAAACACAAATTGCAGCTTTTAAATAACTATTCCATTTATTGAAGATAAAGATTTATTCAAAACCTATATAACCCATGTGAAAAGGAAAGTTGTGCCATCCTTGGCAGTAACAACTGCATTCAAACGTTTGCAATGACTTGCGATGAGTCTTTTACATCGCTGTGGAGTTTGGCTCCACTCTTCTTTGCAGAATTGCTACATCGGAGGGTTTCTGAGCACGAAATGGCTGTTTAAGGTCTTGCCACAGTATATCAATGGGATTCACGTCAGGACTTTGAGTGGGCCACTCCAAAACCTTAACTCTATTTCTTTTGAGCCATCCAAAAGTGGACTTCTGAGGTTTTGCTGAGATTTTGGTAAGCCGGACACTCCTGTGAAGGTTCACTACTGTTTCATGTTTTCTCTCTTTGTGGATAATGGCTCTTGGGTTATCTTTGTCTAATATGAAAAGTAGTTTGATGAGCTGAAACTTTTACATGTGATAAATATACACAAGTAGAAGAAATCGGGGAGGGGGAAAATACTTTTTTACAGCACTGCATATATATCACTTGCTGTTAATTTGAATAAAATTTCTAGAGGTCTAGAGGGCTGTACAGAACACCAAAAAAGGAAATGTATTATGGATAGGTGATGTTGAGTGTTACTATGATTACCTAGAGATTCACCGTGACACATAGCACCAGATCTTACTCAACACATACATCATCCGTGAGTATTCTGAGAAACTTGGCAGCTGGCAGTGGTTTCACCCAGGAGGACAAAGTGCAGTCTGGTATAAAATAGTTTATTAAAGTATCACACTCTTTCTGTGTCACATCCTCCTGTGCATTAGACAGAACTTTTGAAACACAGTAACTTGTCCTTTTTACAAAGAGACTTAATTGAGCTTTATATATTAATAATGACAACAATAACAATGTAATTATACTGCTACTAACTCAATGAACGTATAGTAATCACAGCATTGATTAAGTTATCAACACCACTGAAAATTCATTCCCATTACAATGTATATGCAATACACTCTCTTAACTTAGCAACACCCATTATATAGTCATCATATCAGTGTTTATACTGTGTAAACTGTGTAGCCTATATAGGAAAGAGTTGATTGTAAGGTCATGTGATAATATATGCTGCATATCTGTCTGGGTAAAAGGTGACCAGTAAGGTAATCAATTTGTCCATACAGTGCAAGAAATAGGCTCAGAAAACACTTTGGTTTCTTGTGTCATTATGATTTTTATTTGTTTTTTTTTTGCTCTTAGAACAGTAAACTGATTATTAACAAACAAAATGAGTAAAAAACAGAACTGTCCATAAGCTTTGTTAAATGTCATGTTGGCCTGAACACTGGTAAATAACACAGATCATTCTCATCACTAAGAGTGGCAGTTGCTTTAGGATTTGAGTTTAATGCGACTGATTTGGGTTTGGTCATGCAGAAAGGAGAAAAAACTGGTCCTTGGGTAGTTCAAACAGCCTGTTAACTATGTTAGCTATGCTAACATATGATTACTCATGGCTCTTTGCTGTTTTTTCTTAAAGACATACATCTTTGTACTTTGTGAGAATGAAATGGTGGGTTTAGATAATAAAATACTGCATCACTGTGACATTATGATAAAAACAGATCTTTCTTTTCTACTGACTGTGCAATTAAAATTTTTTAATTCCAGTTTTGGAAGAACTGCTTGAAGATGACCGTCTCTCGGCCCTGTGGTAGGATCTCCACCTGTGGAAAAAGGAAAAACACATACTTTATGAAGGTCTAACTGTTTCTACTGCATAAGTTTCATGAATATATAAAACCAGCCTAGTCGTATGCCGTGCAGAGTATGAGCATGCCATATGACCTACTCGCAGATTTATGAGCCTCTGAGAAACCATTAGAAAGTGAGGGAAAGCATGTGACATGTCTAATAAAGAGTCCCCACCCATCGTCCTGTGTGACATTTACTCTTCTCCTCTTCAAATGCTCCAAAACTGTAGCATACATTAATAACTACATATTTGACCCTAAAAACTTGTGATAATTCATATTCTATAAAAATGTGAGCAATGAGAGTAGGGGATTACACTTATTGCCTTGGAGGTTTTATTTTGCAAAGATATTAGGTCTCAGTAAAGCAAACCTGAGTTTTCATCCTGGGGTAGTTCATTTTTTGTATGAAATCATCTGCCATCTTAAGAGCTTCCTTCTTTTCGTCTGCATTTGCTCCACTGCCTGTCAATAAACACGGACAGAAGACTAGTCAATACAAATGTGATGGATTCATCAAAAGGATAAGATAAGCATTATTAATAAACACAGTAACAGAGGGTCTTGTGGGTCACTTATGTGTGAATAAATGAGGAAAAATAATTAGATATTTCCATAAGTAAACAGCACTGACAAGCCCTTTTGATGTCATTTACCTACTGCTTTTGTGCGACAGACCACAAATTATATTAAACAAAATGATGTCTCCAAAATATTAACCTGGGAAAGAATGTCAAAATCATTGCATAACTAATGAGTCAACTGGAGACGATCCCCATTCTAGCGGTTTAATAAGCTAACTGAAGAAGCCTTGTTCCAGCCCCTCTATTCTAAACATATCAACTGAGCTCCATTATCAATGATCTGTTTATTAAGAGGCGATAGCAGATGCAGGGATCAGGTTTATGCATAGATATATGATCTGTTATGAGTTAATTATTAGTAACAGGGCTCATATATCTTGCTCTCACCTTTCCAAACGAAGATCTTGCCATTGGCTCCATTGTCTAAGATGAAGCAGTCATCACGTACAAGTAGGTCCTTGGCAAAAGGAGTTTTCTCTGAGACTTTGGTCAGCTTCATTGAGCCTGTAGCATCTGAAACCTGTGGGGAAATTAACAAACTGCAGGTTTGACATTGTTGAAAATGTTAAGGCCTTGGCAATAGTTGGGAAATCCATAGGTTTTGCTTTTATACAAAAGTATACACGACATCGGTTTTAAAGTTATATTTTTAAAGATATTTGGCCACAAATATTTAAGAAATATGCAAACAACAATTTCTCAATGCAAATGGGTTGTTTAATTATCAGTGAGCGCATTTTCAGAGCTGTTATTTGATCTCTCTCATTCAAGCCTGTTTATTTGTCAATCTGAACAACATTGAAATTACCTTTGTAACTCACTGTTTTTTGATGCTAGCATGTGTTTTGGGCATGCATAAAAAAAAAAAAAATCACAAATTGCCAAGTTTTTTGTCAATGATTTTTCACATTGTGCTGAGATTGCATCAAACAATTTTTATTTTGCCATTAACAATGCACAGAAAAATGTATTGTCATATGTAAAAGTTCGAGCACCCCTGCTCAAATGTCATGTTTGTTAATGTTCTAAGGGAAAATAAGTCAATAAGTGATCTTGTCTGCAAATGTTTCCTTTTTTATTTGCTGAATTTAATATATTTGAAAAACATAAGATATAAAACCATTATATTTTATTTTTCCATAAGTTTAATCAACGTCAGCATTGACTTCTGGCTACAGTGAGATATGATTTCTTTGTTAATTTATGCAAATAAATGAACAAAAGCCTGGCGACCTGTCCAGGGTGTATCCTGCCTTCCGCCCAATGACAGCTGGGATAGGCTCCAGCACCCCACCGCGACCCAGAAGGATAAGCGGTTTAGATGATGGATGGATGGATGGATGAACAAAAGCTTATTTTCTAAGTCTTGTTTTCTGAAAATCCAGGGTAATTTACACATGACTGTGGAACCATTTTACAACGAAATTGACAGCATGGAATAATTACTAATTCCATATTTATTTACCCGCTCAAGCTTAGCCACCTGGGTTCACCCTCACTGGACATGTACAGCAAAAGTGATCCAAAACTCAGCATCCTAAAAATCATCCACTGTGCTAAACAGTAACTATAAACTGTGCCAACAGTCACACATGTGTGGCGGTACCTTGTACAAAGATGCAGCGTTAGATACATCTGCTTGGCTGTCGTCCTCTGGAGAGCTCTCTTTAAGCTCTGGCAATGGACCAAGCACCTGTCAATAAAAAAAAAAAAATGACAAAGAAATTTAATGAAGGCCATTCCAGTCAGAACCAATGAATATGTTCCCAGCACAGGCAAATAAGCAGTAAAGCTAGTAGACCCTGAATGTAATTCATGTGTTTTGTTACGTAATCCTGGTACCAGACTTGAGTTCCTTGAGCTCTGAGAGGATATCTGGTTAATTGAATTCCAAATTCGGAATATTAGAACTGAATATGATGAAATCTGGTTGGTTGTGATTGCTCCCATCACTTTTCTGTTCAAATGTTAAACTCAACCTTTACAACAGCCCACTATCATAGGCATCCCTAGGGTTAACCCCTCACTAAGTCATAGGCCTGCTGGTGGGCCCAAAGTTTTATTACACACTTCTATAACCTAAGAAAAGCTCCAATAGTTTACAATGAAGTTCCTGTAAATACTGAACAATAAGCCTTAGTATGTAGCAAGCCTGGAATATTAAGGGGTTAAGTGATGTCAGCTAGCCTTTGTTTAACATTGTTTATTTCCAAACAAGATTTACATGTTGACAATATTTTTATCATATTCATTTATGCAAATTCTAAGAATTCCTGTGAATCCCTTCCTCAATTTCTGGTCACAGGCTTGATGCTTGACAAGCTTGAAACATGAAGAAAGGGAGTAGATTCTACAGCAGTGTGTTTATGGATACAGACAATATTGTATTGACTAGAATTAGAGGTTATATGTTACTTAAACTGCATCTGGCTGCACAAGATGATGCTTCCTACTGAAATAAACAAGATCAAAAGTGTATTTTATTTTGTACTGTGCCTGCTCTACCATCTCTTCTCACGAACAGGAGATCTCACCAAACAAATGCACTCAGAAATCACTGGGGTTATTATTAAGGAGACCCTCCTGCAGCATGTTGTGGCAAATCACAGTACTTTTGCAGCCAGATAAGCCACAGGCACTTTCTGGAGCTTGCTCTAACAAAGTGTTGTAATCTTCAGAACATTTTTAATCTAAATTAATGACCTAAATCACAGTATCACTCAAAGACTATCATTTATAACAGCATTTTTGTTTAAGCCTTGCACCTCAAGTCAGCATGTAAAAAAGAAACTTTTAGAACAAACTTTAAATTTGAAGACTGAAGATAGAATCCCCCCAAAGACAGTAAGTAAAAGCAGAGCTAAAAACAAACTAAAGTGAACCTTCAGCATTTCCGGTGTCTCCTCTCCCTCACTGATGTGAGTGATCTGGGCTTTGCCGTGTCTCTCTGTGTCTCTGATCAGGGTGGCGATCTCTCGCACCTTCTGCTTCTCAAAGATGTTGGCCTGAGAGCCCACCCAGGACACGATTGTCTGGGGAGTGAACAGTAACACACTGGTTTGGACACATTTGCATATATGCAAAGCTGGTTTAAGCATACATACTTGTGCTTTGTGCTTTCCTGAGAACTTTCAAATTATACTACTTTCACTTCTAGTCAAGCATATTTGTGAGGAAAGTAACTGCATTTTCAATACATCACTTTTGAGGTTTATCATATTATTCTAGATCAAAAGAATCCCAAAAAGAGAAGAAGAGTGTCCAATAAACTAAAGTTTCTATTCAGATGCTAGATGTACTAAGAGGTTCTGCTGCAGTTCTGTGAGAAACTTGGTACAAGGATTTTATTTGACCTGCTACTTTATAAGTTGTTTTTAAAAACATGAGTCATATTTCAGAAGCAGCAAAGAGATGGCATATTTTTTCTAGTGGATATTTTGGGGACAAGCCAATGTCTGAAGAAAATTCTGATCAGATTCATTCTTTTTTTTTCCCTTCTCCTACAACCAGTCCAGCATTCTGTGTTGATATCGGCCTGATGCCAATACCCTTCAGTACACATAAGACATCTCTAATGTCTTGCATCAGATCTAGTCTGAAATAGCATTCATTCACTTTGAGTGATGTGATATTTTAACTGTTTATTTGTTCATGTGGAGATGTAGAGTGTTTGAGTAGTTTCAGCACGATTGCCAGCTTTTAGATGTGCATCTTAAGTGAATGGTCTCAATTAAAAACAGTTCATTTTAAAGATAAACTGTTAAAATATTAGCTCAATATCAGCCAGTTTTCAAGGTTTCAATATTTGTATTGGTTTCAGTATTGGAAAATAAAAAAAGTGGTACTGCTGCATTTCTAGTGACAATATTTTTACTGGAGTATGGGTTTATGTTACTCTACTTACTAATTTGGCATGTGCAGCGCCAAAGGCTGCGACAGCATGCATAGAGAAAACACACTGCCTACCAGCTCACTACACTTAAACCCAAGGCCAATTGTTCAACTGATCTTACAAACTATTTTGTCATAGCTGCCATGAATTATTCAGTACCTACTTTGAAAGTAGTATGTTATATAGTTATTAGAGTGAGAGACAAATATGGCCCACATACAGGCCCATAGGATTTAAAGGGATTAAATACTGGAGGCAATTCTTACAGTTTCACTGGCAGTTTGGCTCTCTCTCATTTTTTCTCTCTCTCACACACACCTCTCCTAGATCGAGGATGAAGCAGTCCCCCTGGTTGAAGCTGTCCCAGTTCAGTGTCACCTCCTTAGCTCTGATGTTCTTCTTCCCTTTGATGTGATACAACCTTTGAACTGGACCAGAACCACTCTGTGGTCTCCTAAAGCCAGACTCCACTCCACCCTCCTGAAAAAGAGAGAGAGAGAGAGAGAGAGAGAGAGAGGGAAAGAGAGAAAGAGAGAGAGACACAGAGAGAGAGGATGGGGTGGGAGATGCCATTAGACTTGCATTCAATTTTACAGACAGATAGATCATGTCATTGTCACTTTTCTCTTGTATATATACACTGTATAATTTGTGGACAGATTAAAGCAATAGAAGCAACATATCATCACTGTCCAAAAAAGGTATCTCAATTTCTCTGCAATTTTCATTTTTTCACACCATGTGTTCACAGATACTGCCCTTTACATTGTGTGAAAAATTCATGATGTATGGAGCAATAGAAATGCTCCAAAACTGCTTGGAATAAAATCGCTTTATTTTAACTTATGTTAAAAGTAATGCATGTTTTTGCCTTCTGTAAGGCAACCTGTAGGGTTGCCATTGTACCTTTTTTGGGACAGTGACAATATCTTTATAGTGGAGCCCTGACCTTTTCTGTGATAGTCAACTTCTCAGAAATAAGAAACTGTTCTGATTGTGCAGTTAAATATATACACAGTTCTTTTCATTGGCAACTGACAATGAATCATAGTCCATCTTTTAGACTCTGAGGCATAAATTCCTGATCATTACTTGATGAGTGATTTCCCCTTTGCTCATTTCCTCCATGCAGTTGGCAGCTGAATTTAGTATATGGCTCTGGCTGTAAGCTGAGGCTGACCGTTCATTGCTATAAATACTGTCTATAAAGCTTAGCTTAGACAATCCTCTTATCTTTTTATTGAAATTTCAATGAAATCTTTTACCTTACTGTATTTATTTTCATACTGATTCCTGAGATTACATTTTTTATAACCGTTCTGCCCCAGTGAGGGCCAAAATGAGGTTTAGATGGGGTAACATTTGATGGCTGGTTAACAGTCCTCCCTACCCTTCCTTCAGTGCCTCCAGTGCTACAGTAAATTCAGAGCTGCTGGAGTGAGAGAACTGTTCATAAAAGGAGAAAGCATGCTTCTAAGCGCAGTGCTCATAAACTACACATGCACTACTGCTCATAACAATTGCTACACAATTGTATTTAACGTTTGATTCATATTTACATTAAATATTTCCACTATATAATCCTATAACGAGGCATGTCTGCCATCACACACAGCAGTGCTTCACAGTCATAATCCTGGCTTATCTCTGCTCCAGCAACCCTGACTCCTCAGCCAATTAATAAGCCTTTCTTCAGCTGAAAAGGGTGTGTCACAGCAAACTATGCAGGTCAGGGGTGCTAAAAGACCAAAACCTAAAACTTCTATTAAAGAGTAAATTATCAACTGGGCGGTTTCAGTTTCATAGCCCAAAGCTATTCACACACGGACAACCCACCGTAAAGAAACCTGAGAATGGACATATGAAAACACAAAGAGAGGAGCAGTGAACTGGTTATAGAAGGTTAGGCGAGTTCACTTTATGGTATTTCAGTGGCAGTTGATGTTTTGCTAGTATTCTCAGAATGCATGAAGCGTTCTAATATGCAAACCATGGGAAATGTTGTCACACCTGTGAGTTTAAAAAGGTAACCCAAGTTCAGAATTATCCACTGGACCACATGGTCATTGAAACGGTGGTGCAATACGCCCTTGTTTGGGAATCGTGCCTAGAGAAGTATGTTCATTTAGCAGTCCATCATTGTTTTTTATTAGTTGTTTTCATTTTTAAGAATGTTCATTATAAGTGCTTTAATATACCGTCAACGACTGTATACCATACTATCTACTTTAAGTATACTTTAATTTACTTGTTAATGCTACCACTCAATATACTCAGTTGAATTAAGATCCAAATGACGTATTTAGCATATGATAATTGAGATTAATTGACTAATTAATTAATTAATTAAATCTTATTGTCACTGTCAGCACAAAATCTTGTATGTCTGAAAAGGTACCTTTACAAGAGAAGGAAAAACCTTATTAACTTTGAATGGGAGTTAACGGAACCAGATTTGTGTCCAAGTAATTTTGGAACGTTTCTGGAATCAGAATCACTTTATTTCACCAAGTATGCTGCACATACAAGAATTTGTCTTTGTGAGTGCACACATTTATGACATGTAACATATTGAACAGACCAGACAAGCACACAGACAAATATTTAAACAAATATTTAAATAAGGGACAAATAAAATGAAAGTACAATAAATAGAATAAAGAACAATAAACAGCAAATGTCAAATGAGCTAAAAAGAACTGTGAATATCTGTACATATGCAGATGAATATATCTATATGCAGGTCTAAGTAGACATACAGTATCATTTACATCAGTTGAGAATAAAAATGCATGTCCACTGTGGTTGATGAGCGCTACAGCTCTGGTGAAAAAGCTGTTAGTCTGGTTGTGCTGGTTTTGTATCGGTTCGTTAATCAGAAAATGTTAATACAATGTAAAGAGCAGCTGTTATTTTCACATCATGTCAAAAAATGAAAAAATCAAGATGCAAGGTTTTGTTCCAGTAGTGACAATATATATCATATTCATCACATATTTCTTTTCTCACCTTATAGCTGATCCCCCTGGGGAAGAGCTTCATGAACTCAGGCGACTCGTAGCCCTGGACATGCCGGTGCTGGACTGGCTCTCCACCCAGAAAGTTATCCAGCTGGGTGGCAAGCATGGCACACGCAACCTGCTCATCACGAGATGACTTCTTTCCTGAGAGAGACAGAGAGAAAGAGCAAAAAATGAAGGAAATAAAAAGAATAAACAAAAACTGTGTAGTTACTAGTGTGCTTACGTACTATGTCTGTATAATTCACTTTACATACAGATGTACTGTATATTAAGCATTACAAAAGAGAATACAGCAAAGAAAAAAAGTGAAAATCACATATCTTTGAGGAAATATTAAAAATTAGCTGAAATTTAGAAAACACTGTGGACAGAAATGGCAGGCTGCTGATGCGGTATGCACGTTCAGTGAGGATATTATACAGGGCAGTGTTGGAGGGGAAGGAGAGGCCATGGGAGCAGATGGCTCTATTAAAGCATCCACGTGCTGACAGCCAGCTTAGTGTTACCTAAAGCACCGGATACATGCTGAGCCAACAGGCCCACTGCTGCCCTGTCACACACCTGCTGAAACTTTAATGAACCACACAAACACCCGCCCTTCCCTTTTTCCCCTGGGACACAGCCCTCTTTATCCCTCTCTCCTCTCTTTCACCAAATCCACTCTGTCCTTCTCTCTGCCTGGTAGCCAAGCGTGTCATATAACCTTAATGTCATCATTAAGCTCATGTAGTTCTTAAAAATAAAGCTTCCCTGATTCCGCATACATGCCTGATAAATAAACTTTCCCCTACACTTGCATGGCTCCCCATGTCTGATTTAAATTGCCTTTAGTATTCACAAGCATGCAGAGACAAGATAACATGGTAAGAATTATCATTCACTTGGCAAGTAGCCTTAAACAAAGATAACTGCTTTAAATACAGTTGAAATAATAAAGTCATAAACTGATATTTTGTCACAAGCAATAAAATTTTATGTGATGAATGTGACAAAAAGCTTTGGCTGCAGTGAAAATGTTTCTGGGTGCAGTTGTCAGTAAATGCATTTGTCTATGGTGGTCAGTTTCTAATTTTGTCTTCATTATTGGGCCTTGTAAAAATTATGGAGAAACAATGATGTTGGCTATCTGACAAATTAAAGGTATGTCAAAAAGCACAAGTAATTAGCTACTGATACAGCTGCTTCAGCTGCTTTTTGACTTTATGTTGAAACATGGGATTTCAGTGAGAGACTGTATAAACCCTTAATACTTAGATGAACATTTTTTACATGAGCACTAATGCTGTTATTAAACCAGAATTAGGTAACAGAAGCATCTGCCTGTTAAGGGTCCATACCACAGAAAATCCAATTTTCCTCTGTCTTTTTGAAACAATAATTTCAAAAAGTAGAAGTTTAAAAAAGCATCATTCACTCCCTAACCCACACATCCTTATATGGAAGCATTTACAAATCTATTCACCCTACAGCAGTTTAGCTCTGCCCATTGGCAGAGTAGTATTAAGGAGTGTTTCAACCTGGACTACTTTTAGATGAGGCACGGGGCAACCAATCAGAACAGAGCTCATTTAGTTATAACAGTTTTAAAGATTGTGAGGGAAACAAAGAGCTTGGAAAATCAGATCCCCAAATCCACACATATAACAGAATTAATGAATAGTTTCTCACTTTATATCAGATTTAGTTGATAGTACGCACTTAAAAAATATGGTTCTAGTAAAGATAATGGTTATATCTAGAACCATGAACATGCAAAGAACCCTTTGCATGATTAAAGGGTTCTTTGCATCATTGAAGCATTCTTCAGATTGATGGAGACTGATAGAGCAATGGTTTTGAATGGAGCCTACTTGGAAAGGGTTCTATATAGCACCAAAAAGCATTCTTGTATTGATACAGGCTTGACATCAGAACAATAGAAGAACCCTTTTTGGTGCTATATAGAGCCAATTTTCCATCTGGAGAACCCTTTAACAATGCAAAGAACCCTTTAATCATGCAAAGGGTTCTTTGAGTGTTCATAGTTCTATATATAACTATTTTTTTTTTTACTAAAGAACCCTTGAAGAACCATAATTTTTAAGAATGTACTCTAGAGCCAGAATTGGTTTGACTGGCCTAGTACAGTGGTTGTACTATTGTGTTACTAGGCTATTGCTGTGGTATCCCAGGTGGTTGACAAGGTGTTGCTAATGTGTGTGTGACATCATTTGTGGCAGACCTGAATTTTCACAACACTGCACCATTTATTTCCTATGAGAAAAAAATATTGTTTGAATGAACGCTGTACAAAAAATGTATGTGTGATCAGTCCCAAAAGCACACATGCATTATTTCCATATAGGCTTTGCATTTCAAGGTTCTGTCTGAAAACTTTGACCCATGAAAATGGCCCAAAAAAGTGTGAAATAATAAACAAAGACAAGTCAGCTGTCTTTAGTGAGCCAACTTAATAAGATAAAAATAATGCAAGTTCTCTATGCATAGGTTATGTAGGGACTAAGCATTATTGTAAATATGTACAATTCACCTGTACAGTATGTCTAGATTTAAGGCTACAAATAGAATACCATAGCATATTGAAGGTTCAACAGAAACTGAACTGTGAGTGATCGGATCTGTGTAGATGCGCTGCTAAAATCAGATGGGCGTGAACCTCACCTATCCACATGTGTAGGTCCACTCCCTGATCGCCCCTGTGCTCCAGCACCAGATAGGAGTCTCCATTAAAGAAAGCTCCCACCTCAGAAGGCTCCAATGGAACAGCCTTCAACTTCTCCACCCGAAAGCAGTGCAGCCCTGGCTCCCTCACCTCTGGACCAAACTGACCTGGAGCTGCCTGGAAAGGGAGCATTCTGTCGTAATAGAGGGAGAGGCATGAGTTGGTAGGAATTATGGTTCAGGCAGAGTGTGAAGAGGAGAGCAGAAAGAGCAGAAGTGGAGTAGGTAAACAAGCAAAACAAATATATGACAAGTAATATGAAAATGGCACAGCTATTAATAACGGATAGAGGGAGTCATTAATTGTGGATGTTATAACTTTTTGATCGTCAGTTTAATGTGATGGGGTGGAGAGAGTGACAGAGAGAAAGAATAATTCTGTCGATTCTAGGTTTTGATAGACATCTATTGTTTGATGGCAAAGGAAATGAGATGAAGAAGCAAGTGAAGAGGAAGTGACACTGATGGGGCAGCACTACCAACGGCCACTAGTACTTGCTACAACATTATGCAATAAAAACTATTTCCTCATATGACTAAACCACTAAAGAGATTATCCAATGCCATGAGTTTATGTTTGAAATTCCTGGTTTAAAACCCTAGAATCTCTAGACGTATGATACTATGGTCAAAGACCACCCTTTGATTTGTTTAGTTTCCAGTCAAAACACCCATTTAGTACAAGCTATTTATTTTTCAGTTTTAAGAAGAGCAAAAATATATATATTTAATAGAAAATTACACAAAAGTCTCATAAACTAAATGGAATAAAAAAATTTAAATATTAGTGTGCCTACCATTTGCCTGTATTACAACTTCCTTTCTTTTCAGGAGACTTGTTTTCATTCTTTCAAAGAAATCTGCAGCCATTTTTTTCCACACCTTCAAAGTTCAGTCTTGCTTTTTATAATTCAAGTAACTCCATTTACAAACTTACACTAATTGGTTTTCTCTCTCTTTTTCTCAGTAATAGTTTATTGACAGCTAAACATCTTTTCAGATAGTGTTAAGTTGGCTTCTCACAGCGGAAGGATGGGCAGATTTTTTTCAGACCTGAAGCAAGGGTGGAGCTTGATTTTCTCTCAACGATGAGAGCTTTAACCACCGTTTATTGGAGGGTGACAGTTTAGGTGGTCTACCAGTCTTCACAAGATTGTTAGGCGTCCCACTTTCTCTACACTGTACAAAATGAGGTCAGCTCAATTTAAAATTATACAGCAGCTGATTACACTGCTTTTTTTAAGTGAACTCAACTTGAGGACACTGGAGTTCACCCAGTACGAACTTCATAGTTGAGTCAAATGTTCTTCCAACTCCATTTTCTAGTTCTGCCTTTCAGTTAGGTAGATAGTATAGAATGTGTCAATCCCAACAAGAATTTTCTGCTTTTGGGCTTCTGGATATGGACAACTGTCAATTATTAGACAGTTGCACCACATATGACTATGCTACTGTCCAAAGTTAAAACAATAAAAAAATTTACAGTGTATTAAACGTTGATGCACATGAATTCTAACTTCTAATGTGTGGAGGGATTGTGTAATAGAAATAGTAAATAATTTGAAAAAACAAATGCCATAGTATTTAATAAAACTCAGAAGTGGAGCTAAGAGAGAACTTTTGACTAAAATAAAAAGTTTGAGTTGGATGAACTCTAGTGCCCTCAGTTAACTCAAAAAGTTGTGCAATTAGTTTATAATTGTAAGTTGAGCTGACTGTGTGCATTTTTAAACTTTTTTTTAACCACATAGTTTTTAACACTTGTTTTTTTCACTTACTTTCCTTCGACTTCATTGCTTACGCAAGTCGATTATCTTATATCTAATCACCCAGGAAGGGTGGTCTCTGACTCTGACAGGAGTGTATTTGCACATACTGACAGTGGAATAATGCAGCATGCAGTTTAAACAACATAAGGAGTTTTTACTGTCATAGCAGCTTTTCCTTTTGGATTGGACCTGAGTTCAGTCTGGGTCTTTCCAGACTGAACTCAGCTGAGGCTTTCTGCTGAAGCTCCTTCCTGCTACTGCTCTGCTCGCCAATACGTGAGCACTGCTATCAGTAATGGAGGAGTGTAATCTGATTGGTGCTCTGCCCTGTCAACCTCAAAGGAACACAGCCCGGAAATGTGGGACAACAGTGGATGTTCTGTAGATAGCAATACGAAGCAGTGAGACTGTGCAAAGAAGTCAAGTAGTTTATATCAATATAAGGTTGTAGACCTCCTTGTATTTACACTCATTGTTCGTTTTGTCAGTTCCCCTTTCCATAAAGGTGCACCTTGTGGTTCTACAATTACAGACTGTAGTCCATTTGTCTTTCTGAATAATTTGTTAACCGCCCCCCCCCCCTTTTTCCCCTGTTCATCAATGGCCTGGACGCCATAGGACCATTTCACTGCTGTCGGAACAAAGTTTTTGACATGATTTGACAACACCTGTTTCATGATGAATATACCAAAAGAAATGGCCCAAAATTACTTGGAAAACATCCTGGTTCTATTGAATCCTGCAAAGTTACCATTTTGGAGATACAAGGTTTTGTTCCGACAACAGTGATTTATTATTTGGTATTATTTGGGTGGTGAATCATTTTCAGCAGTTCAGTGACACGGTCGTGGCATGTAAAGAAGCCAGTATGTGTATATTATGTTATAATAATATAATTTCTTTAATGTAAACTAGAAATGAATCAATAGCTTATATGGGACCTTGAACTCCAGATTCAGATTTATTTATTTTATTTATTTAGTAGACGTTTGATCCAAAGCAACTCACAGTACATGGAAGGCATTTATTCTTTGGATTAATTAGTTCATTGTGACTTCATGCAGAAACCACTAATGATCACTTCCTGTTCGAGTTTTCAAATACAGACTGTGGAGGTAAAGAAATTGAGCCCACAGTGACACTGAAGCCTTTCAAGGAGCAAAGAGCAGGGGTTAAGGAGGGCAACATGAGTTTAGGAATTCATCAGTGCACTGAATTAACACACTGTTACATAAGACGAGGTTAAAGGGGCATGTCTTCACCCATAGCCCAACATACACAAAGCAAGGTGTGTCTCTTAACAAGTCCTCACACATCTCACAGAGACAGACTCAGATACAGGCTGTCTCATGACTCAGCTCTGGACTGTAAACACATGGCAACCAGCAACAACAAATGGGCTGACACATGAATTGCATGGGTGTTCCCTGCCTTTCAGGCAGACAATGTATTGTGCTATAGCTACTTATTTCAAATTCCACATGGGAGTGGCACTTGACATCTCCATATGCTCTAAGAATTGGCCACTAATAAAATACAAATTTTCCAGCTGTAAAAATGTAAATTGGATGGATGTATTACACTCTACCATTTATCAGTAAGTAAGATGAAGAGCACTGAATGCAATATAGGCTAATAGTTAATACAACAAGGATCATATAGATAATATTTGCGTAAAATTAACCTTAGGTAAATAGCAGAATATACTTAAGCTGATAAGCTCTGATATCACATTCAGCATTGCTTATGAGCCTTTTAAGTGCAATGGACTGTGACTGAGAGGGCACATGTAAAGGCAAATGTTAGAAAAGAAGACTTCATGCACAGAGCATGAACAATTCAGCATCTACTACCTATAGAATATAGCCCACGTAGTGCATGTATAATATAAACAGTATGATAAAGTGTCCATAGAAAAAACTCTGAATATTTATTTTTTGCTAGCTTGGAGACAAAGAATAAAGACATTTCTGTCAGTAGGTATTACACCCATGAAAAGTCACACCATATGACTCTAACCGTTCTTAAAAAACCATTAGTGATATGTAACACCTCACTTTAAAGACCTCAGTGTTCAAATTTACACATCTATTCTATCACTTTAGCACTCTCTCTCGCATGTGCAAGCACCCACAGACACACACACCCACATATACACACACATACACACACATACCCATGTGAAATAAATATGTTCAATATATTTGGTTATCTATATATTCAATTATATATAACAATTTACTGAAGAGCAACCTTTATAAGGCTACATAACACCTACATAAGAATTTCAGGACAATGGACATAGACCTGCATGAACACTTGAAGATATATTCCTACAAATTGTCATAAAGGCTGCTTTTGTCATGATGATTTTGAAGTCATTTCACCTCAACAAGGGTTCTAACAACGGATACTTTTTGAAAGAAGTCTTTATAAATATATATAAGTTTATGTCAATTGTCATATAAGGCTTATGTAGGTATCATGTAGCCTTATAAATGCCTTCTGTAAAGTGTTACCATCTTTTCTTACATTATTATTGGTTTTACTTACTTACTGTAATGTATTTTTGTGTTTTTACTCACTTGCCTTACTTTAATTACTGTGAATTTAACAAATCCTTTGGAATATTAATGTACATAACTATTTTGAATCTTGTAAGAGGAGTTAAAAGATGTAGATTTATCATGAGTTTAATCTTTAAATAAAAAAAACTTGCCACATGTTTTCATGTCTACCCAATCACAAAGAGTTTTAGTCGATAGGTGGAGCCTTATTTTAGCCACACCTCTGTATAGTAGAGCAGGAAGTCAGACTGCATCTCTGTCCCTCATGGCCACATGGTGAGTAGGTAAACCCCATTGTTTTGAAGTAAATGTGTTCCAAGGTCTGAAAATCAGTGTGTAAGCACTATGTACGATTCTGGAACCCCCCTCTGACATCACCTTGATCCCTCAGTAGTTCTAACATTAACCACTAAAATCCTTCACTTTGTAATATCACTACACTAAACTATAGTAATCCTAATTTCTGCTATCAGTTATTGGATATGCAGTGTTAAGTTAGCACCAAACTAATAGTGGTGTACATTTTCTTGTGTTGGGTGAAAAACCACTAATGGCACCACTAATTTAAAATCTGACATTTTCAGCTTGCAATGTACTTTACTTTGTATGTTGCAGTGTTTCAGTAAATCTTTCTGTAAATACCTCAGCTTGAAGCCTCACTCATAATATTGGAAGAGCCTGTAGTATAGTAAGCCTCACTTTACTTAGAGTAGACAAATGGAACTTAAAAGCTGTTATTAAATGTTATGAACACTACTTATAGTTGATGTATTGTGTTAACAATTTATAATGCATAATAAACATGGCTATAAAGTGTAATGCCTTTTTATGTTTATAATGCATTCATAAAGCACTATAATGTGTTATGAATGTGTTCATAGGTTCTTACAGACATGGTATTCATAGAAAGTGTTACTGTGTTTTTTAACTTATCCACAAAATAAGCTAAAATTGTCACTACCAAAACAGTCTCATTTGGTAAAGTTTTGGTAGTGTTATCATTGTTTTGTTAGTGACAAAACGGAATATTCAATCATTTGTTTAAAATAAACTCAGCACTGCAATGATACTGACAATGTGGTGGTGTGATAGTGTATGTTGTGCTGGTACGAGTGGATCACACACAGCAGTGCCACTGGAGTTTTTGAACACCTCAGTTTCACTTACGGACTGAGAATAGTCCACCAACCAAAAATATCCAGCCAACAGCGTCCTGCATGCAGCATCCACTGTGACCACTGATGAAGGACACACAAACTGTGCAGCAGCAGATGAGCTGTCGTCTCTGACTTTACATCTACATGGTGGACCAACAAGGTATGTGTGTCTAACAGAGTGGACAGTGAGTGAACCGATCCAATCATAGCAGCACAACACACACTAATACACCACCACCATGTCAGTGTCGCTGCAGTGCTGAGATCCATCAAATAATACCTGCTACATGGTGGTCCTGTTGGGGTCCTGAGTGTTGAAGAAAAAGGGATAAAGTATGCAAAGTAACAAATGGACTACAGTCCACTCTCATGTTCATTAAGAGCTCTGCTGCCACTTAAACCCTCAAACTCTGAAACAGAGGCACTCGCACGACATGCCACCACACTAAAAATGTTTACACACCAACTCATTTCCTGTAGGCAACGGTTCAGCATTTGTGGTAACTAAGTGGAACAATCCGTGAGAGTAAAACTCTACGAATATGAAAAGTGCCACTCATAAGCTGACACAGATCCCAGTGCTGAAACCACATGCAGCAAAAGTACAGCCATGCCTGATCTAGAAAGAGATAATATTCATTTCTTTGTTAATAACTAAACCATGTTAAATATGCAAATAACACTGGAATTAATCATGTCCTCTTTTTCCAGTTTACTTTTTTTACTAGTTTAACATGTTGTTCAGTCATAAGGTCTCGGCTTTTGGCTATTATTTCAAGATCAGTCTGCCAAGCAGAGAACCACACATACAGCTCTAAATTCTGTTTTTTTAAAAAATGCTAAAGGCCAAAACAAATGAGCCAAGTTTCTAATGTCTCTCCGTCACCCACAATAGAAAGTAAAGCAGAAGGAAGAGAGAGTAGAGCAGGTGCCCTGGGCTGAAGTAACGCACTGTGAGGGTCTACAGGCATAAAGGTGCAGTAAGGTGTGGCCACAGAAAGCCTTAATGAACACTTCCATGAAAAATGTCCAGGGAACTGTATTTAAAGCTAAGAGAAAAGGCCCGTTCACTTAACTGCATGATCCCCTCGGCCAGCTCAGGCACGCTTTCTGACTCCGGCTCCATTCTGCCTGCCTGCCTTCTCCACAGTGTGTGTGATACTAATGCAGCGAGTGTGTGTGTCCACCTGGCCTGGTTAGTTTATATGTGACCAGTAACTGGACACGCGGGAATAATCTGAGCAGCCCTGCTGAGGACGCCCCACGGCGAGGAGAGTCGGGTTGCCTGACAATTGCTAAACACCTGCATGACAGTTACTGCGCCTCCCTCCATCCATCCATCCATCCATCCATCCATCCAACCATCCATCCATCCATCCAGCCACTGTCCATCTATCTATCCTGATTTCTACCACTCCATATGAAGCAAATAGGATCAATGGTACAATTACAAGTAGCAATGAAATAAGGAGCAGGCGTGTTGGGACGAAACCAAGCAAAAGTAAATAAGGGTAATAATATATAGAAGTCAGATGAGTTTGAGTATAGCATGCAACGTTTCTTGAGATCGGGATGTTTAAGAATAACATTAATCAGTAAAATATCTGTAAAAAAAATGAATACTATGCCAGAATTTTACCACTTTCTACATTATTACTGAAGTACACTGCACTTACTTTCTAGGCTTTTATACACACATGCACACATATAAACCAGGTTACTTCTCAAATGACTAAGAAAACGTGGTATTGTCAACTTTGTAATACTGTGGTTATATTTTGAAACACTCAACTTCATGTTCATCATCTTTGCATGAGGAGCCGGTTTTAAATATTGATTTGGCAGGTTTTTTTCTAAACTACTGTTTAGAAAAAAAGCACATTTTGAAAATCTTTTGGACTACATCATTAAAATGAGGTTCTTTGTGGTTCCTTGTGGTACCATGATAACAACTCAAAGAACCATTTGAATGTTTAAATGGCTCTTTGCATGGTTAAATGATTTACAGTGCTTTTTTGTAAAGATGCCTTGAGATTTAATTACCACTTTTATATAAGGTAAATATAAGGTATTTTGAATATTAATTCTATTAAACAATGTTGTTTAGCTTTCTTAGTCTGTTAAGAATCGTCTACCGCTCTACTCTTCCTTAGACACATCTAACATTTTGCATTTTTTTATGGCTTCCAAATAATTACATTATACCTGTAAAGTTGTACAGGACTAATATATTAGAATCACTTCGCACAATTATCTGCAAACAAAGTGGTTTTATATTCTTGAAACAGTGGAAACTCGAGAGGTCAAACATCAGAGGCAATAGGAGATGAAAGAAGTCTCCAGTCAGTGAATGAAAAGAAAGATGAGGAGATTGACAGGGGTCAGTGCCACAATGTCTGAGACATATGAGGCGTGAGCCATATGCATCCAATAATCAGAAATATGATAGCAGGCAATAAAACAGTAAGAGGTCAGAAGAGGGAGGGTGGAGTAGCAAGAGACTGTAATCGCATTCCAGCCCCTCATTTAATATTTGGCAAGGAAAGATGATAAGTCTATCATTTGCTAGATCAACACATCTACACAGAACAAATCTATTAGGAGAGCCACTTGTTGTTCTGATATGCAGTAAAACTATAGAAACTGCGCAGATTCACACTGTTTGTCAAGAATGACAGAAATGTGTGGGGAGACAACAAAGAAGGCTTTCATAAGTTTAAAAAAATATAAAATGATATTACTGTTAACAAGTACTGTACCTTGCAGTAGTTTCGGCTTGTGAAGACTTTTCGGAGTTTGGAGAAAGAGAGGAAGAGATTTTGCAGGGGAGGGGAGTCCTATGAGCACGCACACACTTCCTGATAAAGTGAGTCACGGCCCAACCCCTGAGCTTAAAACCACCCACACCAAAAAAGAGAGGAAAAGAAGAAAAAAACGGGTGCTGAGAGTGGGAGTTAAGGGACGAGACAGGAACCAAGAAAGACTGCACAGGCAGTCATAGGCTTGAACTAAAACACTGACTTTTTTATATCAAATCAATTGTGTACTGGCTGTATTCTGAAATATATGCGGTAATTGTTATCTCGGTCACTGTGGCAAAGGAGGAACTGTGTTTTGCCCATTGTTATGCATTACATATCCAAAAATGCCCTCTCAAAAGTGTAGAGTACTGCAGCAAAGCAAATTCTCCATTAAAATACTTGATTTTAGAAGACATGCTGGATAACTATGTTAATCATCATCACTGCCATCACTGAAACATTCACCATTGGTCTTAATACTTTGCTTCTGCAGCCTGAAGGGTAACGAGAAAATTTCAAAAGCATTTTATATTTATTAAGCTCTTTAAGTACTCTTCTCAAAAACTGACTAAGAAACTAAAACTGACTAGAAAATGACTAAAGTGGTACTTTCTGGCACTTTAATGGACGTCTGTATGGCAGGATTGCTTTAACTTACCATAACTTTAAACAGACACACCGAGTCTGCGATACATTCTGTACTAGCACATTCAGGATCTCATGTCAAGACATGCTCACAGACGTACCGTCAAGAAGCTTAAAAAAAATGAGGTATTCAAAGACCTTTCTTTGTGCTGCTGAACTGAGACAAGCATTCTGCTTTCTCTCACGAGCACTGAAGGTGGCCAGCCACATTCCTAAAATTCTACTGCTCCACTGACCTCTGTTCAGTACAAATCTGACCCAGCTGACTCTAATTTTCAGAAGATTATTAGTAATTTGCTTAGCTGGATCAGGTGTGTTATGAAGCTTCAAGCTAATTTCTGCATGTTAACAGGACAACCAAGTACAGAGATTTACAATTCAGAGTTGGAATGATCAGGAATCTCATTTGGATTCAGTGTAAGGTAGCACTGAGCTGACAAAGTTTCTTTGGCTTAATTCACAGTTTACCCTTTTATTGAACCAGGTAACCTCACTAAGTTATGAATCCATCTTAGCAGCCTACTTTCCTGCAATCAAGAGTTAATGTGAGCATGCACAGATAAACACATAGACTGGAATGGAACACATGGTTTTTAATGCAATTATAAAACAGATGTTAAAACATTAAAAGCATGCTGTTGACATTCAGGCAAACTTCATCGCAGGAAAGAGTAGAGATGGTAATCTAAAAGATGTAAGCTTGGAAGAAGCAGGAGCTTCAGGCATCCCTCCCAAAGTCTTCCTCTTAAACTTCAGTTATTTCATAACTTTACTCTGTATCTTACATAAAAAAAGCATGCCTAACTGGGCAAGTGACTGCCATCTTAAATTTCAGTTCCCTATGAAACTGAGGTGTCAAACTGGGCTCCTTCTGGGGAACTGCTCTTCACAGATTTGCATTTTCCCTCTTCTCATTTGAATTAAACTCACAAAAGCCTTACTAATCAAGTGTGTTTAAAGAGGATGAACACTAAACTCTGCAGAGCTGTGGACTAGAATGAACTCAGTAAAGGATTTTCTATCCATATCTTTCACACAAATTTTTAAAATGCACATAAATAACCTAGATAAAAATCCAGAAAGTCCAAAAATGACTACATATCACAAGTGTTTAAACATACATAAAGAGAAAAAGTTTGTTGAAGTGATTGACAGATTTTTCAAATAAATTATGACATAGCTGGAACAAAAGTCACATGTTTGGTACCATGTCCTCTCAGAACAGTTTGTGGTGAGCAAGGGCAAAGTAGGACGATGACTTCAATGGGCCACCAATCGCTACACCCAGTGTCTCAGAGTTGCTGGGCTACAGCTACACACATTTGACAGACAGTCATCAAAAGAGCGAAACCAGTAGTAAACAAAGGTTGAATCACTGAACAATTTTGACAGACTTGTTTTACAACATATGGTGCAAGCATCTTGCATCATCCTTCAGGAATTTGCACAAACCACTGGTTGAAAACACTCATTAATTTGCTTTTGCTTTACAGGTTTAATGGAAAACTTGTAAAACCTGAATGGAAAGGCAGTTTTCCAAAGTAATCACCTTACTGTTAAAAGTGCAGCAAGTAAAGATCTTTGGAACTAAACTGCCTGCACTTAACTCCTCCTTAACTGCTGCTCTTTTCAAAGCTAATTAGCAATTCAGTAGTTCACCACCACCAATGCAAGATTTAGTGCACCAAATAAAAGACCCCAAAAATGTGTAGACAAACTTTTATTGTTTTACCAAGTCAGAAACAAACAAAACAGATACAGAGAATTAAGTCATTTTCTATACAGTGGCAATTTAATTTAAATCTTCCTTTTCCCCTCAAACCCAGCCCAGTATTTACTCAAACTGAAGAAAACCCCATCTCAATTTACACAAATGCGCACACACACACACTCCTCCAAACTTACACTCACTCAAACGCTCACGCACTCTACTGGGGGTCTGGGTGCATAAAAATCAAATGAAACTTTAAGAAACATCGTTGAAACTGAAGGCAATCTAGGGCGTCAGAGAGACACTGAAAAACCTGCTCTCACCAGTGTAATCTAAGGCCTTAAATCTAACATTTTGTACAATGCAAGCCCAAACCTGGGCATCGCTCATCGAGGCAAAGCTCTCATTCTGAAACAGTTAGCCAGCGGTCAGTAAATAAGGAACAACTGCTGTTCTTCATAACACAGGCTTAGCCAAGCCACCAGTCTAAACAGCAAGAGAAGCCATTCATGTCAGGAATAAATCCTGCTTCCATAAACTTAAAAGAAACTTTTCCTGGACACAGGTTCCCAATATGATACAGTATTTTTAAAGCCCTCCCACCCTCCCCAACCCCAAATCACAGGAACAGACACTTTTAAACAAAAAAAGAAAACAAAGCGGCAAACACTGATTTAACAAAGTCTTGGGCTACATTTGGACAGAAGGGGAGAAGGTGGGTACTGGACCTGAAAGGGAACCAGTTCCACCTGCCGGTATGACAGATGTCAGACAGAATGCATTAGATTTACAGTTAAGATTCAGCTCTTTAACCAGGATTCAGGGGATAGGCTTATTGTCCACTTGTTTCAAGTCCACACCCTCTGACAATCTTAACCACATTCTTCACTCTCCAAAGTCATTTGGTTGTTGAAATGGCTTTGCTGCCCCCTGCTGTTGCTACCTGTATAACTGCAGACACTAGAGTGATCACAAACAGAAAGGAAAAGAAACTGCATTTGTTCTGCATAAAAGCATGGCATGATCATATAAAAATCGCTTTAGTTTTATAGGTCTATAGAAATAAGTGGCTTATAGGAACCTGCATATATTCTGAAGGAACATCATCTTCTCCACAACTCAATCCAAAAGTAAACCCTGACCCAAGCAACACCTATAAAGCCAAAACAATTAAATAAAAAGAGAAAAAATGAATTTCCCTCAGGAATTCACCCAAGAGAATATTGCTCTTGCTTAAATAAGTGACTCAAAAAGAGATGAGCATTTATACACATGCTAATCAGAAAATGAAGATACTGATAGGGGAGGTGGTCTCAAGGAAGATTAAGGTAAAAAGCAGATGCAAATAACATTACCTGGTGCAATTTTTGCAAACCAGTGCATCTATGACCACACCTCTCCTCCCACAATCTCACTCTAAAATCAACAAAAACAGAACTACCAATAGTCTCTTCAGAGGCATGTGATTGCTGGCCATCACTTTCTCTTCGTTTCACGGTTATTCAAAATTGGTTCATTGGACGCTGGTGAAAGATAAGGCTTGCATCTTTGAAGGAGATATTTACAGGGGAAAAAGGGGAGGAGAAACAGGGTGACGCCAAACAAACGCCTCAAGATGATTACCTTTGACTCTCCTGCAAGTGGCCATCCAATATGACCCTTTCTTCCATGCTACTGGCTAGTATGAGTGTTTGCTGTGTATACTACACAAATCTGCATAAAGGCTCATGTTAAAAATTCTAATGTATAAAGAACTTTAACCAATCGATTCCTCAAACTGAACTTCATGAACTCAAATCTGGCTCAAAATGATTAACATTAGAAGAGGTTCAGTTGATTCTTTCCATTTACATGGATAAACAAACTGATAAGCGCATATTTACAGAGCAAAAACAAGTCGACATTAGATACGTTTCAGTAAATGTCATATCTGCACACCTCACTAGTCAACTATAGTGATTTCAAAATTCCATCTGCAGATACAACCCACTATTTTCCTTCTGAAGGCTTTTGGCAATACTTTCATTTCTTTGATTTCCTTTACATCCAACACTGAAGTTCAGACTGACAGACGGTTGGATTGAGGAGGGGTGTGTGTTGTAACCACGCAAGTCCTCCCTTGATTTTTACCAATTGTGGGGTAAGTTACTATACAATAACTGCACCCATGAAACTTAAACGATAATAAAGAAGTCTAGTCAAAAGGCAGCCATTTTTAAAGTTCAAATCTATGACATAACATAGTAAATACAGAGCCTGTTTGCAAAGGCTGTATAAGAATTGTCCAACAGGTCCAAAAAGAAAAGATTTCAAAACAATTTTCACAAGTGAGACCCCAGGTTCCTTCGTTTCTTCTCTGAATCACAATGATGACTCATGCCAAACGGCAACACTTTTGTCTTTTCTCCCAGGGTCAAAGGGTCAGTCATAAAAGCATAAGTACATATAGTGGCTCCTCCCCACCAGTCAGCTTCAGTTGTTTTCCTCATCACTGTCATCAGGGCTGATAGCTGGACTGTAGGTTGGAGAGGTGGGGCTGTAGCCAGGAGATGTGGGGCTGTACGTGGAGCCTTTAGGGCTAGTGGGCGAGTACGTAGGGGATGTGGGGGAGTATTTGGGTGAAGTTGGGGAGTAGGTTGGGGAAGTGGGGGAATATTTGGGGCTGGTTGGGGTGTAGGTGGGAGATGTAGGAGAATAGGTAGGAGAAGTTGGGCTGTACTTGGGCGTGGTAGGCGAGTATGTGGGAGAGGTTGGGCTGTACTTGGGTGAAGTGGGTGAATACTTTGGTGAAGTGGGTGAGTATTTGGGAGAAGTGGGTGTGTACTCTGGAGAACTGGGGCTGTAGGATGGAGAGGTGGGGGTGTATTTTGGAGACGTTGGGGAGTACGACGGGGAGCTTGGACTGTAAGAGGGCGAGCTTGGGGTGTAAGTGGGGGACTGAGGGGTGTAACGTGGACTGGATGGAGAGTAGGATGGAGAAGTAGGAGAGTAAGAAGGAGATGTTGGAGAGTAGTTTGGGCTGGTGGGGGTGTAATTTGGAGAAGTGGGTGAGTAGGAAGGGGAAGTTGGACTGTAAGATGGAGATGTTGGTGAGTAACTGGGGGAAGTAGGGGTGTAGTTTGGTGAAGTCGGGCTGTAACTTGGCGATGTTGGTGAGTAAGAGGGTGATGTTGGTGAGTAAGAGGGTGACGTCGGGGAATAAGAAGGTGACGTCGGGGAATAAGATGGCGATGTTGGAGAATAGGATGGTGATGTAGGGCTATAGCTGGGTGAGGTTGGGCTGTAGCTGGGCGAGGTTGGGCTGTAACTAGGCGAAGTGGGTGAATATGATGGTGAGGTTGGAGAATAAGATGGAGATGTTGGAGAATAGGAGGGTGAAGTCGGTGAATAGCTTGGAGAGGTAGGAGAATAAGACGGTGACGTTGGGGAGTAGGAGGGTGAGGTTGGAGAATAAGACGGAGATGTAGGGCTGTAGTTGGGGCTGGTTGGAGAATATGAAGGAGAAGTTGGAGAGTAAGATGGAGACGTTGGGGAGTAGCCAGGGCTCTGTGGTGTGTATCCTCCAGGGGAGCGTGGCTCATAGGCTGGAGAGGTGGGGGAATAGTTTGGAGACATGGCACCACCTGCAGGAGAGGAAAAGCAGATAAGAACACTTCCGAAATTCCAGCTTAATTCAATATAATACTTTTCCCACTTTGTCGGGACATTTTGATCTTAAATGTAAAACAATCAATTGGACCTCGGTCTTACCTGGAGAGGGAATGTAAGGGCTGGCTGGTCCAGGAGAGCCAGGAGAGCCAGGAGTAGGAGACCATGCAGGGGAGTAGCCTGGAGAGAAGCCACTTGCATCGGATGCAGCGCTGGGTGAGAAGCCTGCACCCCCGGGAGTCATTCCACTTCCTAGATAAAAGAAAAAAAAAAAAGGAAAATTGCTCACTGAACACAAAAGGAGTATAGGGTCAGAGATTAAGTTATGGGTCTTTATTCTGGAGGACAAGACTAGTCATTGCAACCCACAAGCTTAAACACCAACTCACTCTGAATATCAAGTTATCCACTAGAAAGGAATCAAATTTGGACAAAAACCAAGAACATGTACTCACCCATGCTGGGTGACCAGGCACCGTAAGCTGGGGTAGCACCTGTGTTCCAGGGGGTCATGGCAGGAGACATGCCACTCATGGGACTGGGAGCAGAGCCAAAGAACATTCCCGTTGCTGTGAAGGGGGAAGAAAAATGTAGTTTGCTTTCCAAGCTTGAGTCAAAATTCCTCTCAATTTTGCAAGAAACATGAACAACTTACGTCCAGCAACACTGATACCAGGGATGTTGGTGGGAATCTCCATGCCATATTTGCATTTCTCAGCATCCAGCAGCAGGTCAAAGCAGCCAGTGCCAGCAGGAGCCAACTGTCCCAGCATGATGTTTTCAGACACTCCCTTCATAGGATCACACTCTCCATGGGAGGATGCTTCCATCAATACATCCACCTGCACGTGGAGAAAGACACACTTAGGATTTCCTTGATTTCCTTGCACAACACAGTAGCCATGTGGATGTACAGTTAGTATATTCAGCTCTAAAATCCTTCCTATGGGCCTCAGAATAGTACATGAAAAAGGAAAAAAAAAAGCCTCCATATAGGTTAAGAAGCAAAAAATGCTGCAGTTATTTCTTCCATTTCCAATAACCAACTACAAACATTACGCAAAGATTAATCGCACAATATTACTTATACACAAGTATGTTCTCACCGTCTCTTCAAAAGAACACTTCATGAGTGGTCCAGTGTCTTGTCTGTTGATGCCGTGACGGGTGATGGCCATCAGGTGACCTCGGCAAGTCATGGTGTCACAGAGCAGGGCAAGGTGACGGTAGTTGACATATGAACCATCAAAGGAGATGACATGGTACAATTCTCTCTCTAGAGCCTTGCGTACTGCCTCAATACCGAGCACCTACGGGCAAGTAAACGAGAAGCTGAAACCAAACTAAAACGAGAAGGACAAAAACAGCTGCCCTGCATTTTCCAGCCAGCTAGCTACTAACATCCTATAATTATGATTCTATAGTTCTGGCTGGCTTCCTGAACACAGGCTGCCTTCTCTGCTTAGGATTTTAAGACAAAACCGAGACTCACAGTAAAGATCTCCACAATGTCGTTGGAGGTGGTCCTGACAGGGTCCACGTCTTTCTCACTTAGAACTCTCATAAGACTGACACCGTCCGTCTCCAAAATCCATTCTTGCAGGGCCTTAAACTCACCATCCTCTGTGATTATGATCTTTTTCTTGTTGTCTGTCTGAGGAAGATGCATGTACACCTGTAAGAAAGGAATGAGAGTGAGTTTAATGCAAATAAACCAAAGTTCTGATTCAGGTTCTGTAAGAGCATGTCTGAATTTGAAAAGCACCAAGCTGAATAAGTAACTATTTGCATTGTGGTGTAGATTATTCCATTTTTTCCCCCGTTTAACTAGAATTTGCCAAAAAAAAATGGCGGCTTGAGCTCTTGCCTTGCTGATCTGTTCAATGCCTTGAAGGGTCATGTCGGTCAGCATGTTGGATTCAATGCACCGCAAAAACACATCATCGTCCATCTTATCCACCACCTCCTCATCCTGTCCAGAGGAATAAAAATTGATGAGTGAGTTGCTATTTGCTTATTTAGGGAATAAACATGTAAAGCACACAGATAAATGTACAAGTACCCCTTTTGTTTTAGCAATAAAACTATTTTTAATTAAAAGCAAAAGCCATGTAACAAGCAATCGTGCAGTGGGCAAAACTCACCTCCTGGAATTTGTTCTCATCGCTGTTCATTATTCTGATTCGCAGCACCAGTTTCTCAGCGTTATCGTCATTGAAAATACAGTTCAGATCATCACCAAATCCTGAGAGGCAGAAACACTCAATGACCACAAGCTTACAAACCTTTATAAAAGAGGCACATAAGTGTGTAAATATTTAATAGCAACCATTCTTCTGCACACTCCTGCTGAGAGAAAGAAATTCTCTGAGCTTATGTGCTACTTGATACCTAACCCAAAGGTCTCATTTTTGCTTCACCTGCATTGATCTTTTCTGCGATCTGCTCCATGGTCAGCTTGCGGTCAGTCATGTGTTTGCGATCCAGCTCGATACGCAGCAGCCAGGGCGAGATGCGGGTCACGTCAAAGTCGGGCATTTCATAGTAAACGTTCACCCACTCTTGATCCTCAGCCACCACCGTGCTCTGTGGGTTGGGGTCGTAGTAGATGGCAGTGTTGGCAGTGACCTTGCGCAGTGTAGTGTGCTCCAGGCGACACAGGATGTCTTTGGCTCGCTCGGCATCACGAGCCGCCTGGCCCAACAGGAACACTGTGAGGGAAGGAGTTTTGGGCCTTTTGGAGATGTTGATCAGCTCTTTGAGACGAGGCACACCCAAGGTGACGTTCTTGGCCGACACACCGGCATAATGGAAGGTGTTCAGGGTCATCTGGGTGGCAGGCTCTCCCAGAGACTGAGCAGCCAGAGCACCTACCATCTCACCTGGGTGAGCCTAAATATGATTAGATTAGCATTTAGTTAGAAATTGTCCCAGTTTCAGAAAAGAGCAACACTGGTTAAAAAGCTTGTTAAGCTGCTAAGCTGTACAAAGTAATGCCATCTTAACTGCACTCCCTCATCTCTTACTGAACAGATACAGACATGCGGCAAACATGTTTCTGGCCTCGGCCCCTATTTATATTCCTTATACATACATGATTCAGTACTCACAATAGACTGGTTGAACTTTGTCTCAATCTCCCCTAGCAGCCACTCAAAGGCTTCCGTGCTAAGGCGGAACTCCTCAGTCATTCGCCTGGAGCAGAGGGTGGAGCGCAGATGGATGTTAAAGAGCAATGTAGCATTCTGCTGGGCCTGCTTGCTTAGTGGGTCGTCACCGTTTACAATTATCAGCTTCTTACTCAGCTCTTGCACACCTATGAGAGGGAAACATGTGATGTAAACATCAGTATATAGAATTTCTGCCACCAACAATAAGTCAAAGCAGCTACTATAAAACAACCTGCTTCAAAGGATCAAAACTTTCCAGTTACATTTTTTTCATATATGAAATTGAACTGTAAAACGTTTCATGGCTCCTTGGTTGTGATTATTTCAAGCAAAATTATCTGAGAACTAGTTGACAAAGTGTTTTCAAAATCATGACGTTCTGCCAAGGACAGCATGATCTGTGAGGATCTGTGTCCCTTGCTAAGTCCTCTGCATGCTTTATTTAGCAGCCACAAGCCATGGGTCTTTATTTAGCTGGGAGACTTGTTCAATAGCCAGTAATATTAAGGCAGCTACAGAAGTATTGTTTAGAGAAATCACCAATAACTAAGATCAAAAATGGAAAACTGTCAAAAAGCAAATAGTATGAAATAAAAAGCATCAGAAGAGGCAGACTACAGGGATTTCAGACCAGTTTTGGTCAATAAGCAGATGGACAAGTGATATTTTCAAGCTACACACCCTCCACCACTCTTAAAGGGTTCAGATCAGTTGGAGTTCGTGTGTTGATGCGGAAAATCTTCTGTGCATTCCAGATCATTCTGGCAAGATTGCACGGCAGCACCACCTGCAGGAGACGAGAGGAAAGTACAGCACATTAACACTGGGAATTAGAGGGAATCCTAAATTAAATGCCCTGGCACAAGATAATGGATTTTGTGTGGATCATACTACATAGACAATTCAATTTGCTGGATATATGCAAGCTAGGTATGAATTTGTATAAGAAAGAAAAATAGCCAAATCAGTGAACTACAATGAAACAATTTATGTTTATATAAACTCATTACCAGACTAGCATATAAATCAGTGCAAAAACATTACCACTGAAAGTTACAGACCTTGCTGTCTCCAGTAGGAAAAATGGCCCTAAGAATCTCTCGGTCTTCCCTCATCTTTTCAAACTCTCTCTCCAGAGAGCTCTGCACATGTGCATTGGTCATCACATCCTTCAACACATCTTCCTGTAGGGTGCGCCGGAGAGCTCGCTCATTGGTATAGTCAAACTTGAACCTTTGGGATTAAACAAAGAGGTTGAAAGTCACGGTCATGACGTCAAATAGGAGATAATCACCTGGGCTTGGGCACACATACTGATATGGACATCAAGCAAATGAGAAGACAAACTAGACCTGCACACTCGCTGCACTTTCATACTAAAACCTGAACTCACTTTTTCTCGAAAGCTTTGTTAGAGGGCTTAAGAGTGGCCATGTTCTGGAACTCTACAGCCTCCCCTGCCAGACCGTCCTCTCCATATCTCAGCTGCACCACCTGGTTAATGGAGTTCCTCACTGTGGCATCATACTTCACCATGATAGACTCCATAGACTTGATCAGACGACGCTGAATATAACCTGAGTAGAGAAATACAAGGAAATTCAGCTCCAGTAGGCAATGTGTTATGGCTACGATGCTACACAATGCAAAGTAGCATGATGTTTTGATTTCTCAATGTAACTAAGAACTTCCTCCCATTCATATTCTCTACCTGTCTCAGCAGTTTTCACAGCTGTGTCGATCAGACCCTCTCTTCCTCCCATGGCGTGGAAGAAAAACTCTGTAGGTGTAAGTCCAGCCAGGTAGGAGTTCTCCACAAACCCTCTACTCTCTGGACCATAGTCATCTTTGATGAAGTGAGGCAGAGTGCGATGCTTGAAGCCGAAAGGGATACGCTTACCCTCAACGTTCTGCTGCCCCACTACAGCAATAACCTAGAAGTAAACAGAAGGAAACAAATGAGGATTGGTCCCCCACTAAAAATAAAAAACCTACACAAACATTTAACTACAGACACACATGGGAAAATTATTTTCAGCCAAACACTGCTGATCTGACAACTCACCTGTGAGATGTTAATTTTAGATCCTTTGGATCCAGCCACCACCATGGACTTGAAGTTGTTGTACTCAGACAGCGATTTTTGCGCAGAGGATCCGGTCTTGTCTCGAGCATCGTTCAGAATACGGTTGACCTGGTTCTCAAAGGTCTGCCTTAGTGTGTTACCTGGAGTGGGTTCCAGTTCATTGTTGTGGGCTTTCTCAATGACCTGAGGACAAAGAGGAAGATTGTAAGAACATGGGAGCAAAAGTGAACACAAAAAAAATCTGGGAATTGGGCCAAGTTCCTATTCTTTGGTAACAAACACATTTCAAGGAACAGCAAAGGAAAGAGTAACTTGTGTAGCAGTTAATGTTTCAAATTTGTAAATGTACCATATTGTAAATGTGTGCACAATGTGTGTGATTTAAGAGATTTATACCTCTATCACATCTTGCTTGGCCTTCTTAATAGTGTTCTGAATGTCAAGATATGTCTTAGCATCAGCAATTGAGTCACCAATACCAATGGAGTGACCTGTGAGAGACAAAACATGACAAGTGTGAATAAACAAAAATTAATTTAAAAAAAATGTAAAAAAAAAAATCTACACAGACACATCCTCTTTCTCTTACCCTCGATGAGCAACCAGTTGTTGACCACAGTTTGGATGTTTGAGTAGAAGAGGCGAGTGATGTCATGACCCATCTCCAGATATGAGATGTGCACAAGGGAACCAGCAGAGGTACCAAGGGACTTCTTACAAAGAATCCCCATGATCAACTCACCATTCTCCACAATCACCTGCAACAGCAAGGAACATACTGATCAATAAAGGTTAAGCAACATAAAAATCTAATTCTTAGTCTCATTGCTCCTTGTCATTATACCAGATTAGAAAATTACATCACTAAGAAAAACATTAATATTACCACAGTCATTATTCAAAGAACATGATGCCTTAAATATGATCAGATAATGCATGTAAATACATTTATATTCTAATTGGACAACAGTGGCATCTCCATATTTCTGGTGTTGCACGGCACCTTTGTGTCTCCAGGAGAGATGTGCTTATAGGGGCCGCTGTCCTCGTCATCCGGATGGGTACTGTGCGTACGAATGACATTGATATGGCCTGGGATGATCAAGCTGAAGATCTGTTTGCCAGTCCAGAGAGGTCTTGGCTTCAGGATGGCTGGCTGTGGCACTTTACCATCCCAGGTGGAGAGGAACATCAGAAGATTCATCACTTCCCCCTGGTCAAAGTTCACAGAAGAAACACAGTCACAATCATCTGTATATTCCTGAGAGCTTAATTTCACTGAAAGAACATTATTTGATATTAAAAATTTGTAGATGAATGCACTTTTTCTGGATTGATGTATGGTACATACCCTCTCTAAGAAGACATCTCTCTTTGTGAACTTGCGCACTGCAGTGAGTGTGTCCTGCACGATACCCATGACAGGTCTGTTGGACTGGGGTGTGACGATCATACGAGGCACCATTGCCAGTTCCTGAATCTCAGCACGAGTCTCCAGTGACTGGGGCAAGTGCAGGTTCATCTCATCCCCATCAAAGTCAGCATTGTACGGGGTTGTTACACTGCAGAGAACAGGAGTTAAAAATGTGTGATTTCAATAAGATCAGTGTTTATTTCCTCACCTAAAAAGTACACATTCATAAAATCATTTCAGGTATACCACATTTGTAAAACTAAAGCAGACTAAGCAAACCTGAGATTAAGTCGGAATGTAGACCAGGGCAGGATTCGAACCCTGTGGCCCATCATAGACATTTTGTGCAATGTAGGCTGTCTGTTGAAGATAACGATGTCTCCATCACACATATGTCGTTCCACCTGTTGAAGCATAAAGGATACAGTCACTCTATTCCAACCAAAATAATGTGAAACGCTTTAAAAGTAAAACAATCTAAGGAACAATGGCAAACAGCCCCTCTTTACCTTATATCCAATCTGAAGGTGAAGATCACTCGGTTTGGGGTGGAACCGAAGGTCAATCCTGTCTCCATTATCACGGATGATGTATTTGGCTCCTGGATACTGACTGTTACCTCTTCTCACAAGCTCCTGGAGCCTGGAAATACGAAGCATAAGGTATTTAGAAAATGACAGGAAACTCGACCTTAAATGCTATTCGTCACACATCAATGCATAAAAAAAGAAAAACGCATATAAACAAAATTTTTGGTTACCTGTCGATGTTAAATGGTGTGACAATCTCTGGGAAGGTCATGTTGGCAGCGATGGAACGAGGGACGCCCACCTGATCGATCTGTAAGTTGGGGTCAGGCGTAATGACGGTTCGGGCAGAGAAGTCCACACGCTTTCCCATCAGGTTACCTCGCACTCGCCCCTCTTTACCCTTCAGTCTTTGCTTGATGGATTTGAGTGGACGGCCTGATTTTTGCATTGCCTGAAATCACAGTTTTACAGATTTTAGCAGACTTGAACTAAAGCTTGTTAAAAGCTGTACTGCATGCTCTACACAATCACTGGTTGGCCTTTTCAAAACTCTTACACAGAGACACAAAGGTAAAGTTACAGAAGCAATTCGTCATGAGCATAGATATACTTTTAGTGAATGTGGTAATTACTTATAGGGACAAAAATATATAATGGGAGCCCTGGATTCTTCTTCTGCACACAGAAGCAATATCTTACTCGAGGTAAGCCAGGCAGCTCATTGTCCACCATTGTGGCCACATGGAACTGCAGAAGCTTGACGTCTTCTGCTATAACGTGTGCGGCAGCTCCACTTTGTTCGTTCCGTCGAAGCTGGTTATTAATTTTTACAATGTCAGCTAGCTTGTGGGTCAGATCATCCTGAGAGGAACACAAGAACATGGAAAGTCTAAATCAGACAAAAACTGTTAGTGTATTAAGTCTGTAAATTCTAAGCTACCGAAAATAGATCCCAGGACAGTTATAAACACTTCACAAACTAGAGTGTACTCTCACCTGGTTTCTAGCAGACCCCTGCATGACAACAGCAGGTCGGACAGCGAGGGGGGGCACAGGCAACACGGTGACGATCATCCACTCAGGCCGTGCATATTTGGGGTCCATGCCCAGGATGATGTCCTCCTCATCTGAGATGCGTTTGAAAATCTCATGGACACGCTCAGGGCTGAGGAGAATCTTTTTCTCCTGAGAGTCCTCGTTCACATGCTTCCACTCAGCGTATAATTCCAGACCTGAGCGCCGGATACGTGGCTGGTACCGTCCACAGCCACCGTGTCCCTGGCAAAAAGGCAAAGAAGGTCAGTACGAGTGGCAAACTTTTTATTTTAAAACAGACCTCTGAACCGCATGTTAAAGATTAGTAAATAAGCACTGCTCCTTTCACCTTCCTAGCACAAAAAGATGAAGAGCTTGTTGGACTACTGAGGCCTTACTGTTTACATTTTTTAGCCCACTACCTTCTCCTTAGTGATGTCCTCATCATTCTCCTGTTGCTCAACTCCAAACTTGTTGTCCATCTCTTCCCCACCCTCACAGATGTTTTTGCCTTTACACAGGTCATATACATGGGTCAGACGTTTTCGTGGCTGGCCTTTCGACTTTGACAGGATGTCTTTGATCTTTGGATTATTCTGGAAAGAGGGCATGAGAGCCAAAAAAAAATTCAGTACATAGGAAGAGAGCAGTCACTTAAATTTTGTATGAATACAAATAGTCAGGAAAAACATACATGTAACATACACAACAGTGGATTATTACAATACATACCGCATCAACCAGTAATTTGGAACAAAAGAAACAGACGCAGCGGAGGACTTTCATGATCTTTGTTATGAAGCCAACATGAAAGACTGGCTTTGCCAACTCAATGTGACCAAAGTGGCCGGGGCACTCCGTCATGTTACCTGTGATGCATGTAGCCACAAATTAGTTTAATCACCACAAGTTGGTTAGCTCCATATGTGCCAATAATTAGTGAAATATGAAAACTAAACCAGGGCAAGACCAGGTTTTTACAACAAAAACAAACAAATTTACCTGCACATGTCTGGCACCGGCCTGATCGTTCTATTACACCCTGTCGGGGGTCCATGAGACCACCCAATTTTGGGCGCCCACCTTCTGTGGTCTCAGGGTACTTGATGCCCCCTTCTGTGACAGACATCCGTTTCTGCAAAGAAATTACACAACATATCAAGCTGCTGTCAGTTTACAAATATCAAGTTACCACTACTTAGACAATCCATTCAATAAGTACACAAAATACAGCTTTCCCGTCACAGTATTACTTAACAGTGACTATTATGTAACTTTACATGGTAATTAACAAAGACACTTAGGCTAGTTATCCTATTCCTTTTTAACAAATTGTGAGCACAACACGGAACCAGTTAGTCTAAGGTAAAAAGAGGAACATCAACATGCTAACCAAAGTATCTTTAAAATTGTTAAAATCAGGCACAGTTGCTCTGGAGTATAAACTAATCTCTTATATTTACTCTTAGCTGAAAAATGTCTTCATGCAACAGTACTATAATACATATTCTTTAATGAGTTGAGGTCGTGTCCTTGAAACTGAGTTTAGTTTGTCTCCTAAATACTGTATACATGATACCCACAAGAAACTTGTGCTATATAAAAATATTAAAAAAAGAAAAAAGGCAAAAAAGAGCATGCGTTATAATTTTTCATGTTAATTTTTATTGTGAGAAATGTGAGAGGATGAGAAACATGAAGTCAGACTTTGGGTCTAACAAGAAAGTAATGCTTCAATGCACGAAAGAGTAAAGAGTTGTTTTTTTTTTTTAAGTATTTACTGGTTAACACAACGTACTTTAATTCGTCTAGCTAAAATCTAAAACAATTAAGATTATTTATTTACTCCTGACCAAACTTTCTTACAGCGTGCGCCTGGCGTCACCTGGAACATGTGTCGGCTAACAGGCTAAGCTAACTATAACAGGCGCACCGACAACACGAAGGATTATTTATTTCTCCCAACTGATTAACAGCTAGTAAAAACCGACGGAGGTCAGATTGATATGTTACTGCTGTCCAAAAAATTAAGAGAATACCCCTCCCAAAGGCAGGAGACCTACAAGCTCATCTGGACTGATGATGCCGAACTGAACTCTCTTGATGAGGCGCAGTGGGCATGCGCTGTCGCTGGAAGGCGGTCCGTGCATCCTGTCTATTCAAAGAGACGCGTCCTCCCTCGGCACGCCGCTTTGAAAGAGGGAACAGCTCTGAAACGCCACCAAGACTCTCTCCTGGCACCCAAAGGTGGCCGGAACGCGTCCGATGGCGGTTTCCCCACTGACCAGCGTTCCTCACTACCCAATGTGCCTATTTATTTGTTTATAAATTAACCACTTAAACTGTTGGCTAGCCCCTTCCCTTTCCCTGATCTACACTCCGGTGCGCTCTCAGCGCAACTGAGAGACAACTGCTCCCACACGTCTTTATATAGACTGTAAGCTTAGCTACGGGTTCACACACTCTAAACAGAAGGGGCAAAACAGTCAGTGGGCGGGTTCTAGAGTGAAGTTGCTTGACGCCTATTGGCCATGCGAGGAGCGTAAATGAATAATTCATTAAGAGAGACGTACGACCAATGGTTTCGCGCGTTTTTGAGCCGAACGAAACTTAATGTGAGAAAGGCGGGAAAACTGGCACGAAGGCAACCGATTGGTCTATCCCGACAAAGGGCGTGTTCAGGAACGTTCTACCCGTATGTTTCTCATAATATTCACCAAATCGGAGCCTGATTCGACAGTGTCCTTATAAATATGTATTAACAAGTAACGGCGGGCCAATCGCTGTGAACGCGGGTCAGCGTCAGCGCGATATTCGTATGGTGCCGCCTCTTTTACGAACATTACCGATGTTTGCCGATGGATATTTTTTGCCCCTTCTAAGCAAAAGTAAAAAAAACTGCCCCTCTCCGCTCCGTCTCGCTCTGGATCAGCTACGAGTCCTGGAAAAGAAGCTCCCCGAAAGGCCTACCTCAAACCTTCGACATTAACGCCTATATTTTTGTGTTAATATATTATAGCCTGCCAGTTTAAGTTACTTCACTGATGTTTTTCAGCACGCCTGTAAACATTAATGAAGATTTACGTAGCATTTTTCTTAATTTGTTGATATTTTATGGGAAATTGCACGAGTCCTGGGAGTCGAGTAAAAGAGACGGCCGGACAGCACGCACTTATTTCGGTATGCGAAGTTGGAAAGCCCCCAGAAAGCCTGGAGCTTCATACCAACTATAATTTTTAACGTATTTTATACTAAAATCTTCAGATGTGATTTTTGTAGTGTTTATGTAACAATGGTTAAAGATAAGTCAGTGTGGGTTGTATTTTAATGTATATAATTAAATTTTAAGGTTTAGGCCGCGTTTTAATCGTAGCTACGAAGCTAACGACTAACGTTAAGGGTAACTGGTGAAATATGATACAAGAAATATTTCGAATCAGGGATCGTACAAACAAAGTTTACGGTAACACTTAATGTGACATCGGTAGTATTTTGACGTGCCTGAAATTTGATGTCCTGTTCTCGAGCTTCTTGTTCGATTTTTTCCGTTCCACCTTAAATGGTGCAGTAGTTGAATTCTGGTGCCTGGGGCGTCAGTATGTAACTACTGCACCATTTAAGGTGGAACGGAAAAAAATTCGAACAAGAAGCTCGCGAATTAAGAGGTTGAGCCCAGCTTCGCTTCATTTTTGGGAAATTAAAGCAATTAAGTTAGCTTACCTATGAAAACTGTTAGCTAGCGTAAGTAAGCTAGCTAACCTAGTTAGCGTAGATTTGTGTTCTTTTTTTACTCCTATCATTTTAAAATCTGTAGCGAATAAACTGCGGACCTAGTTAACCCTCATCTTGTTTAATATTCGGTGACATGTCCGTTAAAGTGAGATATATGAAGCCTGTTGTGTTTGTATTCATCTGAAAGCAGTCGTCGAGAAGATGAGTACGTTGATACAACATGGCCGCCGGGATTGTGCTTTGCTAACCAGCTCTATGTCCGCCACGGCACCCGATTGAGCCGGGGAGCCAGCTTTTGTCCCGGGGAACAGAAGGGCGATTTACCTGCTTTAACACAGTTTTTTAACCTGGTATTTTTCTAATGAATTTAATCAGATGTGATACAGCAGGGAAATGGCCCAACTGTACGGGACGTCAGCCCTCCAAGACCGAACCAGTCTCTGAGCTAAAACAGATTATGTTCTATGGCCGGTGGGACTTCTCTCGACATGATTTAGGCATATATTCGACAGCCAGTAGCCATTTGAGTGCTAAACACTAAGCTTGTGTGTAGTATTTAACTATATTTAAACCACTGTATGGGAGTTTTAGACGTTCACTTGTTTGTTTTTTTTATTTACTCTTAAAATAACATAACTTGGTGACATTTCCTCCGTGGTATATAACAGCTTAAGTCAAATCAACCGCTTTATGTATTAAAAACACGGCTGTGACTTCAAGTAATTCGGCTAAAGATACAGGCATTTGACCGAATAAGCACTAGCTAACGTTAGCTGTTCTGGTTAGCAAGTCTCAATTTTGAATTGCTCGGTGTCCTTAACTAACTCAGGGGGCTGTATGGGCTTAGGTGGTTAAATTTGCACAGGGAATTGACCTTCCACTGGTTGAATATTTTTTAATGGTATTATCAGCGTTGATTTTGGTTCTGTTAGACAGCTGACCTGGAAACCGATAAAAGTTGAGTGCTTTTGTTTTGTGATGTTAGCTGGCTACCTAGCAAGCTAGCTAGCTAATACACAGAGCTAAGCTAAACTAATGTTGGTGCTTGGCAAAAGCAGACAGATTTTGGTGTTGCCTTTTTCAGTTCTGGTACACTCTATATTTTCTTGTTTTAATTATGAATCTGTAAATGAGCACAGGACTCAAAATATTGCCAGGTGTTTTTAGGCTGTTTTGGCATCTGCTAATTATTTGTTGCTAGCTTCTTTGGCTAACGGTCTTTGCTGTGCTTTGTTTGCTGTAACTAAGCTAACCCTGTCAGTTATTGTGTGCTTTCGATGTACTCGTCTTTGTTTCGGTGTTGGCGTTGATATCACGTTCGGAAAATCTAGTCATGTTAAAAAAGAAAGTAGTTATATCGACACTTATTTGACTCTTTCAATATGGCGGGGTAAAGATGCACTGCTGAACAAAAATGGAGACTGTCTTTAGTCAGCAGGGAAGAGTAAACCGGGGTTGCGTAATTTACCAGCTAACGATAACAGTGCGCTGTTGTCTGTACTGTAATTTCGCTCGACACGGTCAGTTCGGCGAGTGCAATTACAATGTGGGACAGAACCCTATCGACCACTGGATGTGATCTTGATCAGATACCCGGCCCGGTTCTCAACGTTGTTGAGTTTATGTGGCCTGTTTGAACGCAGGCAGTTCAGCACCGAGGGGTTTTAACAGCACAGCCCTGTTAGGTTATATAACCTGATTATGTGCTGCTACTCTTCCCACATTTCTGTACTTCTAAATGGTTTACCTCAGTGTGAACCTATGATGTAGCAGCTAGCTGTACCATATAGCCAACTAGTTTGCTGTATTCTAGTGTTCTGTATTCAAAATCCACTAAGCAGCTATTTCTGAGCCATGTTTTTATGTCTTGCATTGTCTGATGAATGCTAGTCTATGGCTTTGAGGTCACAGTATCAGTGCTTGACCCGCTGTAAGCCTAGTTCTATGTACTTGTCATTGTAAACGTTTTTAAATACTCTGTATTTGCTTGTAAGTCTCGACTGGTTTGAGAATAAAATAATATTCCTTAAAACTGACTCTTTGTCCTCTTTTCACAGGATTGTGTCTCTCAGATAGTACATTAATATTACTCAAGCCTTACTGGTTGAAGCCGCATGGGCCACTGTGTCCACTGTAGAAAAAGCACTGGAGTTAAAGAACGTTTGACGACCCTTCAGTGGCTGCACAGCGCCACCGTGTGGCAGACACTAAAACCCAGTTATGCAAGTGTTCCACTCCTACAGCCTCCTCTGCTGGAGTACAGCATTACTGCCGGTAGTTCAGTCCGTTCAAGTCAGGACTTAACCAGAGGTCACCACTCTTATCCGGAGAGGACAAGTGTGGCTGCAGGTTTTTGTTGCAACCAAGCAGGAGCATACTCCATATAGCTCATCAGTTGTTTGAATGTTAGGACAAATTGATTAAACAAGAGGAATCGGGTGTGCTGCTAGATTCGAATGAAAACTTGTTGCCACACCTGGCGCTCTCCGGATAAGATTGGTAACCTCTGCTCTTAATGAAAAAACATCAATTTGCAGATGCAGGACTTTTTGTCTGGACAAGGATTAAGTCTAGTCCTGTCTGGACTAACCTGTGTAGTTTAAAACAAAAATAAGACAGGATTAGAAAAGTCTAGCAAGTTATTATAAAATATTTAAATCTTGGGGTACTGTAAGCACAAGCTGAATTATGTTGCATATACTATGCAGTCAAGAAGCAAGTATCTCCATCCTTTTCAGTAATCATAGTTGCATAAAATACATTAAAGTGTGTTTAATAACAAGCAGATGCAATCAGGCCTGGTAGTGTAAAAGTCGACTTTCAAAGGATGGACGAACAAGAGTAATTGTGATCTGTCTGATATTAATGATTTCAGAAGGCCTCAGTGTTTAGAAATTGGTGATCACCATTTACACAACCAGCCAATCCTGAATTACTCCAGTTAGTGAAGCCAGAGGGGAGAGAACATTTTAAAGCATTCGGTATGACTGAGATAGATTATTTGTTTGGGTTGTTCAGGGTCTGCATTTTGTTTGTCATATTTACCATAGTGGTGATGAATATCTTTGGTAAAAGTAAAGTGTAATGAATAGGCAGCTGAATTATTTTTTTTAAACTTGAAATATGTCAGAACCCAGTGTTCCTGGGTTGTGCAGGGACATCTGCGCTGGGTAAAATTCTCTGGAACTGACTGGAGCAAGTCGGGTTGCGTGTAGCACACAAAAAAGTAAGTATCAAATTGCGCCTTAATGTATCTATTTGAGTTGTAATGTAAAAACATTTTAAAGATGTACCACCTTCCCCAAATTCTCTTGTAGCATTGCTACCTGTCTGAATGCATTTTGTGCATGTTTTTAGTTTAAACCAATGTGCTTTACCTCCATTTTTCTGAATAGCATGTATTACGCAAGAAGACAACATACAGCGTTATAGTGTTACTAATAGCAAAATTTAAAACTATGCACTAGTGTGTTTTGTCAGGTCTCAGAAAAAGAACAAGCAGGTCTGTATTGCTGTCCACCCACCCCAGATCAGCCAAGACATGTTTTGCACTGGAGCTTTGAGGCTAGTAGCAAGTAATGGAAGCTTACATCCCACCAGTTAGCATTGTGGAAACTGCAAGCCCTAACCATAAGCAAGTTGTTTTTAAATGATTTAC